CATTTTTTATATGCTGGTTTCTGTGGAACGTATCAACGGCATAAAAATAGACACGACTATATAATATAATAAAATGTATATAGTATAATATAATTATGCATTTGCTACATTCCAAGTTAATTAATAGATTCAATAAGCATTGTTCATGAATAAAAAAAATTAATAATAATCGGGTCTCGAACCCGAGAATCTCGCACGTTGACTCGTTACCATGCACGTATGATATTTAGTTTCCGTGACGTATAGATTGGGAAAGCTGTATTTCAGTTGTTATACACGTTTGGAGTTTGCTTAGAGTAGTCTGATACATACGCTTGACCAATCAAAAACGTGGGTATGGTTCGAGGCATCTCCGTCCAGGTGACGCGTCGACAATAGAAAACACACGCTTTACAGTGCCACCCGGTATAATCCATGCGTCTCACGGAGCTCACGAATATCACGCGTAGTATATCTATATATACTCGACCAATCAAAAACGTGGGTATGGTTCGACGGCCCTCCGCTCAGGTGGCGTGTTTACTCCAAAATAAAATTGGTTTCAAGAATATCGGCCCATTGGCAATCTCCCTACTCATCTCTGGTAGAACCGTTTTTCACTATCGCAAAACTATTTAGAACTCTCTGGAGGCGATTGAAATCGTGATCAGTTTAAACTGAGTTAACCAATCACGTATAGGAGTTGAATAGAATTGACCAATGGGCTGTTAAATTCTGCACGATTGAACTAAGCCATTGGCTATTCTACAAACTTTCCATTAGAGCCAGCGAATAGCTAGTGTTTTCTGTTTACTTCAGTAGATTCACCGCGATAATTAGAAAAATCTCATAGTATTGTTATGCAAGTTATTCCTTTTTTTATAAGTTTATAGTCAACACTTACTTGACATATCTAAATTTTTTGAAGTTGGATTATGGACTTTCATTATAGTGAACATACGAAAAGTGAAAAATTGTTGGACAATCATTTTATTTGCTTTCATTGGACTTCAGCATGTCATTAGCTGTCAGTAATTTATTTCTCGTAATTTCATAGAAGTAAAAGTTTATTATCAAGCTACTGAAGGCCATATTATATGCAAATATGAGATAAGAATAAAAAATTTATTTAGTTGCTCTTATATTACTTCGGTGAGATATAGTTACTTTAAATAAAAAATTGTATATATTTATTCAACTATTTTTGTTTACTATTGTATATTTTTACTTAGTTTAATTCCTTTTATAAGATACTCTTGCAACGTATTGAAATGTAATCAATAAAATTAATCATTTTTAATAATTTTCATTGGTTCATCTCAATTCAGTCATCCTGTATTTCTGACTATTGGTCTCTGTATTCTCACTACTGCTGCGTCATTGGAAAAGACGATACGTATTTTCTCGGGTGGTTTTGAAAATTTGAAAGTCATCTTGATAATTCTACGTATGCAGGTAATTCACTTGCAGCGCGCCCTGCAGTATAGCAGAGATCAGCCAGTTGAGTTAAGTGCATCATGGAGTACGTGGGTACGTGTATATCATTAGATAAGATCTTTTCTAATTTTTCATGATAAATCATCGGCGAATCGTTGTGTCTCTTTACTCGTTACACTTGCAATTGAAATCTCATTGGATATACACATTACACATCTTGTAGATCTTTTGGATGTATCTAGTTTAATCTGTGCAAGTCAGGCTAGTCTAATGACAACAATGATTCTTTTCACAGAGTATTTTATAAAATATTATTGGAAATATAAAATAATTAACCCATAGTCGACATCCCAAATATTATTGAGTTTTTAATGATTTTTTAAATACATTTTTCACTATGGATCTTCATAATATTAACCTTAGTTTGTATAGTCCTAGTCTAGTTTGTATGTTTGTGTAATTATCATTAATTCGAATTATTAAAACTGCATTGAAAGATTTATGTTTAATTAGGATATGTAAACGTTTGTTATCTAGATGCAGTAAAGGGCGACAGTAACGAGAACTGTTGTGGTTCAGCACCCTGTTTAGAAGCATCATCGAATTCTAAGTCTGAGGAAATCCCTCCAGAAGTAGTAATCAGTAAACCCTCAACGAATGCTAAGGAAGAGAAGGAGATTGTTGCAGGAACCAGCTCAGAGGACCAGCCACGAGAGACTATAGACTTTAAAGTTATATATAATAAGCAAAAGATTGACATTAGTTTTGCGCTCGATGGCACCATTGGAGAGCTAAAGGCCCACCTTCAAAACATCATTTCAGTGCCTCAAGCGATGCAAAAAGTGATGATCAAAGGATTAGCCAAAGATGATCAGACGCTTAGAAGTTTAAGTGTTACAAAAGGTAACAGCTGCTGTACCTCCAGCAGCCTTATAAATCACTTAGCTTACGTAGATGTATAGCGCGCATCAAGCTGCACTCGTTTTATCAAATATTCGCCGTTAAGGTGCCAAAGTCATGATTGTGGGCTCCAAGTTGGACGATGTGCTGGCCGTATCTGTTCCGACGAAACAAGATGTCAGTGATGACGTTACTGCCACCGCTGGAAAGGAGCCATTATCTCGACAGAAAATACATCGTAAAGTATTAGACAAAGGAATCCCAGAGGATGTTATGCCAGGCATATTGGAAAGCAAGGTTGGATTTCTTTATATTCTTGTTTCGCTACAGTATTAACTTTACTTCCTTTAACCTTGGTTTAACTTATCTTAGGAATCCCTACCAGATTTTCCTCTGGCAGGAATGCTGAACAAATCTGGTGGAAAAGTCAGATTAACTTTCAAATTAGAACAAGATCAGCTGTGGATCGGTACAAAGGAAAGAACTGATAAAATACCTATGAACTCGATAAAGGGTGTTCTTAGTGAACCTATCCACGACCATCCTGAGTATCACATTATGGTGAATACAACTCAAAATAAACGTCCAATTTTTTAATGACTAGCAACAGTAACATTAATTTTTTATTTTATAGGGTATACAATTGGGTACGACAGAAGCCTCTAGGTACTGGATATACTGGGTGCCTGCGCAGTATATATCAGCCATCAAAGATGCTATCCTGGGCAAATGGCAGTACTTCTGATCGTCTGTGTAAAAGGAACCAATCATCTCTTTTCAAAACAGAGTGTTAAACGCGAGTGTGAACTTCGACACAAACGACTGTGCTAGTCACGCATTTTCAACAGTAAGTAATAACTTATTTTGCATTGGAGTTCTGCCGAGTAGTCCTAATGAAAATAATTCATTCGTTGCGACGTAAAATTTAATGACAGAGAGAGATAATCTTGTCAATATCGTTCTACATGAACTGATATTTTTTATCAAATAGCTTTTTCTACGAACCCTTTCTTTTATTCATTTCGAACCTTTTCTTGTAACGATTTTATTATTTCTATTCGGACGCTCCAATACGAAGGTATCGTGCTAAAAACATGCTCATCAAGAAAGGGTGCTTTTTGCAATTCTCAAAAAAAGGAAAAGAAAAGAACAGCAAGTATGAAATATGGAACTAAATTAATTGTAATACATGACGAAGGAAAGAGAGAGAGAGAGAGTGTAATTTTTTTGCATCTTTATAATGGTCGTGTAGAAAGAGAACCAACAGTTATTTCTGGCTGTAGTAATTAGTATTTAAAAACTCGTTAAAAAATCGGTTATAAATGTTCCATCCAGTGAAGAAAACTCAATGATCATATTATGGATTAGTAGAACCTCAAATTTTCAAAAAGGAAAAAAAAAATTTCATGATGACTAAAAGATGATAATTTTTAAAGTATAAGCTTTTTCTCTCTCTCTCTCTCTCTCTCTCTCTCTCTCTCTCTCTCTCTCTCTCTCTCTCTCTCTCTCTCTTTCTCTATTCTTAAGCATCATGTATTAATTCTTATGTCAAAGCCGTGACGTGATTTTGCATTTAATGATATTTATTACATGTCCTCAAATCGCGGTAAATGAATACAAATTAGAGATTCAATTAAAACTGGCAGATTTGGCTTCGAATCTTCCACAATAGGCGAGCAAGCGAAGTGTAACGAATAGATGATAAATCTTTAGTCAATGCTTTGTGATAAAAAGAGAATAACGGTGACTTATATATATATACATGGATATATATATATATATATATGTTTGCATGAGAATATATATATTTATGTATGTATTTATATGTACGTGCGATCGTGCGACGTCATACGCAATTGCGTGTAAAGTGACAACGAATTTCACGCCAAATAAAACATTGTAATTATCAGTTATCTATTTTCTCAGTGGCCTCGATGTGTTATAAGGCAAAGTAAAAAATTCAATTTTCGAGTTAAAACAAAAAGTTAAGTCAGCTTTACTCTGGTATAGTCTCGTTCTAAGAAATGAAAAACGTGATGATTTTATCACGATGAAAAGCACAAAACGAGCAAAAAATCAGGCGTAGGAAATGTGCTCTTGTCCTATAGATTTTATAACGTCAGTAAGTACATAACTATATGGAAAGATATTAAAATGACAAATCAAAAATTCCTGTCAACCTTTGACATGTTTTCGAAGAGTCATTTGCGTGGAAAAAGAATAGAAAAAAGTTTAAAAAGGAGATAAGAGAATTAGAAAAGGAATAATCATTTTCGGAGGTCCTTTTAAATACGACTTGTATATTGCGTTATGTGATTTCATAATAAAATAAAGAATTACAAATCAATACACTGGTCCAATTTCACTTACGACTCGTACAGCCAAATCCGTTCCCCGGTTCAGTGAACAATGCAAGCCTTTAGTATGGAAGAAGAGAAGAGGACGAAAAAAAGAAAAAAAATTAGGCAATAACAAAAAGATATAAGAGAAAGAAAATGAAGCTCTTCCACTTCATCAATGCTAGCATTGCATCTTGCCAAGACGCCCACATCTGTCGAGCATATGTATACATGCAGGAAATGCCTTATTAGGGTGTTGAATTACAGACAAGCATGTATGGTCCATTCTGACTCTCTTAAACGAGTCTCATTCAAGAATTCTAGCAGATGCCAGTCACTAGTCTGGATCTATGCAGGAATACCCTAACAGTGAAATCGCATTAGTTTACTTAGATGGAACTGATAATAAGGATAAATTTCAATCGCGCAAGAGACTTCTTTTAATTAACAGTCTTTAAGTAAATGAAATGAAAATGTATCAAAGAGTGAGAATAGTTAATAGTGAAAATGTCATGAAATTGAAAGGTGAAAGTTTCCTTTAAAGTTAAGCGTAGGATCGATAATAAGCACTGCTCTCGTGTGAATGTATACTAAGTGGCTCAAGGCCAGTCACATTGTTTTCTGTGTAAAACGTAAATAAGGCAATAGCAGATAACCGGGGATCAGCAAGGTGTAGTATATAAGACTTTATAGTGGTATTCTTAGCTCTATTCACTATATTGTATATTCTTTTCTGTACGCGTTTGAATTTTATTTTGGTGTCGTTTGCGTGTCACTGGAATATTCCATAAGATACGCATCTATTCAACTGCGAGCCACGTATTCTACAAATTGAATTTTTAAAACGTTTCACAGTCAGTATTTATATTGGGAACGTGTACGAATAGCACCGAGAGAGATGTATCTCTTATTACCTTACATTGTATGTACCTTATGTATAGTAGGTACAATGTAAGAAATTATCTTTAATTGTAAAACGTGTAAAATATATTATATTAATGGTAACGCGAGTGAATGACAAGAGACTTTATAACGACTCAAAGTTTCCTCTTTAAGAATTCAAGCTGTGACTAGACGAGCGGCCAATGTATTTCATCACTTCATCAAGAACTTGCACAAAGCCAATTCTAATAAAAGTGTTATCAAGGTGTTGAATGTTAATCATTGCATATCTAAGAAATATAACAACTCAGCTGCAAGCCTACAGAAAAAAGAAAAAAAATTGTGAATTTATCAATGATGATGATCGTGACGAGACTTACATTAGACATCAGGAGTCTTTAGATTTTCTATTTTTTTCTAAGTAACTAACAAATTATTCCTGTAATGAGGAGGATAATCAAGAATTGGCGTAATGAATCACGAGATGACAGAGAGAAAGAAAAGTGTTAAACTCACTCAAAAGGCTTTCCTAGTGCTCAATGAGGAATACCTTGGTCAGGGTGGAGAATTGTCCACTTTAAGATCCATTAGCGTTACTAGTACTAAAAAGACACATGAAAACATTGCTTATATCTCTCATTTCATCTATTCCAAGAAAATTTTGGCAGCTTTGTTATTAGTGCCAATTTTTTATGGAGTACTCGGGAAGGATTCGCTGTACGAATTCATTCAGAGATATGCTCAGGGTACACGTTGTCTAGTCCCCAATAATTATCTGACCTGGGAATTTACACGACCAGTGTCTAACTGCGACTTCTGCCGAGGTGTCGATTCGGCTTTATATCTCAGGAACATCAGCAAGGAAGAGTTCTCACGTTATGCATACTCCTCGCGACCGATGGTAGTCCAGGGTGCAGCTAGCCATTGGCCGGCTAAGCGTGTTTTCAGTCTTCATTTCTTTAAAAACCTTTACGAGAGTATCGAAGGGGCTTATGAATCCGTTGAAGAGGAATGTCAATTTCTTCACTTCAAAAGCGACTTCGCAAATCTCCGTGAGGTTTTTGCCATGAGTGAACGTAGAGCAATAAACCTTGGCGAGGATCCTTGGTATGTTGGCTGGAAGAATTGCCATCCCCAGGTCCTTGAGATAATGAAGAGGTTCTACCACGTGCCACATTTTTTGCCTGATGACGCAGAAATACCACAGACCAACTACGTCTTCCTGGGATATGACCAGGGTGCTGTTATGCACGTGAGTATAATTATTTAATAATGCTACAATTGCACCAGGTATACGAATCGTCTTCTATACCAGGAATATAAATCTTTCTTTCTCTGTTACAGCTTGACTACATTCCACGTCTCATGTGGCAAGCTCAAATCCTCGGCAGCAAAACGTGGACGGTTGCTCCAACTCCAGAGTGTGATCGTGTCTGCAGGAAGTTCGACTTCTCCGTCGGTTCCGGAGACATCCTTCTACTGGACACTAGAATATGGTATCACGGTACCTACGTCGAAAATGGACACCTCAGTTTAACCATTACCTCGGAGTATGGCTAGAATGTTTTTTCTCTTTACACTAAAGAGATTAACACCGTCCCTCAATTGTACATAGAAATTTTCCTCGATAGGTCCATGATTATTTGGACAATCGAGGTATTAGATTTTAAGTAATTTTAAAGAGACCCATGCATTTTCGGGACTCTCTTGAACACGTGCTATTTTTTAAATTATACGCGCTATGCGTGATTCAATTTGTACTATTAGTTGGTTCTGTTTGGACCTTGCGTGAAAGACGCCTGTCTTACGAGTGCAGCAAGAGTCTTTTTACGCGAAGTTTTACCGTTACGAAATTTCCCAATAGCGGAAGTAAAATTTCATCGAGAAGCGTTGAAATTTATTAGAGACATTCTATCTGAGTGCCATTAAGAACTAAGCTACTCGCTACCGAGTGAATAATTTTTCCTTTTTTTTTTCTCTATTTTTTGATAATAATCATATCCCTTGGTAGTGATATACTTTCACCAAATTTCCATTTTTACATGACTGAATCGTCTATCCTATTCAGGATTGACTTGGCACTTTGGACGTCTCAAAGTTTTCACTTTTGACGGTCAAAACGACGCGACGTGTCGTTTGGAAACAAAAAATCAAAATCGTTGACCTTTGATTTTATCCGGGACTTTTGCCACTACATATAACATGCTCTTTGTACACTATTAATCTTTATATACCAATTATCATTAGTTTTTGAATAAAAATGCTTTGTTTTTTAATCCTAAAAGTCGATTTTATAATTTTTGAAAATAAACAATAGATCGATACATATGCTGTGTTTTATTACGATACATACAGTGAAATGCATGAGACGCGAAACAGCAATACCTTCTGTGATACAAAGTCAAATATATAATCTAGATAACAAGTAACGATAAATACTTGCAGAATTTTACAAGGCTTTTTACCAAGTCGCAGGCTTGCGCATTGCACGTATATAGCTTAACGATCATGGCTCAAAAATTTTCATTAATATGATCACGTACGGCCTTAGGATTCAATTCTCGAGAAATATAAAAAGAGAAATCATAATGGGATTCTCTTCTACCAACCCACTCTTTATCACTATCATTTTTTCTCACTTTCTCCGTACGTCTGTCTTTGAAGATACGTCAAAATAAATATGCAATGTGTAAATTACTTATCAATGCTGAATAATACATTTGCGCAACTGCAACGGCAATCTACCTCTAATCGGAATGCGCGTGAGATTTTGCGACAAATCGAATATTAAATGACGCGAAACAGATAGAAAAATAACAACAAATTGTAAATTATTTGGTAAGCGTTTTTGAAATACTTTTTATAGAAAAAAGTCTCGTTTCCAGATAGTTTCGAATTGTCTTCACTGGTCCTTCTTCTCGGTCGCCTGTTGGAAACTTGGCGGGCTCTCCTGAAAATTTATATTATGGTTCTCTTCTTGCTGTACGCAAAAAAAATTTGATGCTAATCGACTTTAATGTCGTATGTGAGCGTAAAATAGAATTTGACATGTAATCTCCATGTTAAAGGTGCAAAAAAGTTATAACGCGATGACGGAATGGGATAGAAACTTACGTAATATGCAGGCGGCGGAACGTATGCACATTGAGGCTTGTTCGGATCGTAGTATGCACTTTGGGCAGCTTCGGCGGCTTTGGCATCTATAGCAGATTGAGAAAATGAAGTAGAGCAATATTAGGATACCTCCCAGCAAACATGTTTTTCACATTTATGTAGCTCTTAACAACATAGAGTTTGTATAGCTTGAGATGTGACAGTCACAAGATATGTTTGCTGAGATTTTGCAAGTGATTATTCAATTGAATAACTTCTTGCGCAATTAAATGACTACCAGAACACGCACAAGGATCGACTCTGGAAGTGGCGTCATTTCGTTCTTCAGGCATACTCGTACTTTCTTTAAATATAATTCTTTTTACTAAAGACAACTGACACTACAATATACTTTCTTCTTACTGGTCGTTGATGTTTGATGCGACAAAATTCTTTATATACATCACTATAGTGAAACGTATGTTATTACACGTGAAAGTCATTGGTTAATTTGATCTTTGCTATTCTTTTAATCTAGCAAAGTGTACGATATTGTATTTCATTCGGCGTGTCATATCACGCTTCTATCGCTTTAATTATTGGATTTATATTAGAGCTAAAATACACAGCACCAGGAACACGGTTCAGAGATCACACACGCACGACATTGCCTGATTAGACCTGTACTGAACGCGACGACTGTCAAAAGTAAGACTGTTGGCGAAATAAAGGTAGCATCTGGCTGAATCGTTTCAGGGATCCTATGAGCAAACTATGAGATAATAACTGAGCTCGGTGAAAGCCAACCTTACCGCAGGTCAGCCAAAGAAACGTTATGCAATCTCCATTTGCGCAATATTCAAAACATTTAAGATTGTTAACATTGTAAGAGAAATAACTTCTACCTGGCAGAGGCTAGTGACAAGTGTCGATCTTGGAGATAAAAGGATACGCAAGAAGAATGCAATTATAAAGAATGATACAGTTATCTCGCGATATTGAAACATAAATATTGATTGATAGGTTTAAATGAAAACAGCATCGAATATTTATTAGTATTGTTTAATGTTTCTTTGTGCGAATAATACGTTCGACAATGTTAAACTATAAGAGTATAACAAAATATAATACGGTAGCGTAATATTAATCGATATATACATTTTGTTTTATATTGAAGATTTAAGCATTATACATCATTTAAAATTTGATGATTAGTAAAGTGTTTTTAATATTGACCAAAACAAAATTATTCAGCAACGCGGTCCTGACAATACAAATTCTTTCTCGCGTGGCTAACTGCTTTTATCATGATATATTGCAATATGATTCACTTAATATTGAGGTGGGTAAGGACCATATGGTCCCTGTTGTTGTGAATAAGGGCCCGGTTGCCCATATGCGCCACCTTGTGGATAGGCCGAATATGGCGGCGGATTTTGCGGATAAGCATTGTAAGTGGGTGGTCCGTAATTTGGATACGCACCTGCTTGAGACATTGGTTGTCCGTTGTAACCAGGATTAGCCCATCCTGGAGCGCCGTTTTGTTGTGGTGGCGCCCAAGTAGGTTGCTGCCCAGCGCCGCCCCAAGCTCCTTGTTGCTGTTGAGGATTTCCTCCTGTAGCATATCCTTGATATGGTGCGTTGATGCCAGGATACGGTGGTGGCATATCAGTCATATATACACTGTTTGCTGCAAAAACGAAATAAAATCAGTACAATTGGTATAGATTAGATATCAAGATTTTTGAAAAGAGTATTCAACCTGGTGGTTGGTCAGGAAACACATTAGTCGGTGGTACCCATCCATAATATCCAGTAGGAGCAGCCTGATAAGCTGGCGGAGGTGCAGCATACCAATCAGTACTTGGAGGTTGATATGGTGGTGGAGCATCGAAAGCAGCACCACCATTGCGTTGTGCTGAAAACAACCAAATTCACAGTTAACAATCAAACTCATTAAACAGATTTATAAATGAAAGAAAAATTCAATTTCTTGAATAAATTGTTTCTTATCTCATTACGTATACAATACATCTATTAATAAAGTACGATCATAATCTTACCCATTGATGCTGCCCTCAGCATTGCCTGTCCAAATTCAATAGCACCACCACTCTTGAAGTGCAATTTAAATTTGCATTCCCCGACCCAATTTCCATTTGGTTGAGCACGGCATTTGCCTTTGATATAATTAGCTCCGAACATAGGCTGTTCAAGCTCAACTTCACTTAGTGTGATAAAGGGAAAGCTGAAAGACTGCATTGGTTCTTTCGGATCTTTTGCATTAAAGATCATACGATGAGTGGTTAAGTATAAACGCCCTCGTTTAGTCCCAATGAACTGAGGTTGGTCCTGTCCATGAAACTCCATAGTGACATTGTCGCAGAAGAGAAGTATGCTAAAGAGAAACAATTGAAAACGCAATATAAAATGATAATTCAACTGATTCTTTAAACGCTTAGAAACATAATATGTTTAACAGTAAATCGTGAAATAAACGTCATTTGAGCGTAGTATCTACTACGTTGTCATCATTACTATGAGATACGTCACGCCAAGAATATTCGAGTACAGTAGACAAATTTTAATTAATCTAGATCGAGAAATTATAGGTATGAAATATATTTACCACTCTCCAGAATGAATAAGAACACCACCGTTAGCGTGCGCCGTGTTTAACGACATCCTGTTGGATTATATTTCAAGCAAAAACTGACAACACTTTCGGCGGACGTCTTTATCTGATGATCAGCTGATTCATACACGAAAGATCTACGTTACCGGTGCGCAAGCGCGAATCCAACCGCTCCGACTCATGAACGAATAGATAAGTCTATTGAACAATACTCGTTGAAGTATTTATTTTTTTCAAAAGACAAAGTCAATTTCCGCGATACACACATCCACCAGAGTTACACAAGTTAAACTAAAGCATCTAAATTCCACAGGTTCAACAAGCAGGCGCCATGATCATCCATTCTTATCCAATGCAACATAGAATTTGGATACCATACTTACGGCACCCTAACGTTATCTAAATATGTCGAAAAATACATTTCACACTTAATTTCTATAATGTATATTCTTCCTCAAGTGTATAACTTTCACCATAAGCATAATTATAAATACGTATCTAAAAGAACTAAGATGATACTGCTATCTTATATCCACCATTTTCAAGATTTCCTGTTAAAATAAAATGCTCAGAAGTCTCTAAAAGTCGTAAACGGATAACGATAGATTGTATAGATATATTTAATGTAAGTAAGTTTTGATCAATTAGTTATAAAAAAGTTGAAGCATTTATCATAGTCAGTGATAGGTATGTAATATTCATCTAGAGAATAGGGCAAACGTGCAAAGCGTTGGTGGCTCAGCGTCGCAAAGCTAAGGGAGAAGCCCCGTTCGAGTGGGAGCTGTTGGCGCAGAAATCAATGCGGCAATTTTCAAAGCATGCGCTTGCTGGACGCACACCGCACAATTCGTCAAGGAGCACAGCATTCCACGTACGACTGTGTACGGCTGCACCGGGTTGTCGTGAGATCGTCCTACTAACGATAGATACCAGTCGTAGATAGTACTCAAGTTCATCTAAATAAACTGGGTGATATCTGATAAAAGTCCTGCAGATCAAAAGTGCAGTGTCATAGATAGATTATCAACTATTCATTTAGAATGAACCACATCTCGTAGAAATTTTACGAATCACAAGTTCAGTTCTTGCAATATGGATGAAAATTTGAGCAGAGGATACGTCCAGCTAGGCAAAGCTAGAGGCATGAACGAATTCAAATTCACTAATGGATTTACTCACTTATCACCACCAGTGGATAAATGTAATTTTATTTATTTGGCTCTTGTACTTGCTGGAGTCGGATTCCTCTTGCCGTACAACAGGTCTGTCCCGGAATAATATAGATTGATATTGTTATGTAGATACATATATGTATATAACTTGGCTTTTACGAAATATATAATGGTGATATTATATATATTAATGATCCTTTTATTTCTACAGCTTTGTCATTGCTGTGGATTACTTTCAAGCTAGATATCCTGGAACAACTGTCATTTTCGATATGTCACTCGTTTATATCATGATGGCATTTTTTGCCGTTTTCGCTAATAATATATTGGTGGAGACACTGTCGCTCAATACTAGGATCACGTTTGGTGAGTGAATAATATTAATTAGTAATTTTATTTTAAGAATAATATTTCATCATTTTATTGTTTCAGGGTACCTAGTATCATTTGTTACGTTGAACTTTGTCGTCATCTGTGAAATCTGGTGGGAAGTCTTTGGAGTGGCGACGTCGTACACTATTAATTTAATTGCTGTAGCTATTGTGTCCTTGGGATGTACAGGTACATATTAAAAGAGGAAATAAGTTTTAATACAAATTTTTAATAATTATTCTTTATTATTGCAGTTCAACAATCTAGTTTCTATGGATATACGTCGATGTTACCTAGTCGTTATACGCAAGCAGTCATGACTGGAGAGAGTAAGTTCCTCGTTCCTAATATAGTTAATAAATTTTTAATAATTTTAAATAAAGATTGCATTACTATATCGTTTTTTCAGGTGCTGCAGGATTTTGGGTCTCGGTTAACCGCATACTGACCAAGTCCTTAGTCGATGACGAACGTGGAAACACTTCTATGTTTTTTGTTTTATCAATCATGACGATCGTCATGTGTTTCGTATTGCATCAAGTTGTACGGAATACGGACTTCGTGCAATTTTATATAACATTGTGCCAGGAAAGGAATAGGATAACTTTAGAACCGACTGAGGACGTCGGTTTGGTACGTAGAGTCATTACTAAATCTTGAATTCTTGTCATTGTTATCTTTGGTGACAGATGGATCCATTGGATCAAGTTGGAGATCCATCAAAAGGACAGTATGGCGTATTGAAAATACAAACTAGCCCTCTTGGTACCGATTCTGCTGGTGGAAGTGCTGATACGACTATTGGTATATAATTACTCTAATATATAAATATCTTAAGGATATCTCAAATTATATTCTGACGCTTTTTATTATAATTCTAATCTTAAGATATTTGAAATACAATTTTTGCTATAGGTACTGCACAGTACTCGGCATTCTCGTTCAGTAACCCGGTTTACGAACCTAGTGCACCTTCTGGAAATCCACCAGGAAGTGCAGGGCCAACGTATAAGGTTGAAGATGTCGTAGTAATGCGTGGAGCTGGTTACAGTTCCCAAGCCAGCAAACCATGGGCAGGGATCAAACGTAAGGCCAATGAATAAATAAATAAATAAGTAATTGTATCCTAATAATATACAACATTCTTTCAGGCGGTCTGTTTGCAAGACTCGACGTTGCAAAACTAATATTTCCCTACATGGCGAGTATTGGTGTTGCATATTTCGTGACACTCTGCCTCTACCCTGGTATAGTATCAGAAATTATATCCTGTAAATTCTCATCGTGGATGCCAGTAATTCTTATGGCTGCATTCAATGCCTCTGATTTGCTTGGAAAGGTAATATCAACTGCAATAATCTGAATATCCACAATCATAAAAAATCTTTTAGCACATTTGAATAATTTACTAGGTGTTGGCATCCATTCCTTACGAATGGACACGAACACAGTTACTATACTTTTCTGGTGCCAGAGCAATCTTGATCCCTCTATTTTTACTATGCGCCATTCCAAGGAAGGCACCAGTTCTATCTGGTGAGGGATACCCATTACTCTTTTCACTATTGCTCGGCCTGACAAATGGAATAGTAGGCAGCGTCCCAATGATTCAGGCGCCCAGTAAAGTACCCGAGGAGCACCGAGAGCTAACCGGTGAGGACAGTAACGTAATCTACGTAACATATATAATATATGCATTTGCCATATGAAAGAATCTCATCATTCACTTTCTAGGAAACATCATGACTCTTTCATATACCATGGGATTGACAGTGGGGTCCTTACTGGCTTATATGTTGGATGCCTGTCTAGGGCCACCTATACAAGCTAAACAGATTTGTCCAAAACTTCAAAAACCTACAGCGTCGACCCCTATTGGCAATACAACTCTAAGTATCCTGCTAACAAGCGTTATGTCTACGGCTGTTCCTACAGTTGAGAAGGTGGCGCGGATTCCAAAATTAAAAACTACAACAGCTGCTGCATTGACTACCGCTTTGGCTACATCGTTCATGTATAACGGTACCGTGGGTCCTCTTAATAGTAGCATCATGAAAGCAACAACTACCGCCATTCCTAAAGTCCTTAGTAATGTAACCGCGACTATCAGTAACACGATACTTCAGCACTAGGGTATGCGCGTTTGTGTGTTGTGTTGAATCTGGTGTCTTGACGTTCCCTGCTCACTTCTCAGTCATTACGATTCCTTTTCAGGACCTAATAAATTCTTAGATCATGGAACGATCATTCAATAATTCTATGAACCTATGGTGTACCCAATTCCTTAACGTGCTCTTGACTTCCAATGTTTATATTTCCCTCGTTTCATTTTTCTGAAGTGTTATTAGTTGTTTTAATCATTATATTTAAAAAATGTATATGGATCTTCTACCACTAAAGATTATGCTCTTGTGTACTATTTGTAAGATTTGTTTGATCTATGAATATCCTATTGGATTCCATATGAAAAAAAATTGCCGATGTCTGAGACAGGCTAAGTACTCTGTTTAACCATATTAGTATATAGTGTATTGATGGTTATCACCTGCAGATGGTTATCATGTATCAGAATGTATTTTATGGTAATGTATGATAACGTATGTCAGATTGAACACACACATAAAACGGAGCATCAGGGTTTTAAAAGCAATCGTGCTGATTGCAATTAGTTGCATTTTTTCGAGTATGTTGATCTGAATTTTCTGTCAATAATTAACCATCGCTAATGAAGAAGTCTGTACGGGGCAATATTCGTTTGGCACTGAATGACAGAAATATGTATCGATTCAAAAATGATCATTCGGACAGAATTATTAGATCAAATACGAATTTTACGACTATGTATAGACCAATTGGCTATTATATATAGTAATATTTGCTATGTTCAATCACAAATCATTTATCCTTTGATTTTAAGCGTTGTTAGCTGAACACGTGGATTCTCCGGATTAGAATGATTGCCAATGAGATAAAAAACTTAAAAATGAAAACAACCAAAATATACAGGACTATTCTATAAAATTAAACTAATATATTTTACCTAGATAGTCCTATATATGAAACATACTAGCAGCTCCACTGCAAAATTCTGTAAATACTACCGAAGAATCCAACATCGTTAGACTGATGATTGAGGTATATTAAATTTACGAGATGAAATTTATTACTTGTGTATTCTATACCGTACGTTAATTGCCAATCTGACCTTTGTGCATAGATGAAAATATTTTACAGATCAGGAACTGTTGTCTCTGTCTTTTTAAAAAAAAAAATATTCGTTCCCTTTTTTTCACTTATTCCCGATCCACATAGATCGGAGTTACGGAAGGATATAATGAAATTTCATAATATCAATTAAGAAAGCAAGAACTGGCGTACGTTTAGAAAATGGAAGGAAGTAACATTCAGAAACATCTAAATATTGCCATAAAAGATCATATACTTCTGTATAGTCTGTATCTGTTATTAATTTGCCGATCAAATCTTATCGCAGTAGATGGCTCGTTATTATTCTTTAACTACGAAAACTAGTATCTATCATCACATCTGTATAACGCATTTAAAAAGAAAAAAATGAAAGAAACATGTATACATATCTAAAAATATCTCACACGTATGCGACAAGAAATCAACACTGTTTTCATGCAGCATTTATATGTCACTCTGTATGTTTAACATAAGCATAAATTCATATTATAAAAAAATGGCCGTATACGTAAATGCAGGATATGATTGTTCAAATGATTCACTGATTAAATTGAGATTGCCTCCTTTCCTCAATAAGGAAAGAAGATAATTAGTGTTCCAAACACTAAAACACACTCGCGAATTGATGTCAAACTTTTTTTTAAAGATAAAATAATCGCAAATAGAATAGTTTCGGAAATGGGATTGAACGTATATTACACAATTCAAAGAATAATCACAGGTTGGTCCAGGTTAAACTGTCCGGTAAATTTTCCTAATGCCATCCCGTAAAATCCTATGACGTCTCATTGTCAATGTACAACTATAAATAATACTTAAAATGTAGCTAGTTACAGATTGAGATAAAGGAACCTATGTAAAAGACAAATAAATATACAGTAAGGGCTAATAAATCAATGTGTCTCGAGGCGATTCAATACCGAACGATGTGTTCTGTTTAAAGAAAAAGAACAAAAATGACTTATGGATACACCGACTTGTTAAGGATTGTGTCGTGGAAAGAGAAAACGTCACAACGAGAGAGAATCTTTTCATTGTATATTATATTTTTCGTCGCAATGCCCTATTTCTGAACATTGTGTCTAACAATAAGTGCCGTGGGAAAGGATCGTCGAATGGTCCTTGAGATATCGCGAGGAAAATGGAAAAACGTAATTTTTTTTGGAAGGAGCAAGAGTTTATCATCTATTTTTTTTGTTTATCTTATTAATTTTTGTTAGAACTTTACATCCCTCGCAGGCGACACGCACGAGTTTCTGAAAAGTGAAAAATAAAATCTCCTAACGTTGGTGTCGTCCGTGAATGGGATTTTCAAATTTTTTAAAAAAATCAAAAGAAAAATGACTAACAATTTTTGAAAACATCCACGATCGCTTCCCATTGAACTTATTATAGTATGTACAAATAATAAATATATCTGTATGTATATATACATATATATGCGTAATATCTTATACAACTATTACAACGTAATCGGCACTACCATTACTCTTCCATACTAGAACTACGATTCGATTGGCTGTCTTTTGGATTTTTAACATAAAAATAATACCAGCTGGTTATAATCTTTTCCGAAAAGGGAACTTTGAGAGTATTCTTTTAAGTTTCTCTCTTCAAGAAAACTAGAAATACATATAGCCAATTCGAATTATTTGACACAGATATTAAATATGCGATAAGTTTGATTATATACTCTCTTAGTCACTCTTAACCATTCATTTCGTTTCATTCATTCTCTCATTCGTTTGGAAATACTGGTTCGTTAAATGTTATACAGGTCCTATGACGATCGTAGAGATAAACCAATATTGGATATCCAAATTGATGATGATAGTAAAAACCACGTATATCCTATGTTATGGATAATCAGGTATTTGGTCACGTCGTCAGGACATTTATATCACAGTTTGATACGCATCGCCATTGGCGAATTGACGATTGTCGTTTGCTTCTATATATGAATTACCATTGGATAATGATTCTGCTTGAGGTCATTTAAGATATTTAGCAGCCCAATCCGTACGTCCATGCAGACCAGCAGTTGGCCTTGTCTTCAGGACACCGCCGAATAGATTGGACTGTAATCCTGCGGTCCTGTTTGTAGCTGCGTTTGTCTCTGCAAAGGTAGTAGCAAAAATTCTTATTGGATGAAAATTTTGATATTGATTGGTATAGTTCAAACGAGCCTTTTACATACCATAGACACTGGCGTAGGGCAATCTGGCATTTGGCTCGGATACGTAACGACTACGTGTCATATAATGTTGTTTGGCTGTTTTTAAAGTATCCACAGTTTCTCGAGGAGTCCAAAAAGAGTCTGCGAAGCCATTCAACTTGTCTGGAGCTGCTGATGGAAGTACACTCGTACCATTGACTATGATGTTGGAATGGTTTAAAGCAGATCTATTAGAGTCTCCGTCGCCATTTCTATTAAATGATAAAGTTATGCATTTAATGATTTATTAAGATTTCCTATTATGGAAAGTAATTCTGTAGAGAAGAGCGGGGTGGGTTTTTTTTTTATTTTCATGGACAAGATTTCTAAGTTGTCGATACCTGGAAGGTAAATTTGTGCTCTGGCCTGCGACGTACCGAGCCACGCTGAGATAATGTTGCTTGGCTGAGACTTTACGCGTACTCTTCAAATTTGTTTGAGACTGACGCCAGTTTCTCGCAGGAGCTTGCTCGTACCAATTGGGCAGGGACCAGTTGGCATTTGTTTGCTTTTGATTCTCTATGTTAGGATAGTTACCATTCCAATTGGCACGATTCTCCTTAGATATTCTCTCATGGACTGGGTACTTGCCATTTGAATTGTCCGGGATAATTTTACTTCTAAAAAATAAGTCATTGTGTGTTCAATATGCTTACGCTGTATAAAAACAAATGTATTAATATGCCTACCCTAGGAGATTAGCAAAATCATCCTCGAGACTATCCTTAATTCCATCGCCGTCCCATTTCACAGAATTTTCACGTTTACGTTCGTTATGATTTAATAACGGCAACACTGGCTGCTGTCGCGGTTGTACCGGTACCATTTCCGATACCCTACATGGTCGTAAACTCGTCCCGCCAACGATGACATCCGTCTGGTCATAGTCGCTCAAAGATATCGGTTGCCGCAACATGCCCGGTGCTGCCGGAAGTTGGGGTGGCGGTGGTGAAGGTTGTGGTAATGCCATGTTAACTCTATTAACTAGAATCTCTCTCTGAGATCCTACGCCAATTTTCTTACTACTGACTACTCTCGGCCCTCCCACTTGAAAATATGGATACCTGCAGAACCGTATGAGTTGGCATCGCTTATGAGAAATATGTGAAATATCTTTAAAACTGTACCTTAACGATTGTTGGGCAGTGGGTCTCTTTGTTGGATTCCACTGCAGCATATCCTCCATTAGTGTAACAGCTTCCTGACTAGCATTTGGTATCAAAATGCTTAAGGAAGTCCGCGTGAAGTTTGGAAATTTAAAATTCATCGCTGCTGCCAATTGATAACCCTCTGGCCAATCGTCCTTATCGGGAGTACCGATAACAGAACAGATCTTAAAGATCTCATCTATCTCGCTCTTTCCAGGAAATAGTGGACTAAATGTATAGAGTTCTGCCATTATACATCCAACCGCCCATATGTCTATTGGACTGTTGTAGGTTGTCGAATGCAGTAATACTTCCGGTGCTCTGTACCAACGTGTTGAAACATAATCCGTATAAGGTGGCCGTGATCGTATTTCTCTTGCTAATCCAAAATCTGCTATTTTAACAAGTTCGGGTCCCATGCATAACAAATTTTCTGGTTTCATGTCACGATGAAAAAACCCGTGTTTATGCATAAATGCCAAACCCTGCAGGACTTGGTAAACCATATTCCTAACAACAGGTTCAGGAAATAGCTTCTCTCTATAATAAATAAAAAATATAATAATTCATATATGCATCTCATATCCCAATGAAAATATCAAAATATTCTGAATACCTGTCCTTCATTAATTGATAAAGATTCTCCTTCATGTATTCAAATACAAAGTACAAAACATCATTTTCTCTAATAACTTCCTTTAACTTCACTACGTTGGCATGACTCAGCTTCTTCAGAGACTAAACAAAATTTACGTTACATTACACATTCTGCATAAATTCGAACTTTAACATTACGTTTAAACAAACCTTAACTTCACGTAGATTCATCGCTTCCTCCCAAGAATAGTATTTTCGTTTCATTCTCTTAATAGCCACCTTCTCCCCTGTATCAATACGTTCACCAAGGACGACAGAACCGAAGGTACCATCGCCTAGCTGATTCATTGTTATATACCGATTCATCCTGCTTTCAATTTTTGGCAATTTAACAGGATCAATCTTATCAGAAATCCTTGCTTCTCCGACGAATCATTAACGTAGTATTACGGAGTCATCATCAGACGCCATTATACGTAATGTTATTTCTTCTCACATGGCTGTACATAAAAAGGAAAATCGATTTATCACTAGTATCAACCAGGAATTAAATTTCAATCTCAAATTATTTCAATAGGTACAATATTTATTGAATAGACTATTACTAAAAAGTCTAAAGTCGTGAGTGCCACTTGTGCCGTGTTAAATGTATATTTTATTGATTTGTCATTAATCTTTCAGCATTTCGAATAATAGACCAAAAGCTGGGTCAACGATGAAACTTTTTAACTATAAATTTTAAGGTTGATGAACCTATACTGAGTTATTCAAGTTACCCTTGAGTGTGATCCTTTTGTCCAATAATGTTTAATAACTATAGATACTGTACCTGGGAGTTTCCTCTTGCTGACTGTAAACTAACTCTATATAGTATATCATTTCTAAGGTAAGTTCTTAAGTCAGAGGCTCCGTAATGGCCAAGACCAAGATATTACATAATTCACGAGTTTCAGTGGCATTGCTAGATACCAGGGTCGAAGACAATGTATTGATTCAACTACTGCCGTAGATACGATACTCGTGCGACATTCGGGATACTTGCTAGTGAATTATTTATAGATATATAAATGTTAGAAAACTATTTATATAGCATTTTCTTAGGTTTGCATGCCGAGACTACCGATAACTATATGTCAATACAGTATATAGTATTATTTATATGCTTATGTTAGTAGTAGGATTTATGAATGATATAGTATAAAGATACTTTTATGTAAATGATTTTGATAAAAATATGATATTTTGACATCCTTATTGTAATAGAGAACTAAAAAATTATAAGTTTCATTTTTTTTACTCCAAAAGGGAAGACTCCAAGTGTCAACTGTAAATTTTCATGTACTCCAAAATAAAATGCGTGAAATAAAATACAAGATATTGGCGAAGTAGGGCAGAATATATCGAGCCAATATGGAGATTAGTATTTTCTTAAGTTTGCATGTCGAGACTACAGAGCGACTCTCGGCAACTTAGACACGCGATTCTATGGATTTTTCTCAAGATCCTAAGAACCGTTCTCGTTTCTACGCAAGGACCTTCTTTATGTATACGAAGACCATTATAATATTAATATCAAAATAAACCGATAATATTTCTAGAAGTGTGAAGTGCAATAACCGTCAAAGAGGTCTTCAATTTACCACAGCTAAGGTAATCTTATATTCATTCCCTTCGACCGTAGTAGTACTGTCATTCCTTATTAATTGTGGCTTCAGGTTATAGACGAGCAAGGAAACACCTAGTACGGCAGAAACACGCAGAACACTTAAAAATTAGAAGAGAATCATACTGATAAACAACAAGCGATATTAAAATTCATTTGTGCGTAATATTCAATTAGTATAATGAACTTACGTTTGAATTGCAAATGAAACTTTGGAGAAGTACTTGAGAAACGTTTCGATTCCAGCTACTCGTGCCAGCCGTCACTCATGAACTGTTAAGCGAACGGCCATACTTTCTGGTATCTATGGAAACGACACGCGTAGTCGAAGAAACATACTGGAACTTCGTTAAATATTGCTTCACTTAGCTTATTAGAGTTACTCATTTAGAGAAACTTATTCTGTCCACGCGATACGGTTTATTTGTCCACATGGACAATTATTATAATTGCTAGGAGGTAATTAAGGCGTGATGACCAGTTCTCCACTTGTTCGTATCAATGAAGTATTATATATTAGTGTTACTACATGATTCTTTAACAAGCACCATTTTATTAATTCCTGTGAGATGATATTTAATTAATGGACTTTTAATAGTGTCTATAATATTCTATTCTGGTAAAATAAACTTTTAATTGATTTATATTTATTATTTGTTGATTACCATTGCATTGTCTATAATAATTTACTATATATATTGTGTTATGTCATGATATCTTATGTATGCTTGTGTGGTAAATTATATGAGTATCGGATTGATTAATAATTGCTGTTTAAGTACGTATAGTTGAGCATTTTTTATTCTTCCTTTTTTTAAATTATTCAATTCTAAGGAGCATTTAAGCAGGTTTGGTTATTACTATCATTTAAAACATATAACATAGTTATCTAATATCCCTACTCTAAATTCACCTTTTCCCTCTCTCGTGAGGAAGCGCGCTTCGCGAACTACGGGTGAACGTAACCTATAAATTGTGTTCTGAAATTATTTAAGATTTTCGAAAACGTTTACTCAACTTCTTAGTGGGAAATAATGGGTAAGGAAAATGAATCAGACAGTTCAAAGAAAAGAAGAAAATCTATAGGGAGTACTACGGCTAATACTGTGAAAGATGGTGATATATACAAGGTAAGTAACTTATTTATTGATTAGAAGAGAAATATTATTTGAGAATGTAGGATTATTACTATTTTATTTTAGGCTATTATAAATTATGAGGAGAAAGAAGCTCACGAACGATCTTCTGAGAAGGATTCAGAGAGTTTCTTGTTAACATGTGAAAACATACGCAAGGCTATGAAAAATATAGCAAAATTGAAAGGCTGTGGAGACGATTGTGTTCGTAAAATTTTTCATATTTTTCTTAGGCCATTTATTTTTTTAAATTTAATTACACATTATGTATTTTAGGCAAAAACCGACGTACATGAGCTTCAGGTTACTACTGCTTTAGCATTTATCGAATTGAAAAAGCTTAATCGAATGGAGAAATTTAGAACTAAATTTGCAAGAGATTCTCTTATATCAGCAAAAAGTAGTGTCGATAGTAGACATCTTCATTTGCAAAATTTATTATATGAAGTTATGCATCTAAAAAAAGAAGTTGTAAAATGTCTCCAATTCAAGTATGTTTCATATAATATTTTATTGAATTTCCAATGATGTGTATAAGATATAACTCACAAATTTTTATGTAGATCTAAAGACGAATCTATAGAATTAGTACCTGAGGAAGAATTCTATAAGGAAGCACCAGAAAATGTTTCAAGACCTGTAAGTATTTGATATTTGACAATGCAGTTATAAATATCCAGTAAAATATTGATACTTTACGTTTAACAGGATATTACCAAAAATGATCCACATCAATTAAGACTTGCACGTTTAGAATGGGAATTGACTCAACGAAAACAACTTGCAGCTTTATGCGATGAACTCACAGAAAGTAAAAAAAGTGCAGCATCGGGTATAGAATCTAAACAGACAAGACTTGATAATCTGGCTCCACAACTACGTTTGATCCTAGAAGTAAATATATTTTATTTCAAGCATAGTTCTTCATAACTTTGCAACAGTGTAACCCTACAATAATTTGCCGATAGGCTAGCAAGCCTTTACAGGATAGCCTTGGTCTTCCGTTGGACAAAGTTAGGCAGGAGCATAAAAAAGCAGCATTGCTGGCGTCACCTTTATATGTTCTCTATGCCAAAGCTACTGCCTATAGAGACGCTTATGGTATGAAACAATAAATAATATACAAAACAATTTGTTCAAAATCTATAAATTGTTCTTCAACTTTATGTCTTGTAGATTCGTCTCTTGTGGTGAGTGTGGAGGGTGATGATGATGACGCGAAACGATCAAACGATCAAGAGGGCACGCAAGAATCTGATTCAGATGCAGAAACGCAGTCAGAAAATATCGTGGAAGAAATTCCGGTGCATAAAAAGAGACACCACAGACTGTCAAAAGAAGCCAGACAGGAAGAAAAACGATCGAGACTTCTACATAGACATCCACTTAGCGTTAAGATTATTATTGTACTCAAGATGGATACAAAATTGACGTTACAATTTTATTATATGACTTTCTTGAAAGTTATCACGGTGGAATCAAAACTTGATGCAGACAATGTCGGTGGAATAAGTGCAGGGTAAGCATATATTAGAATCCACAGATGTGCGCAAATTTTTCAAAATTCTACAGTTTTTTTTCAATAAAACAGGGACATGCTTGTATCCGACTCTATCTTACGCGAATTGTATCCAAAAGATTTTGGATTGGAGAGCCCCAATCCTGCGAATCATTACCAATTACTAAGACATAATTTGGGCCCATTCTCTACACTGGAAGTAGGAATTCCCTATAAATGGGCCCAACGAATGGCGGGTTTACACTTTATATCTACTGACCCTCAAGAACAAAAGGTGCTCCTATTAATTACAAATTGTATTTGTTCTCAATGGATAAAATCAAATATTCAAACTCCATTGTCTTGGCAGGTTACAAATCAAGTACTCGCACAGGACAGCGTAGAATGTGTCTTGAAAGAGATAAAGAGACGCGTAAGAGCGCGTTTAGAATTGTGCGCGGAAATTCGTCAATTAGAATCCGGAAATTTGTCAATATTCACCAACAACGTCGACCCCATGCCGCAGAAGGTGTCTACAAGTCTGTATAGGTTTTCCACAATAACATGGAAGAGTTATTCCAGTTATCCGGACATGCCACCATTTTGTCAACAGGGTCTAGTGTCACCAGTTGATATATTCTACGAAGCTGTCCTACGTCGAGGAAGTAGTGCGTACACCCTATCATTAACATAATTTCAGAAAATATATGTCTTACTGCATACAAAAACCGTAAAAATATTTTTAGGTGAACTTGTATCTCGCATCGCTATTAAACCAGATTATCCAAGGGTGATGCCAGTTTTTGGTATCAAGATTAATCAAACCGTACCAATATCTCCAGACATTCTACGCGATATCGAAAGGGAAGTAAATGTTATGTGGGAAAAACCGCCAACCCTCTCTGCTCAATTGCAACGTTTACGAGCATGTTTTGACATTTATTTAGAGACTGAGTGTATGGCACCTCGTGAGAAGATCTTCTTCCATACAGTAAGAGGAAGAACACGGGCACGGCCATATAAATATTTATCACTGGGAGGTGGAATATTCACGCACCGTTAATTACGAAAAATTATATGTATTTACTTGAGAAATATAATAAACTTTTTTCTATGAAGACAAAAAAAGATTTAAGGCTACATTAGAATACTACAGTCACGCAACTTCCTAAATAATTTAAACATATTATTTTAATTGATACTTAGATAATTTTACCTCCAAAGGTCCCATGTAATTTATATTTACAAAAAAAAACATCTAAAATAAGGAAACAGCATTCCCACGATACGAGGCGATGTGTCATTAAAATAAGTCTCCGCCAATCGCAAAGCACGACCGTGATTCTAAGGAGAATCAATGGCTTCCAGTATTTCAAGCACGCTTGCTGTCTTCTTGCTGCGTATTACAGCTCTAATCGTGAACGGTGCACGTTCTCTATACTCTGCGGAAAGCAGACTGTATAAAATAGGGATTTTCTTTACTCCGATTTCAAATTATTACTGTATTATAGCTGAATCAAGAGGCACTGTAGAGCCTCGCACCAAGTTGTAACTATAGCTTACGATTTGATAGGCGTTTAAAGCATTGTTTTATTGCATCCAGTGACAGTGTTTCTTTTTTGTTCAACGCAATGAATATAAGAAAAGAATTTGTGCTATTTTTCATAGCATTCCTAGTGGATATAATAAAAGGACAATATACACCGCCGTTAGCTACAGTGGTACCGATTCATCCTAAAGGAATACGTATATCCATTCCAGGCACGTAAGCGGAAGCCTTTTTAGTCTTATTTAATATTGTAAACTTGATTTTCCGGTTCTTATAGCGATTAGTGTTTAGAACGGTTTACAAAGTTATTTTGAAAGTAAAGGAATTCAATGGAAATCTGAAATTTAGAATACAATAAAATCTAAAAAAATTCTTTAATAATTATTTCTAAAAACTTTCCTTTTAAAATTGATAAACCAACGATAACCTTTGAAAGATGATTTTATTTCTCGTAACTTTTACAAATGAAAATAGTTTGTATTTCCCTATTTTTTATGAATTTTATAAACTGAAGATAGCTGAGTAATTGATATGCGAGTACGTATAAAGTTATCAGCAAGAATTCCAAGAATTTATTAAATTGCATTTATTTCCTCGTACAGACGAAGAGGGGATAACATTAGTAGCCTTTCATGTGAAGATCAATGAAGATTTTAATGGCCTTGAAGCCGGAACTATTGCTAGAGACATTGTTAAGGCACGAAACGGTTTATGGACTTACGAGGATAAACAAACGCAACTTCATAAGAGCGATATCGTCTACTACTGGATTCACGTCGTCTATAAGGGTCTGGGATATAATTTATTGGATCAACAATACGTAGTAAACGGTTCGTAATAAATAAAAATAATTGAATATGTCAAAAGATACAGATCTTGTATGGATTTTCAGAATTTTATAATTTCGATGGAACTCCTGTTAACGTTACTCCAACTGATAACCCATCTTGTGTCCTTTCGGACACGAGAATTAAAATGGAGACTGGTGAACTACGACAAGCTTGTTCCGGCGAATTAATATTTGATGAACAATTTGAAAATATACAGACATGGCGATGGCACGTCAATGAACGCTTCTCTGGTGCTCCGGTGAGTTATGAAACTGGATTTCTCATATAAATGATATGATAATTGAGAATTTTCTAGGATTATGAGTTTGTCGTTTATACAAAAGATTCAGATAATGTCCAATTAAAGAATGGAATATTAAAAATACAACCAACACTTATGCAAGAGAAGTATAACGCACAGTTCGTACGTCATGGCCACCTCGTACTGGAGAAGTAATAAAATCATTTGAAAGCATAAATAAACGTTGGCAAACAAATAATTATTTTTTTAATTTATAATAATCTACAACAGCTGCACAGAAGTAGTAGGATCAGAGTATTGTCATCGTCAAGCAAGAGGATCATCAATTCTTCCACCAGTGTTGTCAGGTCGACTCGACACAAAAATGACTTTCAATTTCATCTACGGACGTATAGAAATCCGGGCGAAATTGCCTCGTGGCGATTGGATTTATCCACGTAAGTGTTTTGTAAGGTCAAATACAAAATTGCCAATAATTGCATTACCATAATGTGTTTACGTTCTCAAAGTTCTTACGCTGGATCCCTTAAATCCTCTAAACGGGGAATTAAATCCCCCCCAGATGAGGATAGCTTATTCTTCCGGCAATCAGGAATTACGCATGGTTGATGGAACAGACGTCGGAGGTCGTCTTCTGGGTGCAGGTGGTATAGATGCCCTGGGCGTGGGTGCAAAGAGATGGCAATACATGGCGAAAAAATATTCACAACATTTCTGGTCTAATGAATATCATACTTACGAATTAGAATGGAGACAGGATAGAATAATCGTTAAAGTAGACGGCACTCAGTATGGTAATAAAGTGCGACAGACGAGTTCTCCATTCGACAAGCCGGTGAGCAATAAGAAATAAATAGAGATAATATAAATTGTGCATTCCTACACAAAAATTCGTGCACATGCTAATTGTTTTTATATTTTATTTACCTCACTGGCATAACAATATGTTTCTCTTTTTGTACTTGTTCAGTATTACTTAACCATCGGCGTGGCCGTGGGCGGATATGGTGAATTTGCGGACAACAGTACCAGTAATGGATACAGAAAACCCTGGCGTAATATCGCCTCCAAGGTATAAATAGCATAAAAAGTAAATTTATTATCTATACGATATACATATATCTTATATGACTTTGTTTCACTTTAGGCGCTTTTCAACTTCTTCACTGCGACTAACTTATGGCATGAGACATGGAAAGAGGATTCCACAGCTCTTGAAATCGATTACATAAAAATTTGGGCATTATAAATGACCCTTAGCATCATTCAATCTATAGGGTCTCATCGTCACTATGAGGAATTAATAAACTACAGTTAAAGTGGATACTTCAAAAAGAGTATCTCTAAAGAAGAAAAAGATTTATTTTATTATAAAATTAACATAATCGCACGTCACTTCATGTGTAGATTTTATACGTTGAACTGTGTACATTAAAAACTGGTCGACATCAAAATCGAGATGTCATCGTCCCAATACTGTTATATTCTCTTGTGATATTCAAACCGGTCTGTATCCATTACTTGACCGGTTATTCTCGCTGGCTGCTTCTCCCACAGTAGAACAGGGGACCGTGCGGACAAGAGGTACAATAGAAGCAGAAAATGAGCGACACAGTGGCGAACCTTTCTAATAATTTCCGTACAATGTAAATTTGGGTAATCTAATATTAAAATTTTGTTATGTAATATATTATTCAAAATGTACTTCGGATGTCCTATGGATGTTCAGACAGAGAAAACTAATCTGAGACTATAAGGATGAGTAGGAAATCTAGCAGGAAACCCATCTCAAAATCCGGAGCAACCTGATCAGTAGTCTACTGAAACTATGTGAGCTTCTCTTTAGAATTTTTCTAAATCTTAAAGAGCATTATGTCTGGTCTTAGTATCTGAAATTATTTAACCCCTTTTCGAGACTAGTTGCAGTGGGAGTTATTTTGATTCAGTTTTTAGTGTTCGTGAAGCATCTATCCCCAACATCACACGACATCCAACAAAGAAAATCATTGTAATCGTTAGTTATTTGCTTCTCCTCAATTTTGAAACTGTTTCCGTTTATGAGTTTATAAGTGTAACATATCTTGGTTACAGCTAACAATTATTCGCAAAAATTAGCACCGCATAGATTTGTCAATGGTAATTCTTCAAACGAATTAAAATACTTTCCTCATACAGTATAAGAGGAGATAACTCTAGTAAACCTTTAGATGAGGACTACTGAAGATTATCATGCTTTTAAAGCAGGAACCGTTGCAAGTAATATTATTTAAACTTGTAAAAGTGTTTCGAGAGAGAACAGCCAGACGGAATTTCGTAAGGATGACATAGTTTTTTTATTAACTTCACGTTATCCACAAGGGCCTGAAACGTAACCTCTACACTTCCAGTAATATATAGTGAACCTTTAGTACCAGATTTATACGAATGAATATGTTTGAGAAAAGAAAATTGAATCTTCGGCATCGTATATATTTGATGGAACATTTGTTAACATTATTTCATATGATGACCGATTTTTCATTTTCTCGGATATAAAGATCAGGATGGAAACTGATAGAATGAGACAAGCTTATTATAACGAATCAACATTTAATAAAACATTTGAACATTTTTACACATGGCCATATATTATTAATGAACCCTCTAACATGTAGGTGATACATAAACCTGATTTCTTAAATAAATGATTATGAAAGACTGAGCGTCCAAACTTGGGCATTATAAATTAATTTGTATATTATTACCAGTATCATTCTTTTATCATAATGTCATTAGACATTATTATTCTCCCTTGAAATAAATACACATACTTTATTTAGTCATTACATTCACTGATGTCTCAATGGAGCATTTTGTTGGAAGTGAACTGGAGGCTGTGTAAATACACCGGATCCTAGCATCTCTATAAGACGTTCACCCCGCCTACCATAACGTCTTTGATATTCAAAAGAAGCACGCGGTCCATCGTCAGGTCGAAATTCGATATATTGTTTCTCAGGACCTGGTGGTCCCAGAGCATATTGACGAATAGTAGCAATACCCTTATTAAATCCAGTAACTATTTCATTGCCGAAGGAGATAATACCAGGCAGAAGATCATCCACCGTAGCAGAACAAGAGCAGAACTATAAATACAATATAAATTTTTGTACGCCAAATACAAAACGTTGGAATGGAAAAAAACAGTCTTACCAAAGAAAAAAGGAAAATTCCTACGAAGATCCGCATGATTGGCCTGATGATTGAAAACTAGTAACTGTCTTCGAAGAACGATAACAAACATGTGTGACATCCTGAACGCATTCATTGGTTTTATTGACTTCTATCGAATCGTGACAATGTTTCGACATTAGCTTATCCATAGAACGATCAATCATTTCAGTAATTGTCATTCATTTAGCGCCGCCACTCGATACGAGGTGCATGCGTGGTTTGTCATACCTCCCCAATAACCTAACTTAAAGTTCTGTATTTGCTTCTTATTCTTGAATTTTTACTTTCACTCACTCTAGGCTTCCCCCTTTACTCAGCAAATCTCTTCTACGAGACAGGAATCATTGGTATTAAATGCGAGTTACATCAGTCTTATATCGCAAGCGTTCAAAGAAGGATCAGAGAATATGGACCTGAGATTGACCCTGGTAATAAATGGTGTCACGTGACCAAACCAACTGGATTTAAAGTTTGATATTATACAAATATACATATACATATAAATTGCAGGTAATAGTGTTAACGGTACAGACAGGAATAGAGGCAGCATCCGTCCTGACCTTTGTACATGATCTCATTCAGAATAATGTGGCAGGTGTACCAGTAATACATGAGGTGCTATTTATTATTGTTTACTGTCTATCAAAATGGTCGATACTCAAATACTAATATATAATAATTTATTCAGAGGACGCAGTGGGAATTTGATCCTGATCTTGGAAAACAGAGAAGGGTTCAATTTGAAGCCTTGAATGGAAAACTTGGAGAAGATCTTATTGCTAGGCTGGGTATGGGAGTCGGATTTAAAGGACCATGGGGTACAGTCGTAGGAAGAAATGGCGTTCGATAAAAGTGGCGAAAGCGACTACGGCCTCGAACTTCCTTTACTTTCCCGTTCATTTAAATGGGTACGAAATTCTGATCATGACCAACAGTTCACTTTCGACTCTCATACGCATATTCATTGAATTCTTTGGAATAGTGCATAAGGAATTATAATAAAAGAACTGTTCCCGTGGTTCAGTGATACCAATAATGTATGCATGTAAAATATATGATACAACCTCTGCCATTAAAAGTACTATTTTTCTGGATTTTTTAAATCAATGGCTCATTGTATACGTATTCAATTTTAGGAAAACATATTAATTTATAAAACGGAATACGTTAACGTGCCGAAACGTAGGTCTTCTTCTTGCGGCAATCGCATTATAATAATACTAATAATATGTATACGTGACTATCGCCTGTAAATCGCTTACTTACCTACAGCCATACAACTTTCACTCCTTTCCCCTTCTCTCGATGAATTCCATGACTTTTCAACAGCTAAGAACCGACAGAATCAAACGACTCGTCACGGTGTACGTTCACGACAACATCCGTTGTCACTTGATTAAGGATTTCGAGGATTTTTATTAATCCTATATAAAATCCACAGTATCAAACAATTATGGCGCAATATTTGAACGTAAGTAAAGAAATTTATGGTCAAGGTAAAAGTGTATAGTAGCAAAAAATTAGAACTGTTCAAGGGCAACCGTACGCTTTCCAATTTTAACTCGGATTCCCAGAACGTTTATTTAAGATGTTATGTACATTTTTTATCTTTGAATTAATTCTTATCATTTGTCAATATTCTCTGTCATCTCTTATATACAGTGGATCTATGCGATTGTACTATTCGTACTAATTGGTATCGTTCGTCATTCATCAGCAACAATAGCTCAACCTAGAGCTCCTAATTTTCAATATTTCGAAAGGTAACGATGATCTTTCTAACTTTTGATTTCTTAAACGAGGAATTCTGTTTAATAACGTGGATATTTTTTCTATCGCAGGCCAAAGTACCGTTATCCTTTCTACGATGAAAATGGAAGAGGTCGACTCCTTTACGGATACGGAGGATCAGACTTGTACCAGTATAGAACCTACACAGCCTTAGAAGGAATACACTGATTAAAAGATATAAAAAATATAATCGAGAAATTATTTTTGCTCCGGTGTTCACGATGATACGGTACTTGTAACTCTCAATCACTATGTAAATCCTGATAGAACCCCTGACCCGAAGTATGTTGTATAGCGTCCTCGAATAAGTATAGATTGCATAAAATAGATTGTACATTTTTTACAAGAAATTATGATTGTTACTATATAACAAAAATTCTGACTATCTCTTGGACTCTGATCTTTGTTGTATAATATACAAATTATAAAAAAAAAATTATATTATAATTTTTCCTCCGTATGTGTGTGCATATGTAACCAGTCTCTTCGCGACTATGTATTTATGTGTATATATTGTAACCTTATTCGCACGATACGGTTCTCCGGATCGTGCCAAAAAGGCGGGTTCGAGCCAGAATCGACTGTTAGGAATTTAGGAAAGATATCTGGGAGAACAAATAAAAGTGAGATTTTGTTTTACAAATTACAAAAGAAAGATATATTGCCCTACAACGGAATACAAGCAGGGTTAGTGCAAGTCCAGCCTAGAGAATGCTGGATGTTAGTAAGCGAAGAATAGATATAAACGTAAGCGGAAAGAAATAATGATTGTAAGACGCGGTTTACCTACACGATATGTCTGACGGGACCGGAAATAATAGGTCCGTCTACTCTCGTGTGATTCTATTTTGACCCTAGTTGTTTTTCTATAAATGAAATATAGAATCGTGTCTGAAAGCAGCCTCCGACCAGCGGAATTTGATTACAGAGTTGACTCGTTAGAATATAAGCGTCGTGCTGTTGAGCAGTCTTCCACATGGGAACTGGTGATCACAGGTAGACGTGGTCCTATCTAAAACAACGTTGCTATCTTGGCGAGGTGAGAAGTCTCATTCGAAAAGTAGCTAGTTGTGCAAGTCTTTAAACAAAGTTAGCATGTATAGCGGAAATGGCACAATGATCAAACGTGTCAAAGTGACGGTCCGACTGAAATGCAGAGATTGATTCTATCTGGCAGAAGAGATGGTTTGCTGGATTACAAGAGTAGAAGTACCTCTAGATATGATGGTCAAGTGGGACGGTTTGCCCGCTTGCCCGAGACGGTTTGCTCGTTTACTATACTAAAGGTAACCTAGCTAGCTCAGGTGATAGAATGCTCGAGTCGCGAAATGTCGCCGTTTATATACCCGTCAACGGTAGGCCAGGGGGCCTGAGAGGTGCGGAAGAATTGAGCGTCGCGATGCCTACGAATTGTTATTACTTGATATTTAAGGTTGTTCGGGTTAGCGGGATCTTATTATTACCGCGATACGAATATCCTCGGATGTATTGGTTACAATATATATTCGCTCTCGGCTTTTATCGTAAAGAGGAAACACAGAAAAGGAAATACTAAATAAAAAACATGAATAATACATCAGACGGAAATGCCAAAGAGGGAGATCCCAAGATGACGCAATTAATAAAAACACGACTGTACGTCGTGATACAAGCTGGATTGGAAATTCCCCAAGTTGGCATAGCTATTAGAATCCGCATAAGCTGGAGAGAACAGTAATACCAAAATAGTAAAGTGTTGTCAGGTGTTGTTTATCAGTATTGATAAAATCTTTATCTTTAATCTAGTGCATGTTAGAGAATGAATAATATATGTTGGTGTCTGCTTATTTCAACGTACAATATCGCGTTGTCAGCACAATATAAAGAATTAGGAGATTTGCCAAATTTTTATATTCCAACTGGTAAGTGCAATTGAAAAAATGTATAATTAAAAACAAAACAAATAATTTCTTTAATGTGCAGATGCTCCATTGGCTGGACGCAATGAGAATATATTAAACTGTCAAGATATCAGTGAAACTACTGTTAATGGTAAACATGTTTGTCGTGGTCAAATAATCTTGAAAGATAATTTTAATTTTATTAATACTGATATTTGGAAGTATGACGTTCGCATCCCAACAGAACCAGTGAGTGGTATTATTATATTAAAAATTATAAAAGAATGAAATTTAAATACAGTTTTATTACAGGATTACGAATTTGTTACTTATGTAAAATTAAATCAGACTGCTTATGTTAACGATGGAATTTTACATTTAAAACCAACTCTATTGAAGAACGTTGGAGAAAATGGTAAAGGCAATTTACATCTGGAAGGATGCACGGCATCCATACATGGAGGAGAATGCTCAAGAAACTCAATGAGTTTTCAGGTCAGTGTCAAGTTTTGCTATAAATTCTTTTAACTGATCTGAGCTGTTTTTCTATTTTTAAAATAATATGTGACAGGTTTTACCACCAGTATTGGCTGCAAGGATACGTACAAGGGAGTCCATTTCGTTTCGCTATGGGGAAGTCAAAATCCGTGCTAAAATGCCTAAAGGAGATTGGATATATCCAAGTAAGATTGACAGTCGTAATGATTATTGTTATTATATTAGTAGGATATAGTAAAAATATGATATATGTATGTGTTTTTAGTTATCTGGCTCGAGCCAAAAGACAGTGAATATGGATTGTGGTATATATCTGGTCGAATAATAATTGCCTTTTCGCGTGGCAATGAGAAGCTTGGAAATAATCAGTCATTAAATTATGGGCAAATGGCTCTTTATAGAGGGTGTATGTATTGGCCTGATAATTTAGGAATTTTTACGCAACCATTTATACCTTACATACATAGAGGGACAGTTTGGTCGGATGATTTTCATACATATAGCATGAAATGGACACCTGGTAACATATTAGACAGGTTATAGCATTTTATTTTATTTGTGTCTTTATTATATTAGCCGAATAATTTTTACAGACGAATTAACATTCAAAGTAGATGGCAAAGGAAAAAGTTCGTGTCGACCACCCAATAAAGTACTTTATGGTCGTGAAACCATATGGAGTAAGGGTGGCAACATAGCTCCGTTCGACAAAGAAGTATGAATTATATCATTGTTTTATTAGTGTTTAATAACAATTAAAGAATTATAATACTTTTACGAATTTTAGTTCTACGTTACACTAGGAATTGCTGTTGGTGGTATTCGTGAATTTCCAGACAATTTCACAGGAACTAATAATCGTAAAAAACCATGGAAAAATAATGGGGCTAAGGTAACTAAAAAAACTGTTTAATTATAGAATGATGTTATTTATATTTTTCTGTCTTTTAGGCTTTACTGAATTTTTGGAAAGACAAGCAAAACTGGAAAAGTACCTGGCATTCACCGAATACCTCGCTTCAGATAGATTCTATTGAGATTACAGCTGTATAAATATCAGATTGTTCCCTCTTTAAAATACCTGACATATACGTACAACGTCGAATATCTGTTAATACATGTCTTAAAAGAAAAATAATAATTCACAAATATTATGTTAATAAGAGGATCTACAAATTTGTAGATTCTTTAAAAATAACAATAAAAACCAAATTTTTTATCACAGCATTAAATGTACAATCACATTAAATCAAACTGGAGAGGTGTTTAATCTTCGACAAAGGATTAAACAAGCAAATCGAAAATTCCGAGATTGCTCATTATAAATTTGTGAATTAGTACATATACAGGGTGTTCGTTATAAAACGCACTGTAGTAACATCGTTGCATTCCTTGTCAAATTCTAAAGAATACGTGTATTTTCATTTCTTATTTCATATATCAAAAATTCGAGATAATCAAAGTTGAAGTTGCAGTGATGCGACCAATCAGAACGCGTTTAACGGCGCGTAAATAAGGTCGCGTGCCAGCCCGCAAGGCCTGCTTACACTAGGCCAATGACACTAAAAGTATCGTCTCTTGTATCTTACTCAATTACATGCAGATAAACCGGAACACTACGACGATACTCTTAGTCTTATTGGCCTAGTGTAAGCAGGCCTTGCGGGCTGGCTCGCGACGTCATTTACGCGCCGTTAAACGCGTTCTGATTGGTCGCATCACTGCAACTTCAACCTTGGTTATCACGAAATTTTGATATATGAAATAAAAAATGAAAATACACGTATTCCTTAGAATTTGACAAGGAATGCAACGATGTTACTACAGTGCGTTTCATAACGAACACCCTGTATATGTACTAATTCACAAATTTATAATGAGCAATCTCGGAATTTTCGATTTGCTTGTTTAATCCTTTGTCGAAGATTAAACACCTCTCCAGTTTGATTTAATGTGATTGTACATTTAATGCTGTGATAAAAAATTTGGTTTTGGTTGGTATTTTTAAAGAATCTACAAATTTCTAGATCCTCTTATTAAGATAATATTTAAGAATTATTATTTTTCTTTTAAGATATGTATTAACAGATGTTCGACATTGCACATACATGCCAGGTGCTTCAAAATGGGATCAATCTGATATTTATTCAGCTGTAATCTCAATGGAATTTATCTGAAGCGAGGTATTCGGTGAATGCCAACTACTTTTCCAGTTTTGCTTGTCTTTCCAAAAAATCAGTAAAGCCTAAAAAAAACAGAACAATATAAATAATATCATTTTATAATTAAACTTTTTTTTAGTTACGTTAGCCCCATTATTTTTCCATGGTTTTGTACGGTTATTAGTTCCTGTGAAATTGTCACTTACGCGCCGTTGAACGCGTTCTGATTGGTCGCATCACTGCAACTTCAACCTTGGTTATCTCGAAATTTTGATATATGAAATATAAAATGAAAATACACGTATTCTTTAGAATTTGACAAGGAATGCAATGGTGTTACTACAGTGCGTTTCATAACGAACACCCTGTATATGTACTAATTCACAAATTTATAATGAGCAATCTCGGAATTTTCGATTTGCTTGTTCAACCCTTTGTCGAAGATTAAACACCTCTCCAGATTGATTTAATGTGATTGTACATTTAATGCTGTGATAAAGAATTTGGTTTTGGTTGGTATTTTTAAAGAATCTACAAATTTCTAGATCCTCTTATTAAGATAATATTTAAGAATTATTATTTTTCTTTTAAGATATGTATTAACAGATGTTCGACATTGCACATACATGCCAGGTGCTTCAAAATGGGATCAATCTGATATTTATTCAGCTGTAATCTCAATGGAATTTATCTGAAGCGAGGTATTCGGTGAATGCCAACTACTTTTCCAGTTTTGCTTGTCTTTCCAAAAATTCAGTAAAGCCTAAAAAAACAGAACAATATAAATAATATCATTTTATAATTAAACTTTTTTTTAGTTACCTTAGCCCCATTATCTTTCCATGGTTTTGTACGGTTATTAGTTCCTGTGAAATTGTCATTTACGCTCCGTTTAAACGCGTTCTGATTGGTCGCATCACTGCAACTTCAACCTTGGTTATCTCGAAATTTTGATATATGAAATAAAAAATGAAAATACACGTATTCTTTAGAATTTGACAAGGAATGCAATGGTGTTACTACAGTGCGTTTCATAACGAACACCCTGTATATGTCGCTGGAAATGATTAGTGAGTGTGCAAAGTAAGCACCATCAATGATTTATCAATACCTAATAACTTCATTTCTTATGATTTGCTGTGAACAAGCTCGTTTTAAATTCCCCTACCACAACGTGTTCGAATAGAATATAAAACGCTGATGAGATTTACAGACATTCACATTTACTGAGGAAGTGCAGAAAGTATGACGTTAGTGTTAAAGTACCACATCCTATTTTTTTTGCATAACTGGAGGCGAAGTTTGTTAGGATTTTATTTGTTACAGGAAAACCACGATGATAACATGGGTTCTGACAGTTTACTGTCTACTCGGTACAGCACTATGTAAAATCTGCGTGCGCGAGTCCGTGACCGTTGCCAGCGGTACCAGAGCCCCTCAAGGTCCATATTGCAGTGGTGACCTGATCTTCGCGGATGAATTTGACGTCCTGGACTTTAAGACATGGCAGCACGAAATCACAGCAGCTGGTGGAGGAGTATGTAACAGATCAGAACAAAATTATCATATCGAATAGTACTGAGTATATCTATATTATTAATATGTTACAGAATTGGGAATTCAATTACTATCATAATAATCGTAGTAATAGTTACACTGTTGATGGTTCCTTGTGGATACGGCCCACATTGACCTCCGACACCTATGGTGAGGCGTTCTTGACCTCGGGTACACTGAACTTAAATAACGGTGCTCCAGCTGATCAGTATGTACTATTCGCTTTTATCAAATTTTATAAATAATTATCATAACTAATTTTATAATTTTATTCTAGATGTACAAATGCATTGTTCTATGGTTGCGAAAGAACTGGTACTCCAAACAATGTCATAAATCCAATTCAAAGTGCAAGACTTCGCACTGTTAATTCTTTCAGTTTTAAATATGGCACCGTTCATGTTCGTGCCAAAATGCCTACTGGAGATTGGTTATGGCCAGGTAACTACTTTGTCACTTTTTATTTCAATAATTAAATATTGCACAATTTTAGTGTTATGATACGTAAAAATTGTATTTTTATCATTTTGAGATTTTAGGCTTTCGCGGCCAATACTGTCATTAGTACTCATGGATTCCGGATGGAAGCCGCGTCTGTGTTCAGCTTCGTGCCGACGTTTCGCAAACGTCTCAGTCTGCATCTTCAGGACTGTTGGCAGGAAGTCTTAATATACCTATGGTTGCTCATGGGGATCGGTGCTTCAGCCAATCATAAGTTGTTTTAATTGATCAGCTGATCAACTGAACACAACTTGTGATTGAATTGATCAGCTGATCAACTAAAAACAACTTATGATTGGCTGAAGCACTGATCCGCATGAGCAACCATAGGTGTATTAAGACTTCCTGACAACAGGGAGCTTCAGTATCGGAGCCTCCTAGTCCTGAAGATGCAGACTGAAACGTTTGCGAAACGTCGGCACGAAGCTAACACAGACGCGACTTCCATCCAGAAACCATGAGTACTAATGTATTTTTATCATTTTTTTCTCCAAGCTATCTGGATGCTGCCTCGTGACAATGCTTACGGAACTTGGCCTGCAAGTGGAGAGATCGATATTACAGAAAATCGTGGTAACACTCAACTGTACGAAAATGGCGTAAACATTGGCGTAGAGCAGACAGGAGGTACACTTCATTTTGGACCACATGCCGATCTTAACGGATATGAAAATGCACACTATCTCAAAAATTCACCTTCCGGGCAAGGATATAATCTAGATTATCACGTTTACAAAGTCATTTGGACACCAGGTAAGAATTAAAAGTATTATTTACCCCAATCCACATTTATTTAACATATTTAATAATTCATTAATGTCTTTGATCCAGATAGCATCACGTTCCTGGTAGATGATGAATTAATAGGTACAGTTACCCCAAATACCAATTTCTGGGATTTAGGACAGTTTGAAACTCGTGAACCAGGAACCGAGAACCCTTGGCGATACGGTACCAAAATGGCGCCCTTCGACCAAGAGTTTTACATTATTCTAAATCTCGCTGTGGGTGGTACCAATTTTTTTCCTGATGGCGCTACTAATCCCAATGCCAAACCATGGTTAAACAAGTCACCTACTGCCGCAACTGACTTCTGGAACGCAAGATCTAATTGGCTACCAACATGGAACCTCAGTGACAACACAACAGCAAGTCTGGCTGTTGATTATGTTCGCGTTTGGGCTCTTTAAATTCGAGGGGAATCACTGGGATTCGTCGATTCCCATTTTTGAAACTCGTAATTATATTGCTGTTCTGAGTGTATTATTTAACTAAAAAAGAGTTACGGACGAGATAATGGGACTTATTAAGAACGCTAGACGTACTCAATTATTGTTTTCTCGTATTTATTAATTTCGCAGAATAAACAAAAATATGTATAAGCAAGTAGTTAAGACTACACTATGGCAATGTAAGACGAATGTAAAAACACTCTCGATGCCCGATTAAAATTAATAGAATGCAAGAGATGCACACGTGCCAGATATTTAATGATGATCATTCTTCATTTTAAATACACATTTATACGATATCAAGTAGGCGTCCATTCTCAATGCGGAAAACACATCGCTCAATCACATTCCACTTAATTACTCGCAAGTTTTCATAATCGTGACGCCAACTTAATGAGTGAACGACAATAAGGATAAAACGTAACGATTATGCCAGGAAATGGCGGAATAAATAACATTCGATATGCAGTCACATTGATTTCGATATGCAGTCACATTGATTTCGATATATAAACAGACTTCAGGAACGTGGAACAAAATTGCTGTAGATTTCTTTTTAATGTTCCACGATCTTGCGCGCTTATAAATGAACCATACAAAAATTATTTCAACATTATGCCCGCCGATACAAAGAATAACCACGATAAGTAGCGTAATTTCGCAGAATAATATGTTTGCAAAGTCTATGTAGTACCTTCTCTACAATAAAATGATCTTCAAGGACATCCTTAAAACCACTTTCATTTTTCTGCCTGCAAATTGGTACATGCGTTTCTAGGTATTATTCGTAGTTGCTAGATAAAAATTTACCATTGACATTTTTAGTTTTGCTCTAAATATTGTGCCTTTTGAGAATCAGGTGAAAAACGTGATTATACCATGAATAAAAATCGTATGCGAGATTCTGCTTCTATGCTGTGTGCTAGTATAAAGTGTCTACTGACTTCATAGTGATTTTTATATGGTTCCCATTATATAATTAGCGATCGTGTGAATGTACTGCTTCATTATAATATGATCGTACTAATTCTCTTTCGTGTAGTGCTATAAACGACGACGACGATGATATTAATATTAGAGAAATAGTGTTAAATCATTGTACAAGTGATTTATGTGTGATTTTGTTGCGTGCTTCACAGGTGATTAGTCGTTGCAAGTGAAAAAGCAGAAAAGAATGTCTTGGTCATGTATTTTCTTTGTTCTTCGGATTTTATAAAATTACTACGTACATTCTATAAAGTCATGGGGTATGCCACTTGTACAATTAAAATATATGGAATGACAGCACTAACACCTTTGTCAACTTTTGAAATGAAAGTGTAACGTAGTCTACGCGATACAATGGGCGTGTTAGAATATAAATTTTAAAAGGTAATAAATGCAGTCTCGCGTATTCCACGATAAACGTAAAACGTCCTGTGACTCACTGCTTGCTTTCATTCATATACGGCTTTTTGCAGGAATCGAGCAGGTATGTCTTATTAATCTATTGAGATCATTCTCGTCGTACTAATCAATTAACGTACTGTAGAATTCTTGATTTTACTGTCGAAACAGACTTCCGAGTATTTTAAGTGTTCACAGGAAGTTTTAGGCGATCGAGTTAACATCTAACGTGGACCGCGAGAATAAATAGTAGAAAACAAAAATAATGGCCTGTCCGAGAATAATTGACGATTTCGTTACAAAAATCCGCCATTGTCTAACCATTTTCTTGGGAAAAAATGCAGTTTTCTTCTTTTTTCAAGAAGCCTCCAGTTAAACAAATCACTGGTTACTTGCAAGTTCAAATGCATTTTTGACTCTGGTCTGCATTTAATATTTACCCGGCGTCCGAGATGACATTAATTCTTGCGTTGATAACGGATTTTCGAATTGATGAAAATTTAAGATACGAAGATAGAAGGAAGGAATAAAAGAAAGAAGAGAAAAACAGCGTAAGGGAAGTTCACAAAGAGAAAGATGAGTGGGATAAGAAAAGTCCATCCTTGCCAATCACTACGCGTTCGTCTTCTATAATCGAGTATCTCTAATCCAGAGAGAATTCGAGGCAGGTATCTTGCTGCCTGAAAAATGTTCATTCGAATTCTAACAAGTTTAGAAAAGACTAATCTCAATAGTTCATCCCGATTTGCCATTTCTAGAAGGGGAGTGTGTTTATAGAGAACCAGAGAAACAGTTACTGAATTACCTTCTTGTTTAACAGTTGAGATTAAGAACGCAAGGCAAGGACTTTGTAAAGGATTTAGGAGTTTTGGAAAATGGGGAGGACTACTTGTCACTATTGCTATCCTTGTTTATTCCGTGTGAGGCTTCTCTGTCTCGCCGGTCGACTGTAATTGTCATACGAAGTCCATTTCAGACTTACTGTAATATCGGCCACTGGTCCGCCGCCTCTCCAATTGCCTCTCGAGAAACTTCTTGATCTCGCTAATCACGAAGACGCTGGACGTTAATGTCACCAGAAACACTATATCTGCAGATTATTGCAAGACCGAGGTTAAGAGGTTATTTCTACTACAACGTCATCCATTTAATTTAAGATATATGTTCACCTTTGAGTGTAAGAGCTTCTGTTAGAAACACTTTTTGCAGCGGATGGAAGTAAATGACCAGCATTTGACCCACGACGGACAACGTTACCGCCACAAGGAACATTTTATTACTCAATACACCAATAGTAAATATGGATTTCGTCTAAAACAAATAATTCAATAATCGATTATTAAATTATGAAAATAAATTTCATATAGAATATTGAGAACGTGGTAATACCTGTGACCGACAACTCAGAGCATTAAACATATCGAAAAAGACAAAACAGGTGAACGTCATCGTAGTGTCTCTTGCAGTAATTCCACCAGAAGTCATCTGCGATAAAAAAATATATTAATGAAAATGATTCTTAAACAAACGACAAAGCTGAGTTTCAAGTGATAAACATACTTCTCTATTATATACCCAAAGAGTACCCAATATAATAATAGCTGCGGATAGTAGGACATTTATTATGAGATGATTAGTGATCATAGGCTCCTTAGTATTTCTAGGTTTCTGTTTCAAAACATCCTTGTCAACAGGCTCAACACCCAAGCTAAAATTAAGTTGCCAAGAAAAACATGTTATGGATTATAAAAATAACAAAAAAGTACTCTCCCTCAGTGAATAGTGTAATTACTCACCTTTGAGCAGGTGGTCCATCCATAATTATATTGATCCATAAAATTTGCATAGCATTCAGCGGGTTGGGTATTCCCATTAAAGTAGCCAGGGCAATCAGAGAAAGTGCTGCTATGCTTGTGCTCAATTGAAATCGAACAAAGTTACGAATGTTATGAAAGATACCTTTACCCTCCTCAATAGCAGCACTAATTAAAAATATAAACGTTCATTAGTCAAAATGATAGCATACTAATGATTCTCTTTTATTAAAATAAATGTTTAAAGAAACATACATGATTGTTTCAAAATCATCATCCACCAAGATCATGTCGGCAGCTTCCTTGCAGACATCCGTACCATTCTTACCCATTGCAATGCCAATATCAGCCTTTTTTAAAGCAACACCATCATTTACACCGTCACCAGTCATTCCCACTATGTTTCCATTCTTCTGTAATGCTTTGACTATGCACAACTTATGCTTTGGAGTGACGCGATAGAAAACACTGACATTATCAATTATTTGTTCTAATTGATGCTCTGAAAGCATATCAATCTCATCCCCAGACATCAATCTCATGTGAATCGTATCGAGTCCAATCATACTAGCTATTAAAATAAGAATTGGTCAGCACTAAATGATCAGGTATCATTTAAAATGATTAAATTGTACACTAACTACGCACCAATTGCCCCAGCAGTTTCTTTGGCATCTCCTGTGACCATCTTGATCTTCACTCCACTATTCACAAGAGTTGTTATGGACTCGCGTACATGAGGTCTAGGCGGATCGCAAATTCCAACCAGACCCACGTAAACTAGATCTTGTAAGGACGAACCACGAGCCAAACCAATAACTAGTAAAATAATTGTAGGAATTAAATTATAAGTTAATGAATAATATCATTTTATAAAATATAATACCTCTTAAACCCTTTCTCCCGATGTCATAAGCCTCTGTTAGAAATTCCTGTTCTTTTTTCTGATTCAGGGAGTACAGTTGACCATTGGCGGAATATTTGGTGCATTGTGGTAAAATCTTTTCCATAGCGCCTTTTACGAAAAAGATTTCTTCTTTATTCTGAAAAATCAGAAAGAAAAGGAGTCGTGTGGTGACTTCTGATAAAAACCTTATTATTTGCTATTTCTTTTATTTACCTCGCCATACTTTGGTGTACATTTAACAGCCATCATTTTTTGCTCAGAAGAAAACGGATATTCCTGAAGTCTCAGATATTTTTCGGACACACCATACATTCCGTTTTTCATAGCAACAGCTATCAAAGCACCTTCGGTTGGCTGACCTAATAGTGTTTCATTCTGTATGATGGCATTATTGCAAACACACCCGACCTATGGATGGTAACGATAGTAACAATTAAAAAAAAACAATACTATTTTACAAGTTTAACGAATAAGAAATTTAAACTTTGTACCTCCAACATATTATTGATAGCAGCACGAGCAAGGTCAATATTGTCGCATTTACGTAGATGAAGATTACCCTGATCATTATAACCCGCTCCACTGACATCAGCCACATAACCCTCAGAAGTTACCAGGATTGTTACAGTCATTTCATTTTTGGTAATAGTCCCGGTTTTATCAGAACAAATGACATTCACGCAACCTATGCATTGGATACATATAAAAAAAAAAATAATTCAAGAACGTAGGCATAGGAGCAGATTAATTTACCTAGAGTCTCGACAGTAGGTAACTTCTTAATAATGGCCTTCCTCTTAGCCATTCTCATGACTCCTAATGCTAGGGTAACTGTCACGACGATTGGGAGTCCTTCCGGTATGGCTGCTACAGCTAAGCTGACGCTGATGGTGAACATCTCAAGGAGTGGCTTACCTTGGATCCAGCCCAGAAGCATGATAACTCCAATAATACAAAAGGAGTAGAAGGAGAGCTGTGTACCTAAAATATCCATGCTTCTCTGGAGGGGAGTCTTTGGTGCTTCTTCGGCTTGCATCATTGCAAAAATCTCCCCGAATTCACTCTTTTCACCCGTGTTCACTACAATTCCCTGCGTTACGAAAGCATAAGATTCTCTAGGATTGAGAAAGGATAGTGGGAACAGCCATGTTTAGCATTGAGGCTTACTTTGCCATTTCCACAGCGGACCAAGGTGCCCATGAAGGCGATGTTCCTCTTGGAGGTATGACCATTTGTCTTGAGTAAAGGTGACGTGCATTTTTGTGCAGGTTCCGTCTCACCAGTGAAACTACTCTCATCAATTGCTAAGTCGATCGCATCGAATATTCTAATGTCTGCTGGCACTCTATCTCCAATGTTTAAATACACCACATCACCAGGAACCAAGTTACGCGCGAGAAAAGTCTCTAAACGGCCCTCTCTTAAGCTGAAATTTGGTCAACGTGAAATGCTGTATGATACTAACGCTGGCCAAATATGATTTTTATGTGTTCCTTTACTTACCAGTGGCAAGTGGGTGGCACTAACTTATTTAATTCTTCTAAGGACTTCTCTGAGCGATATTCTTGTACGAATGCCACTGTTACTACTATTATGATAGCCTGAAAAGGGAAATAAAAAATATGTATTTTCTTGGGCAATTCAGCTTGAGCAATTGTAAGATATAATAATAATACTTACCACTGTTATACTAACAGCATCATCAAATTGTTTCATACATATACTGACAAAAGCAGATCCAAGCAACAGTAAGATAAGGGGATTCTTAAACTGTATGGAAAATACAAAATCAATTTAGAAACAAAATATTTCAATACTGAAAATGAAATATCGTGAAGCATTATCATACTCTATAAAACACTGAACATTGAGTATTCACCTGCTCGATATATTTTTTCCATGTAGGCTCATCCTCCTTTACTATAAATTCATTATAACCAGCTAGCTGCCTACGCAATTCAGCTTCCCTCCATCCCAAACCTGTCCTGGTGTCGACATTCAGCCTAGCTGCTACTTCTTCTGCACCCAGCACAGCAGACTCAGCAGTAGTTAACCACATATCCGCAAACCGTTTATAGTCCTTTGCAGAAAAATGTCATAAAGATTCCACAAATAGCAATTATGTATGTTCTCACAAATTGCAATATCCCCTATTAAAACTAAAGGCAGATATAATCATTATGTTCTAACCTAAAGACAAATCACTCAATTCATTATATAAAATGAATAAGGCAATACAAATTTACATCAAGTAATTAAAACATGTTGCCCCCCCTGCCCTAAAAATTAAATTATATACATGCACAAGTGTTACTTATATGATTATGAAGAAAAAAAGCATTTGTGCTAATCTATTAAATAGGAAACACAATTCAGTTCAATATCAGACCTACAAGCTCTTCTCAATAAGGTTCAGTGCTACAATATAACATAACGTAACATGATAAATCTTCAAAAAAATCCAAATGTATACAGGTATATATATTTTATTTTTCCATAGACGCTACCTGCTCGTCTGTATTATCGCGCGTTGTGTCACGGCAAAATATGAGGTTACGCAGTTCGACAAACGTCAAACGCAAATATGTCACGTTGCAGGGACACGAGTTTCATACGACATTACCGAGAATCACACGAGCTATACAGTGATTGTGAGCGGCCCATTTTCTCCGATATGCCGAAGGTTCGCGAACTAATCGAACTAAATGAAATGTATCGACCGGCGCCATAACGTCATTGATGTTTATGCAGGTAGCATCAACTGTCACGAATTAAAAATACGTAATATATACACGTAGCGTTGACACTGAGGGTAACCCTTTTCCTAAACAAGATGAATACATATTGAGAAAACATTATGAAAGATTATGAAAAAATTTCAAAGCGAGAAAAGAATGTAAATATTTTCTCAATTGAGAAAGTAAAGCATAGTTTAACTGAGTTGTGAATTAAAACAAACTGACTCGAATATGCAACCAGGGATACGTTCAGAACCCTCTCGAAAGTCAACTCGTATAATTCTATCCTCTTCGTTATAACGATAATAAAAAGAGACGCAACATGCCCGAATCCCCTAAGATTTCTGAACGCACCCCAGGGATAATGATATAATTTATAAATCTGCTTACTTCGCATAACTTGAACGTTCGTTACTATTATATGAATAATCGAATTCTGACGTGATCTATCTGGTTATTCTTTATAGATAACACTGAAGAAATGAACGCAAACGAGACAGAGTCCAAAACGTGATAAATCAGCCCTTCCTCATGTTATACAATAACATTTCAATTACACTTATTGAAGATAATCATTTTTATCTATTGTGCACAAACCCTATAAATATCCTTATAGAACAATAAATCAATCTAATTCAATGTTATCTGTCAAAAATAGTTTTTGAGTTTGTAGGCCTATTACAAAAAAAATTACAACAATGGATGAGGAATACAATATTGACAAACATTGAGATTAAAATCTACAGACATATAACACAAAGATTATAGCAGTGAGTAGTGAATCGAGTAGGGTAAACTTATTTCACAAGGGATAAGATTAAAAATTAATAAAATTTATTGTATATATATATATATATAGATACATATTATTTAAACAATTCTTACCTCTTCTATCGTATCGTTACTGCATTCTTGATTCAGATTTCTTTGAGCCTCATCACTTGGAGATAACTTTTCATACTTAGCACCGTTACTCTTCATTGTTTATTTCTTTTTACATTAACAGTTTAACAGCACAGATGACAATAAATTTCTCTATCCGTAATGCTGTTTCAAATTATGAAATTTTGCAACCATGATTTTTCATCTGTCAATATCACCCATGCACTATTCACTCAAGGAATTTCATAGCAACAATCACATAGAGCAGTGTTGAATGCAAAAGTACATGAAGAAACAGGACAAGGCAAGGCAAACGTAGTCCAGCGTAATAAACGGAATGCCTTATTATTATTAACACGTGCTTAAACGTGTCCCGATCGATCCTCCGTTCTTTCCTGTCTCTTTTTTTTTGTAAGAGAACTTTCGCGTTGCTCCAATTGAAATTAGGAGAACCTCGATCGATCACACTTCCTACTAGAAATCAATAGTAAGGCAATAGTTGAAAGTCTTTGAAAATATAAATAAAATCGAGTGAAACAAGTATTAAGTTTTTCATAAATTATTTTGTTATTTATCAGGAAATACCACGTCAGCGATGCGTCAACGATACAACGTTACTATAAACAACCCCTAGATGAAAGCCTGGACGAGTCGCTCAAAGATTTTTGTTTTGAGTACTCGAGCCACCCTTATACTTCACAACCATTCACAACCCTTTGATGCACGATAATGAGTAACCAACCGAATGCCAAAAAGTAGGTTAGGACCACCTTTAATAATCTCTACGCCACCCTAAAAAAATACAACCTTTTGTGATCACGGTCGGGGCAATACTAAGCTGCTCTTGAGAATTCATCGAACGGTATATCATGGCCGAGGGTCAAAATATCTACAGTCGGTTGGAGCATAACATATTTTACATCAGTTGGTAAGTGACAAAAAAACATCATTCAATTCTATAGACAGCTATGTAACAACTGCCGATAGCTCGATGTGATAGCTATACCTATAGATCATGGCATTTACATATAGCGAACTCCTTTATGCTCAGCTGAAACTAGAGGTTGTTTACGGATATTCCTATGCAAGGATAGGTATATCCTTGAGGCGAGGAACACGCTAGAGGTTGTAAACTAAGAGGATTTTATGTTGCTCCTTATTAAATAGAAGACAATGCCAAAGAAAGCGGCAAAAGGTCGTAGTCGTTGGACTGGTCAGACGTCTTCTAGACATGGGAGTCCAGAAAGAAAACAATATTTTGGTAAATATATGAACGTACAGTGTTTATGTTATTTGTTATGCCTTTGGAGTAAATTGTTATTAGTCATACAAATACTCTTCTAGATCACGATGATAGGGCTGTACGAGGACCAGCGAGACCTAAAGTTTCCTTTAGGACAGGTCGTAATGCAAAGGGTGGACGGAGTAAAAATTTACAGACTGCACTTAAAATACATTTAGAGGATGATGTGGATATGTCCGATCCTAATGCTAAGCGAATCCGATTTAAGGGTAATGTTGGTGTTGGTGGTAGTGCAAGGTATGTGAAAGGTGTTCTTATTAGTTAACTTTATAGATTTTTGAATAGTCAATCCATTGGTTTTAGGGAAGGGTGTCGGAGTCCTGCTCCATCTAGACGAATAGATGGTGGCGGACGTGGGTTGTATCATAAAAAGGGATTACGTGATGATGGAGGTTGGTTTAAAGTAGTTATTCCTTATGGAAACAAATATGGCAAGGACTTCATTTTAAAGAATTTATTGAGTTATATTGCTCCGGACCCAATCATTCCAATTATGGTATATATAAATATGTTCTACATTTTCACATATATTTGGAAAAATAGTTAATCAAAAGTTTCTTCTTCGACAGTACAAAATAGAAGGAAATACTGCTAGCTTCTTTGTTGATGATTACAAAACAGCATTAAAACTACAGAGTTGTGATAAAAAGATCACAACCGAGGAGGGTTTTAAAATTTCTGTAAATGTTTTACCAGGATATCCTGTATCTAATATGAATGACAATTTCAAAGAAAGACTGAAGGCAGCCATGGCAAAACGATTTGTCCAAGCCACGAATGCTTTAGATCTTTCACAATTTCATAGAGAGCCAGGTAAATATTGTCATGAACAATATACATATTGCATGATATAACAAAATTAGTCTTTCTTATTCTTTAACATTACTAGATCTGTGCGAGGATTACTTCTGCTCACTAGCTCGTACCGCCATGCTTATCTTTGTGATAGATATAATTGTCGAGCACACGCCTCAATTAGAGGCATTAAATTTAGATGGAAACAAAATACAAGCCATCGACAGATTAGGTTCTCTATTAAGCCGAAAATTACCATCAATTAAAATCCTCTATATCGGGGATAATCGGGTAAATATTTATGAATCTCCGAAATATCGTAGGAAAAAAAATGTTATAAAATATTGATTTTTCATACATCAGATACGCGATTTAAGAGACACTGACTCTTTGAAACCTTTGAAACTAGAAGAGTTACGACTGGCTGGAAATCCTCTCTGTAATAAATATAAACAACGTAATGAAGATTATATTTCGTGAGTAAACCCAAACATTAATACTATAAGATAAGTGTATTTGAAAATAATAATAATAATATATCTTCAAAATAGTGATGTTCGAAAGCGGTTTCCTAAACTACTCAAATTGGTAAGTATTTTGAAGGTTATGTAGGTTTATTTGAAATATAAAATGGATAATTTTGTTCTTTAGGACGGCATTTTACTTCCTGCCCCTATAGTTTTTGACGTCGGTGATGATGCCGAAGGACATAAGTTGCCACCAAGTCAAAGGGCATTCGCAGTTAATGAAGACGCCCGACAAGTAGCGACGACGTTTCTTCATCAGTACTTTACAATTTTTGATAACGATGACCGTCAGCCATTATTAGATGCTTATGACGAACATGCATCGTTCAGTTTAACAATCCATTTTCCCCCTAATAATTCGCACAGGTGGGCATTGTTTTAATATATTTCTACTAGGCGTATTTAAAAAAGGCAATAAATGGAAAACCCAATTTTCTCGTTACAGATTTACATTTTACTTGCCGGAGAACCGGAATTTATTCAGGGTAAATGATCGTGAGAAACGACAACGATTACTCAAACAGGGCAGATTACCTGTAGTCTCATTTATATCAAAAATGCCGAAAACACATCACTACCTCAACAGTTTCACAATGGATCTGGGTGTCTTAACGGTATAATTACTCTTTTTTCATACACGAATTACTGATACTTGATCGGATATTTATAACTTTGAAATGAATTTTCAGAAAACTATGATGGTTGTAACAGTGACAGGATTATTTAGAGAATTAGATGGAGATAAAGCACAATTGAGATACTTTAATAGAACGATGATCATCGTTCCTCAAGGAAGTGGCTACTGCATCCGTAATGAGCAAGTACACATAACCGATCCTCTAGATTCCCAGAAAAAGGAACTAGCTGCGTCGCTACCGGCGTTACTCTCGATACCAGAAGAAACAAAGAATTTAGAGCAACAACAAGAACAACTGATAATGGCACTGAGACAACAATCTGGCATGAATACCGAATGGAGTCGAAAATGTTTAGAGGAAGTACAATGGAATTTTGACGCGGCTCTAGCAGCGTTTCGACAGGTCCATGAAGTGGGACAAGTTCCAGCTGAAGCCTTTCAAAGTTAAACACGTGAGAATACATCTTGGAATGAAGGATTTTCATTTTGAGGTTAAATTAGGTAATTATTATTATGCGTCCACGCCGTCTTTTTTGTGGGATCGCTTAATGTGTATATATGCAACCTTAATAAAAATATCAAAATAAATACCTTAATGCTATGTATGTTCATTCGTTTAGCGTATAAATATTATGTCATTAAGAATAAATATATGTAAGAGCATGCTTACATACCAGCATGCTTTTTCGTTGAGTAAAATTTAGCCAAATTACGTATCGTCATTCCGAATGAATTGTCGACTGATAAAGAACGTTGTATCCATCTTGGCAATGACGTCTTTTTAGTGGTGTAACGCTGATCAAGTAAAATAACGCCAGCATAATCATTTATATGACGCACTGCTCTGCCAATGCACTGATTTACAGCTTTCATACATGCATTCTCATAGTACATGGTTCCTGTATTATAACCCTGCAGATAAAATAATATTTTACAAACATTCGCAGTTTATGTCATTAAAAAAATGATGCTTACAACGTTCTCGTTTAGGTAATTCATTTTTTCACGAATTTCTGGAGCAAATAAATTGGGATAGGGCATTCCCACTACGATGACACAACGTCCCAAATCGTCAGAAAAATTTAAACCTTCACTCAGTTTACCACCTTTTAATAAAAGTCTTATTAATATTATACATACTAAGTATTAATGTTCATATTGTTTATTACTGACCGACTACACTAAAAAGGAGTGCTCCATTCTGTGGTGGTTGTGGATTTTTCACTGCTTCAGCATATTCTTCTAAGACTTGACTGACCTATGTTAAACAATTGATGCAAATTCAAATGACTGATTAATTTGTATTAATCGCTTTCTTTACGATCCCAAAGTAACTATTCATTTTCACCGGGTTTGATATAATTGTTGAGGAGAAGCTTAAAGTAATAAGGATTTTCGCAATGACTTACTTGGTTCGCGTATTTCGGTTCACGAAAGACACGCTTCTTATCAGATATTTTGTTCAGGTATTTTTGGTCTACTAAGTATTTATATACAACTTCCTCATAAGTGTAGGACTGTAGAAATACTACAATTCCAGCTGGTACAACGTTGCAGATATTTATAAGACTTCTAGATAATTCTTCAAGCTGAAATATAGTTATGTAAATTCGTATTTCTCATTAAAAGGAATCAATGGATATCGTGACGTACCAAGCAATGACTTGCACGTTCTCCATAGGTAAAGATAAATTGTTTTGCATTGGGTCCATGCGTTACTATTCTTGTCATTATGTTATCTTTAGGAACAACGTGATCACAAGAGAACGACATGATCCTCTCAGGTGATGCACCAGCCTTAATGAATAATCGATCTTTGAAATCGGAAATGGGTTCCATGGTTCCGCCAGCAACAATCACTGCCCTTGCTTCCTTAACTATTCATTATTAATAGGATCATTGATTGATCGATTGGAATCAGTTAATGTAATATAAATTACATACCAATATCATTAAAATAAGCAGCTGGATTTAGTAGAAGAAATTTCATGACACCTTGCCCTATAGTCTTGCCAGGAACTAAGAGTATTCGACCGTCCTCGCAACTAGATTTTAGGCATTCAAGAAAACTAACAATTGTCATAAGAGGATTTGATGATACTTCCTTATCAAACAACAGCTCCTTTTGTTCCGCCTCCATTTCATAACGGGCTAGATTGTGAGCTTTAATAGTTTTCAGAAAAGCTGTAATACCAGTTTTTCTTAATTCAACTTCTTGGATCTGCGTCTCACCACCATACTTCTCAAGATACCCTTGCAGTTTACGATTGAGTTTAGAGTTTTTTACAAAATCTAAGAGTTCGAATATATTGATTGTATCTAGTTCAGAAGCAGTTTCAAAATCCTCAACTGTGTAAAATTTGGTAGATTGCTTAGAGGGATCTGACGCATCGTCTGGAGAAGATTTTACCGTGGCACCAAAAAACTTGAGTAGTTTTTTAAGACAAAAGCATAATTGACTCAAATATAAAACGTTTTTAGCAGAAAAAAGGTGTTGATATCTGTAAGAACAAAAAACCTTACACTAATAAATTCTAATACGATATAAGATACTGTATGTTATTTTATTACCTTTGCTGATATTGTGTAAGCTGACTGTAACAATGCAATACATTCCTGCCTGTGATCATGGCACTGTGTATGTGTTCAATAGCTTCTAATAAGTTATGTGCTTCATCGATTATCAGGATATTTCCTTTAAGATCAATTCCTGAACTAATCCTGGTACTTTTGTGGAGAATAGTATTGTAAGGCACTAAGATAATTTGACTGTCTGGAATGGAATTCCTGGTAGCATAGTATGGGCAAGTCTTCAGTTCCTGAGAGTTTTGAACAATATCTTCTACATCCTGGACCTCTGATAAAATGTCTGCAATCAGCCTTTGTTGATCACCAGGCATATATGGGCAACAGGTGGAGGATTTTAATCTTTTGAGATCCTTCTCCTTTTTGGCAGTAGTACATTTCTTTTGAAGTTGTAGACAACGCTCATTTATGAAATTTACATGTTTAAGTTTTTTGACTTCCTTGTTGATGCAATAATTCTGTCTGCAATTATTCACAAGCATATTAGTTATAGTACAATATCTATTTAGTTAATAAATGTAATCAACGGTAATCACCTTGAAGCCAGTGGTACTAGGGCAATCTTATCAGAATAAGGAGTTTTTTTTAGTTCACTAACAAATTGTTTTAGTTGGGAGTGTGTTCTTGAGCAGAAGTATATTTTACTATTTTTATAAATATCTTCCTGAGTGTCTTCGTCTTCTGAACTATCAGAATGTTCAAGAAAATCATCCAAAAGAAAATCTTCATCAATAGTATCATTCTTGGCTTCTCCTTCTTTTGAATCCTGATCAATGTCCTTTAGACTATCCTTAGACTTGCCAGGCTTTGGTTTGTAATACCGTTTCTTATTCTCTTTATTATTTTGAACCCTCTCCTTTAATTTTTCTCGTTTCTCGTTGTGTTTTATAATCATATTTAGCTTCTGCTGAAGAATTCTTCTCTCTGCAGCAAATTCTAATTGGCTAGATTGTACAAAGAACCAGTCATGGTCAGCCTTTTTTTCAGATTCTTTTATGCTGCTATCTATTTCTTGGATTTTTTCAATCAAATCACTTTTTTGACGTTCCTCATGATCCAAGAGCCATTTTAATGCTCCACAAATAATAGAAAGAGATTTCCCAGTTCCAGTAGGACTTTCAAAGATCCCTAATTTACCATTCTCCAAACAAAAGTACAGATTCTTCATAAAATCCTCTTGAATTGCGTAAGGTGGAAATGGAAATATAAATTCCTCCGGAGTTTCCATATTACTTTTCTTTCCTCCTAGATATTCTCTATGAAGGAATAAATCTAATCTGTAAATCAACGGAAAACAAGAATAATACTATCAAAAGTTACATCTATATTCCATTGCATAAGTTCCCACGTGTTCTTACCATACATTTATATTAATATTCATTATTATTGTTACCTGTAAGACAGCTAACGCAATATTAATAAATTACTATAAAAATCATTTGAAGATACTTCGATCTAAGTTCTATATGATTCTATACAATAAGGTAAGTTTTGAAGAAAGCGCCTGTGTCAGTTCTCGTTTCAAATGATCACTACTGATTACTACGCCATTGCGTTCCACAAAGAGCGCTAAAACTAGTGGCGGGATTATTATACGATTTTTCGGAATTCACAGCCATATCAATCGTTGAACGTTTGTTAGTAATATTGGTATGTGAATATTCCTTAATTTTCTTTTATATTTTTTGCCATAAATTACCTGTTTAATTAAAATTATATGATTTTAAAATGTTTGGCAAGTAAAGAGTTCAAGCCAGTTCATGACAAGTAAGATGGCAACTGACGAACCCGAAGCTGGCCAAACAGGTAATTTTCAAATTTTTTTCTTTGTTACTTGACCAGGCACAATTAAATGCCATTATTGTACTTTACTGTATAGTGAGAGAAATGTATTTACATAAAAAATTCATCGATTGAATTGATATTGATCAAGAAACAGGCAACATACGTTCTTGGAGGTTATATGTACATTGTTAATTATAAACGAGCTGCCATGAAACAATGCTTAACATAAGTTTTATGGAAAATTACTGATTATTTAAGTAGGCATTTTTTTTAGTACATTGTGTTTCCAGACTTGAGTTGCGTGGAGGATAGTCTAATGAGTTTGGAAAAATTGGATCGTGCTTCCCCAGATCTATGGCCTGAACCAAGTGAGTTCATTAAGGGATGTTTCTTGCTCTTCTGTTTATTTAAAATTATTTTACGTCAGCGACTGATGAAGTTCCAGGTATTAATGAGTTCATTGCTCAAAATTCCCCTCCGACTGAACCACCTTCCTGGTCATCAGGACTTACTGCAGATGACATCAATCATTTACATCGTATGTTATCATTATTTTTAACAATACAGAAATATATTACTATTATAAGAGAAGACTCTATGTAAAATAAATAAATTTCAGAATTGGGGAACCTAACGACCACTGGTCTTATAGCAGAGGTAAAAAAACTTCATGATTTAGCGTATCAACTTGGACTAGAAGAAACAAAGGAAATGGCTCGGGGGAAATATTTGAATATTTTCAAACGCAAATAGGTTTATTTCAATATGTATATAATAATATCTATAAGAATTTATATTTCTATTGAATATATTTTTATGTAAATAAAATTATCTACTAGTAATATCAAATTAAAATTTTTTCATTATGCGTTTTCCATAATCCAACTTGCATATCCTTGCACGTTTGTAAAAGCGGATGGCAAATTCTGTTTGTTACAGTCAGAGCCGTACGATAACATACCTACCTAAAATTTCAATTAATATTTTATTAATTTTATGCTGAAGTAAGCATGACTGATCCAACAATTTATTATTACCAGAATATATGTATTTCCGTGTTTTTGTACTAAAGGACTACCACTATATCCAGAGCAGGGTTCTTGTTCTCCTAATGCGCATAATTCTACTGACAATCCACGCTTTAGATAATTAGAACAATCCTCTTTGGCTAACAGTTTCATAGTTAGACGTTGTTGCTCTAATTCTTTCTCTATAATAAAGAATATAATGTAGTAAAAAAACAACAATTATTTCTAATGCTTATAGTACCTTTCTCATTAGACATTTTACCCCATCCAATTAAATTTGCAGTTCTTCCGATATTATAATATTCTTGATCCGTTGAAATACAAATAGGCTGCGTTGTAACTAAAAATGTCTCATTAAATAATTTTCCATCACATATGCATTGGTTTTCAATTATTTTTTCACTTACCAGTAAAGTTCATGGAACTTTTCAGTCGTAATAGAGCTACGTTATTCCGAAAAGTTTGTGCATCAAATTCCGGATGTTTGACTACGTAAGATATTTCATGCGTTTGCGCAGGAAGACCACAGAAAAGAATATTGCAATCTGGATCTGTTTGAGAATTAAAGTCTCCTACAAGAACGGAGTTCCTAGAACATATAATAAATTTTATAAACTGTGTATAAACTACGTATTTACTTTTTTTTTTCAATCTGAAAAGAATCTCGTACAATTTATACGTATCTGTAGTGGCCAATGCACAAGTTGCTGTTGTCAGGATAGTTCTATCATTTAATATTGAACCACTGCAAGGATATTTAGTTTCTTCAGTCGCAGTATCTATAGGATCAATAATTTATTTTATTTTTATTAATTTATAATCCTAAAAAAACTCACTAATATATCCAATACGTGCTACGAATGGATAAGTTCCCAATGTTTCCAAGTTACTTCGAATTAAACTTTTTCCACAATTCCAGTCTGGCCACAATTTCGAAACTGGCTTTTGTGACTCAAAAATTGGATTTGTTATATCCCTAGTTATTTCACAACAAACTTTCGGAAAGGTACCAAGGTAGCCGCAAATCAGTTGGCGAAATCTAGTTATTAAACACATTTACTATTGACAGAAATTTATACAGCAATTACCACTCTGTTACCTGTGAACAGGAAGTGCCTTCTGATTCATTAGGCCGAGCATTTCGGGGCAATGATCGATTGAGATACATTTTTTATTATCCATACAAAACAGAGGATTGTCAAATCCCACTTCGTTTATATTACTATTGGACCAGTTATCACATTCTGATTCATTAATAATAAATAAATTTATTAATAACAATAAAATTGCTTTAAAAAATACTTGTTTACTTTCTCCTTTCACCCCCATTTTTATGAATAAATTATATGACAAGTATACAATCTCAAATAAACACACTGTTATCAATCACAAATTTCTATTATCGACTGGCGTTGTCTACAATAATTCGCATACTGATCTAACATGCGAAAATAATCTTCTCATACGTGAAACTTCAATTGAATGATATAGTGTAACAGATAATTTCGTGTTTCGCAGTCACCTTGAACATAGTATTATTTGCGTTTCCGCCGGAACTGGTGAGGATGTCACATGAAAAAAATATACATTGGTGACTAACGATAAAATATAGCTGTTCATCGTGACTCTTCTAGCGTAAGAGACACAAGAAAAAATCTAAAATTTTTCTAAAAATGCTTAGAATTATGAACCGACTAAAGAGAATGTGAATAGTCTGAGAGATTATGAGAATTTCTAAAATTGCATAAAATTAAATCTCATTTTCATTCTTGATCAGAAAAAGAGTAACAGAATTTCTCCTTCGAAGAAATCATTCAGTAAATAAGTACGAATAATAATGATTTAATCATCAATCTTTATGAGTGTTTGTACAATAACAGTAATCTACTCGTCATTAAACCCTTTTCAGCATGACGAAAATCTCTTATCGTTCCATTCAATGGATGTTTCGATAATTCCACTACCCTTGAAAAAATCTACAGCCACAATGTTCGCAGAGTTGTGCCATTTAGTTGCGTACCAGGTAGTTACGTTGATGTTAACATCATTCGCCATTTTTCTTAAACCTCCCAGTCGGTCCAAAATAACATCCCAAGTATTAGGTGTCATTTGGGCCATTGCTGATCTCGGATTAACCACTAATGAACTGTAAAGAGCATTACGATTATATTAAAAAAATGATTTTATACAAACTTCACAATTAAAATCACAATTGTACCTCATTGCAGCAGTCTCTATTCTGTTCAAATATGTATAGAGTGCAGAAACACTTCTAACGTTTCCCCATTGATGTGTAACACATGGCCATATAGAATTATAAAGTGGCACAACGCTACTCTGATCATATCCTATTATCAATCTTTTACCAGAAGCCCAGATATTATCTAAAGTGGTGGACCATCCGTATGATTTTGGAAGAAGATAATCACCGAGCTGTTTCTCAAGATAAGCAACCAGTTTATGATGAATTGAAAGATCACTGCCGAATCCTTAGGAACAAAAAAAGTATGTGTAATCCATCCAATTCATTCAGGATACATTACCTTATTAATATATCAATATATTATATATATATAATATATGATTATATATACTGTCAAAGAATAAATAACGGAATGACTTTACCTATAGGAAATTCTTGCACGTCAAATATGACGATTTCCTCTGTGTTATTCAAAAATATTTTCAAATCATTAATGATTGTTTGCAGAGGAACTACATTTACTATACCATGATTTCCCCACCAGACTTGGTTTAAGAGGGGATAATAACCGACTCTGATGTCAAGATATCTAATTCCGTAAATAAGTTGAGCAAGGACATCTTCATCCTGTGCGATAACATATTTATCAATAATATTATCATTAGTAGGAGATTGAACAATTGAATATGAGACAGAGTCGTGGGTTCCCGGAAGGAAGAGATCACGAATCCTAGCAGACCCCAAGGTGCTCTTACGTTGCGCTAGCCAATTGGGTCTTGTCTCTAAGCAATTGGTTTTTCGAATGACACCGTTTCTTAACCAGGCGACGTGGTATTCTAAAAAAATGTTAATTATTCTCTTGCGCAAATATTTAAAATTCAAAGTAAACTCACTTAAGCATTGACGTTCAAATGTGAGATTCGAAGTGGGTACAAAGTCGGCTTGAAGTCTAGTTTTCAAAATGCCGTTGATGGTGTGTGGTTCAAAGCTGTACAGTGCAGTAGCAACTTCACGTGGTTCTTCGTCGTATAAAGCAATTACGTCGCCACTTTGAAGATTCGCGTGTGTCCAATAAATCTCAATCCTGCGAATTTCACTTGACGAGAGCATGGGGGAGATTATGAGGCCCACGTGAGAATTTGCAAATTCTATGGGGAAGGAGAAATTTAACAAAAAATTGTATTTTTTTTTTTTATTTCTTACCATCCGTGCTGTTCCTGCTGCAACTTTTCGAAGCGGAGCAGCGAACGACGATCAGAAGTGTTGCGATAGTCAAAATATAATAAGAGTACAGAAACTTCATTTTGGCAAATGTTTAAATTATCACGAAAAATTCAGCATTTATATTGATATCTTATCCCAAAATCTATGAAAATCAGAACAACGCTACTGGATGGCAATTAATATTCTCCTATAAAAAAAATTTGCAATTAAATCAAGTACCCCTATAAAATTAATTATAAATTATTATTTCTATTGTTATTATGTCAAATTCATACGATCATAAATTAATATCCAATTAAAATACAATAAATCATTTTAATATTTACATCTAATAAAAGATATACTAAAGGAAAATGAATGTTCAATCCAGTCAATAGTTTTCCAATCTAGAATATTTAATCACTGCATGGATAATGATCTTTTATCGGGTTATATCGGCAGTAAACACCTGAGAAAGAGAAATTTGTTATCAAACAATCTGACTTAGAACTTTTGAAAATTTGTTTACTCCGAAATATTTATCATGAAATTTATGATATTCTTTGTTAGATAATTTTACATTTAAAAAACGTTAGCCAAACTTGCTTTATGATAATCAAATAACGGTGTCCCATGATGCAGGGTAGGGTATCACGATGCAGGTTGAATACTGAATCAAATAGTTCCACGAGTATTGCGCACGTAGTTTCTAATAATCTTTAGTCATGGCCGTCATATAAAGCTGCTAGTTATCGAGAATGAACTAACAGCAGTGAGTTACGCATTCATTACAGAAAGGTTTCACATTCTTGATCGACTAATTTATACGAATAGAATGGCATAGCTGCTGATCTGGAATAATAGAGTTGACTATAGGTTAGTTTTATATTATTTAAAAAATTGCATTAAATCATCAAAACATTTAAGTACACAATTATCCTAAGACATTCCGTATGCGTTGAGTCGATTCTGGTTGATAAATTCCAGTATGTCGTATAAGACATCGATTTGCAAAGAAAAGTGACTGCCGATAAAATATAATAATAAAATAATAGATTTACTCATACTTAAGTAGTCATTTACCATTATACGACCATTTAGTAGAGAAAGTTTATTTGGTACAAACAAATGATAAATACTGTATAAATTCAACGCAGGCATTCTTTTTGTATTTTTTTTTCATAGTAAATTTTTTTATTTTCCAGCAATCCATAAAAAATCTTTCCAACGAAATATCTCATGCGTGAAGCTCTATTGTCCTTTGTGACAATAATCGCGAGAGGTTCTCATATGTATATATCAAAGTGTACCATAAATCCAAATGGTATAAATGACCAAGCAGGAATTAGTTGATATGAGATTCGAAATGATTTTTAACACGTTTACTTTTCCAATCTCCCAGTTTCTTCATTTTCGGTTCGAAAATCTAATTTTCAATCTTTTACATCCAAAGATACATCCGGTAATTCATTTTTGAATTGGGATACATCTATACTGTATATTTCGATAGAAACGAAAATCAAAAATACTTATATATAATTTTTTTATGAATTCAAAAAATGGTCACCGAAATTGCTAACCACTGATTACTTACGTAAGTAAAACGTTATTGTAGCGCAACCTTGTAACATCATACGTGAAGAACCAGTGATTATTTGTCTCTATATAGAACGATGCATTACTCAGATTTTTTAATTATGAGAACAGCCTCCCTCTACTGCTCTCGTCTTATACGCCAGGAGGGATAACCTTTGACACAAAAATCCATCTTAGACATGTGTATAATTATAGCTATCAAGATTCCGTATGTTTCCAAATTTAAGTAATGACAATTCTATGCGACCCTAAGGCGTACACGATTTCCCTCGTAGAATGAAGAAAAAGTTACTGAAATACACTAGGAAAGTGGTGGATAGGGATGACAAAAAAAATAAATAATTTTTCGCGTGGGGTTTTGACACTTTTCTTTATTACAAAACTGAAAAAAAAAACGAAAAACTTCTGTGAGAGTAACAAACTTTTGGCTTATGTGACTAGTTGTAATACTCAGCGGCAATACTAAATTAACGTTATGCATTATATTCTGTGTTAGGGTTGGCGTTTATCAAGACTTTGTGTTACCGTGACAGAGCATGTGACGATACGTGAGTCACAAAGTGAAGAGTATGGAAGAACAGTGGAAAAAGACGAATGTAAGAAAATATGAAAATCATCCAAACCAACCGTTCCCCACAGGTCAATTCCCATATTTTTTTCAAGATCCATCGTAAAATCTGGACCAACCCGACGCGGAGCGTCGACTGCGCCTCGTTCGTTTGAACGGATGCAGAAAAAAAAAATACAAAGAAGAACAAAGAATTTCCATGATTCCCTTGGCTAGGCAACGTGCAGTGTCTTGATTCGTAAGCCACCCTGTATTAAAATACACATCAAAGATACAGTGTCGAAAAACAGTAGTAAAAACGTAACGAGGAACCACTGTGCGATTAGATTCGTCAAAAAAAAAATTGAACATCGAAGAGAAGATTTTAAAAAAATGTACGAGTCTACAAAATATCAATGAACTCTCGAGCCGTGAAAATATTTTTAAATTTACATTGCCAACCCTCGCGGCGGTAATCTTACACCCTAAGGAGCCAACTATACGGCTTTACAACCTACAAGACCTAACTAAAGCTCTATGCGTTTTTCTCCCACGAAAAGAGCAAGGAAAGTAAAGAGAAGGAAAGAGACAAAGAGATAGAGGGAGAAACTATAGAAAATAAAAAGGAAACAAAGACGATAAACGAAAATTACAATTAACAATTACGATATCGATTATCGTAATAGTCCGTCCGTATCAATATCGAAGTCTGTATCCTTTTTCTTTTCCCTATCGCCACTTAAACGTAACGTAACATAAGGCAATAATTTAACTTACTGTTTTAAGGTACATAAATATTACACTAGCTTATCAATGTTCATAGTCTCTGTCTTGGAAGACGGTATGGCAGGATTTTTGATTAGGAATAATTATTTCTCTCGTGCAGGTCGTGTTCCTTTGGCTCTCTCGTGATTGAACGCACGATGCGTATGTCTATTTATTTTAATATAATGTACGTATGTATTTGATGCATCGATGCGCACGTAAAGTGTACATCGCTATCCTCTTATACTGTAGCCCGTTTTACATTTGCATATTCGGCATTGGTTAAACACCTGGTAATGACGCTCCTGATTCTATCCCATTCTGTATCTTTTTTCTTATTTCCTCTCTAAAATAAATACGGGGCCGCGTTCCCTCTATATTAATCTGACTGGATGACCGATTGCTCGATCCGAATAACGTGAAGGAATGGAAAAAAAAAAGAAAAGTCAAAATGAAAAATCTACGTGTACGAATCGTGACTTCCTTAAGGAAAGATATTGCTACATCGGTTATCAGACTATTTTATTACCTTTGCTCATTTTCGCTTTTCTATTTGATACATCCCTTTAAATCCTTTTATTTTGTCATTCCCACGCAAACTCCCTTATTATCTCTCGATTCATTCACAGACATTGGGTACTATCTTGGAACTGATAGTTTTAATCATAATAATAATTGTACGTAGGAAGAACACGAATACCTGCTGTTTCTTGTGCACAGTTTTATTGTAACCCATTCGGGACCGTCCCGAGTGCCGCAGCGTTGCGTAACGAGTGAACACGTGTAATAAGCCATCGGTACCGTTCAGAGAACTCTGGTTATCGTTATCATTCGTTGGATGCTGATTCGTTTAAAAAAGTAAAATAAATACAGTAAAACGAAATACTCTACTTCGATGAACGAACTAGATGGAAATTTCGGCCGAGAGAAATGTCCATTTTTGAAATTTGAAGTAATAAAAATTCTTTAAGTATTCCTATATTTCTATGTCCATTTTTTCTTTCTCTCTTGCATCTCTCTCTCTTTCTCTCAATCTTTCGCGTGGCATTCCTCGTTCGCGATTCTCGTAAGAAACCAATAACGGAATTCAATAAAATAACGACAAAAAAACGGTCCATGAAAATGCCTCCCGTTACAACGCAAAAGGCGTATTGATTCGATTATACATATGTGGTATATCATATATAATATACACGTATATATCAGTCCATGATATGTTATGGCAGGTTGTCGAGATTATTAGCAGTAAATTAGATAAGTAGTGAAGTTCAGTCGTTATAAGAGTTCTAGTATAGATCCCAAATGGGTTAATAGTTTTTTGAACGCCAATACGTACAGAAAGAAACGGAGCGGTTGAAAAGGTGTCGGGGAGTTGGTAGCGTGTACATACAGAAGTGTAACAGTGGTTATAGATAAGAAGGAGAGGGGTAAATGGACAAGAAAGGGATAGAAAACACGCTTAGATAATACGGACGCGCGCGTATACAATTTTCTTTCACGCAAATCAGAAATCCTTTCCTTCTTCGTATTGTAATCCTTCATTTTTCTTTGTAAATATGAAAAAAAAAAACGTATCTCTCGCATACTTTCAGACTTGAAAAATTTTTCCTACTCTTAGTTTTTCGAAATTTTTTGTTCACAACATTTATGGCCGAGAAAGAAATTTTTTCACACATATTTTTTACCTTTCGATTGTCCTGGGAAATAATTTGCGTGGAAGGTAGGTATCTTTTTTCACTACGTGAGTAGATTCAGTAATTGCTGTTAATGAATGGAAAACGAATGAGAGGAAGAAAAGGATATCTTTGAAAATCGATAAAACTAATTACACTTGCTAAGATAAAAGTGTTACCAGTAGTAATCTTGTGCCACGCGATTCGCACAAGTTACTAGACTACTTCAGACACGCTTGTATTCTCTTTTTCTCTCTTATTCGCACGCACTCTCTCTCTCTCTCTCTCTCTCTATCATATACCTCCCAAAAAGAAAAAAAAATTATCCATCTAGCAATCACATTATAGAAATGTGCAAAGAATTAGTGCGGCTTCTGAAAAGCAGCCAACTTTCAAAATGCGTAATAGACCTTAAAAAAGCAAAGTTGATATCGGTTAGCAGGAATCCATATAGCGTTTTTTCCATGGGGCTTGAGAAAATCCTATCGCTTTTTGTTGTAATCGTTTTTTCTTCTTATATATATATATATATATACCTCATATACTTGACTGATATACACGGTTATTCAAAACCACTGTACAACCTGAAGATGGTTCTATCATAAGAATTAACAGAATTCAAATAGACGGAACCATCTCCTTAATAACCGTGAATATGCACATATATACCATATAAGCACATAGTGCTGAACAAGTTTTATTATACGAATCGCAAAGTTTTCTTAATCCATAAATATAAGTTTAACCTAGAAATTTACTACCGCATGACACATTAAAAATCTACGCGAATAAACGACGATCATTAAATTATAGAGGCGAGTTATCGAGTACGTAATTAGCCAAAAATGAATTTCTAGATTAAATTTTTAAATCTTTTTTTCCGCGACCGGAGCCACAATATACTTAAAGCTACCTACAAAGAAGCCTAAAAGAGAGACACGGTAGCGTAATTTCGCATCCGGTTTAAATATGTCGTGGGTCAGCGGTTGTCGGAGTCCTTGGGATCCACTTTGTGATAAGCATTAAGCATATTCGCAGAGCGACGACAACATTATTAATTGTTATTATTATTATTTTTTTTTTATTATTATCGCCAAGGTACTCCTAGTCACGCGACTCTTTTTCCCCAACGTATATGTAGTTGCACTTCTAATATGTGAAACAGGAAGGAAATACGTACTCTCGTGTTCTCCCAACGTATGAAGTACTTAATATGAGTAATATATACATATATGTATATCGTGTCCCCGGTGGGTACGTATATAATATATTCAGTCGGCCGTGCGTCAATCACGTATGTTTCCTCCCCTAAGAATATAAAAAAACGAAAGGTAAAATACAAAAAAAAAAAGAAAGCGATCCCCAAGGAAAAAACGCCACTTGACAATCCTGCCTTAAGGCACTAAACGGCCAAATTTAAATTTGACTACGTTTACAATATATTACACTATATACTATATCGTAATGTAACGTATAATTTGTACATGTAATAATATATATACTTCGTAGTTCGATTAATTTATATAGGGTGTGTAGACGCAAAAGCTCGCTTTTACATTAAAGTCAAACGGCCGATACATTGCGTTAACCCATTCGAGACCGATGTGCACACCGTGTGTGCAATAACAGTAATGTGCAATTATCAGTTCTGAGTAAACTAGTCGTCGAAATAAGATTTTTCTGGAACTAATGAAATACGTAAAGTACAGGAAAACAAAATTTGGCATTGGTTTTACTGTGTACCAAAAAATCTAAAAATTATCTACATCTAAAAAATTTCGCTCCTGGGGACCGTGTACGAAAAAAATCGTCGTCTCGAATGGGTTAAAAAAAAATAATCTGAACTAGCCCTACTACTAGTATTTGCCACTGTTACTATCTACCACTGTTGCTTCTACTAATGCTACTAACATTATTACTACAATTACATCTATCTACTCGATGTTACTTTGCTCACAGGATACAAGTATCAGCCATCGTTGTCACGACTGGTCATTTATTGTGCTTGTGAGTTACGTGCGTTATTGTAGAAAAACGACTATGCGTTTGTCATCGTTGTAATGTACAATTTTGCCAAGGCGAAGTGAGAGGAAATGGATGGAAAGAAAAATGATGGAAATTTTGAAGAAAAAATACACTTGGGTTGTACGCACTCGTTGATCACGAATTTCGTACTTTCTGCGATGCTCGTTGCGCGTTGTTTAAAATGCAATTTGAACGGAAGCCACGAATGTTTCCTTATCCGTGAATTGAATTGTTACTGCGGTGCCAGTGTGAACTCTACAAAGATATATAGACTGATAAATTAATTTTTAATTAAGAAATTAATTAAGTTTTAATTAATTTAATGCTGCACTTGTTCTGGAAGGACATAAAGCGAGACTTTGCATTTGCACGCTTCATATGACTGTGACGAAGATACTACAGTATACATATTTACAGAAGATATACTACCCGATAAGTAGCCAAGATAGGGAACTGTTATTTTTTTCTATATTATTTAACACGCGGTGCCCTGTTACTTGTACCTGGGGACCATCGAACAGAAATTTTTTAAATGCAACGTTACTTTCTGTAGAATATCTCGTAATGGAATAATTTTAAGATTTGTTTTCTGATTATTCATTTATGTGAAGTCGCTGCAGTTGAATAGCTCATTTTTTTCAATTAAATACTTTGATGAACTCTCCTTTGCCATCAGGTCAAGAATTATGTAAATATTCCGTTTAAAGACCTTATTCAAACTTAGACATTTTTTCATTGAATTATTAGCTGAAACTGTTGGAGCTTTTTTTAAAAACTTTGACAAATTTAAATTTGTAGAAAAGACAAAAGAACCAGCTGCTCGTGCACTTTAACTGGAACAAACTTTTATACTGCATACAATGATAGGAAGGGAGGGACAAAGAAAAATATGCAAAACTTGTCTTTTGTCGAAACTGACATCCCGCGAGTCGAGTCGATTCATCTTATTGAATTTTAAACTAGGCTCTCATCTCCCACCGTGGAATTTCCCTTGTGATCAATTTCGCAACTATCGCAACTATATACTAATAATATCGCAACTCGCAGACCCAATTACCTGGTAGAAAAGGAACTATTGTTGAATTAAAAAAATATATATGTAGGATAGTCATGTACCGATCGCTTCAATATGGAACGAAAACTGTAAATTCGTGTACTGATTCAGACTAAAAGAATGCAAATGTGTGTAGCTAGGAATGGAAAATCTTACAGAGACATAGATACGAGAAAAGGAACAATTAATTTTTCTGTAATGTTTAAAAAGGATTATCATAGTAAATTTCGAGACGAAGGACAACATGTATTAACATTAATCAATGGAGTAATTAATAACGACGATGAAGATAACCATAGCGATACGAGTAATAAGAGGATAATTAGATAATAATTGATAATGATGAGAATAATAGTAATAATAATAACAACAATATTAATAATAATAAGCCTACTTAAAATCTAATTGTTCAAACTGTCGGCAAATAAACGCGTTTTCGCGTATCCCCTGGGTATATTTCCCACTATTCATATGTATAAGTCCTTTCATTTAGTGTAGTAAAATACCGACGCGGTACTTACAGAATATACAGGGGATAATTTTGCTGACTACGAACATTCATATACATATATGTATATATATATATTTCCAAGGTCGACTGGAAAGACAGTCTTTTGGTCCGTCTAGAAGCGTGAAGCAGATTGTTCAGGATGGATCGATCCGATCGAATCAATAGAATATAGATCGGCTCGATCAAATCATCCCCAATCAGTCGATCGGACCTCATATACGCATAGATATATTTCGCTCTATAGACATCTCAGTTGTCTCCTAGATTGCCCTGAGTATCGTTTGTACCTGAATAACCTCGAAATCTCATGAGCACTAATTAGCGGTAAGCCATAAGTGATTCCTTGAACCAGGATTACGAATATTCAAGGATTCGAGATCTCACAAATGAATATAAAAAAAAAAAACAAGAAAATATAAATTGCCTAACCTCATCGATCAAGAGGGACGTCCTCCATGTTTGGAACGGTACTGAAATGCTGGAAGCCATTTTTGAAGATACGTCCTCTGCTGGTCCCCGCCTTCGTCTGGTCGAGGAGAGTCACGTTGTCTTCAAATTCCCTGATCCACCTAGCAGTTTCGTTACCCCAGTGGAAACGTATTGGCGCTGCGTGATGGTAGACCTTCTTGATTCCCAGGGTGCGTATTTCGACACCGGCTTCCGAGTGATAAAAGGAACTGTCGCAAAAGTCCTGCCCAAGAAAGGGTTCTAGTTCTGCGACTATTTCCATGAAGGTGGGCCTGTCGCTGGGTCGCCACTTGAAGCACCTCTCCATCATTTTATGAATGAGTTCAGGACAATTTCTTGGTATAGTGAGAGTGCCTTTGCGTAGAACGTAGTTAAGGACTTCCTCGTTTGAAAAGCCCTGGTAAGGAATCTCTGCCAAGGTGAGGATCTCGTAGAGGACAACGCCATAGGACCAGACGTCGGAGTCCGAGGTAAATACACCGTCGGAGAGGTTCTCCGGAGCCATCCATCTAATAGGCAGAAGACCCTTCTTGCCTATCTTGTAATAGTCAGTCTCATAGATGTCCCTGGCCATGCCGAAGTCGCCGATCTTGCACACTAGGTTCTTCGAGATCATGCAGTTCCTGGCGGCCAGATCCCTGTGAACGAATTTCTTTGATTCGAGGTAGGCCATGCCGTCCGCGATCTCTGCTGCCATTCTCAGAATTCTTGTTGTGTCGGGCACCATGTCCGTGTCGCGAATACGACGCAGGTACGTTTTCAGATCGCCATTCTCCATTAGCTCCATTATTACAAATGGAGGACTCCCTACGGACACTACCCCGAGGAGTTTGATTATGTGTGTCGTGGAGAAGTTTTTCATAACTGAAGCTTCGTTCAGGAACTCGTTCTTCTCTCGCTCACTGGCCGTATCAGCGATGGTCTTTATGGCAACCTTAACACCGGTATTCAATCTACCACGATATACCATACCAAAATTACCTAGACCCAGTTCCTCAAGGACCTCAACATCCTCACGGTTCACTTCCCAATGGTCCACAACGTACTTGGTCTCGATGTAATCGGGGTTGACACTAGCTATCAGTCTCTCTTGCGTCTTCTTCCGTTTATGCTTGTTGTAGAAGAAAAACACTGCCAGCAATATACCACAGACGAATCCCAGAGTCACCATCAGCGCCACCAACATCGTATTACTCCCCTTCAGTCCAATGGCGAACTTGACAGTTTTCGAGAAATTACCATCACCCGCTAACGATATGGAACGCACTCTCAGACTGTAGGTGCCCGGACTTAAATTTTTAATATGATATTCACCACGTTTCACGCGAAATTTCTTCTCCGTCAGACACTCGGTGCTCTTCTTTGCATCCTTTACGTCCAGATTCGTGTATTCCACATTGTACGCAACAATGAGACTATTAGGATCCCTTACAGGATCCCAGGAGACGATGGCGATACTGTTATTGAAAACTTTCACATTAACGTTATGCACATCGTCGGCATTAGCACTTTTGTTTGTCCTCGTGGTCGTATATTGAACAGGCGAGCACATCTGTACATCATTTTCGACTTTACGTCCACAAGCGGCGACAGAGATAGTATACATGGAGTAATGCTTGAGGTCCTTCAGAATCCAGGAACTGGTGTTGGCACTGACATTAAACACGAACGAGTAATAGATTCCATTGTAAATCTGTGTTTTGGTGTCATGGATGATCTTCGACACATTATGATCCTTTAACGGAATCTTAGAAGCCAGACCGTCATCAAAGTCTGTAGAATTATCTAAAGCGTTGGTGCTGCTGTATCTCTTGGGGATACAATAATCTTTCCTTCCGGGTGAGGTGTGTCCTATGGTCATATTCTCATGGCACAAGATCTCAAACTTCTTGGACGTGACCACCTCGGCATCACTGTCCTTACAACAAGATTGATGATCTATTGAAGGAGTTCTTACTGTAACTTCCTGAGGTATCTCGATCTCTACTTCCGGTAGAAGACCGTACTTACAGTAATCACGAGTAGACAAAGCCTCTTGATCATCTGGACGTATGAAACCTGATACTATATAATAACCAATCGGTCCATTGGGCATTTCTGGAGGATCCCATTCGACGACGATCTCCTTATCACTCGTAGGGAAGGAATTCACGTTCATGGGTACGGTAGGGATATCACTCTTAGTGCGGAAGAAGATAATATTCGAGAGTCCGACCGGGTCAAAGTTATTCTTGGACCTAGAGGTGAACGTCTTCACGTAGACGGCATATTGAGTGAATGGCTTCAGATCCGTAACAAGGTTCGAGACTGTTGTCGAAGTGTTGTCATCAGGGACGTCCACGTCGACAATCTCCCAGTTATTGTTACCGCAGGAGTCACTGTCGTATGTGATATTTTTATTCTCTGTCTCAATGTAGCTCAAAAGGTAACTCAGAAGACGTTGATCATTTGAGGGTTTATAGCTGTCCCATACGAGATTCGCATAATAGGATCCTTTGTCGCTTACTGTGATGTTAATATTAACAGTATTGCAAGCGACCTTCTCGCCATTAGATTCCGGATGCACTTCAAGGTCTGTGATGTTTGTAATTCCCGCTATCTTGCTCATGTCGAGGATTTTCGAGATACAAAGTTTGGGATTGTAGTGAAAGAACAATCTGCCATTTAATATCTGTACTGGTTGGTCGCTGGAAAATAGACTAGATAGATTGGGATTGTCCATGACTATGAGACTTGCGTTATTATATTCAAGTTTTTCGCCCCTGATCACCCGGAGCTTCCTCAGAAAGCCTAACGTAGTGATGGAGGAAGAGTGAGTCACTTTCAAATACCCTGTGATCTCTTCTATAAGGCCGAAGGAATCTGACAACTCGTTCATTATATTCGGATTGCCGTTACGAATTTGAAACTCCAAAGCACCCTTAACAAGCGTCGTACCCCGGAACCTTTGAACGTCGGAGATGTGCCTGATAATGCCACCAATTCCAAACTTGCTACAGCGACCCTTACACAGTCGGCACTCCTAAACAAACATGGAGACACAACGATTTATAATTTTTTTAAATATATCAATCTCGAGCTTGTTAAATTTATTAGTTTTTCTTAGAAGTATTTCTTTACCTTGTATTCATCTGGACCATCCTCGTGACCTTCCTCGTAGCTGTCCTCATAGCCATCCGGGCATTGATTAATGCAAGAACCATTAAACGGTCGCCATGAGATTCGCTCCTCTTCAAAGTCGTTGGATTTTAATCTGGTGATTTTGTTATTTATATCTTTACACTCAGCCTTGGTAATACATCGTCTCAAGAGATATGAGTATCTGGAATATTATCAAAATTAAAAATCTAAAAGATGTTCTTGTGAATAAGAAATAAGGATCGATTACTCTACTACGTAAAGGATGACTTACAAGTGAGGTGGACAGCTCTCGACGCATCTTCCCTCGTGCCTAAAATGCTCGCAGACATAGCAATCGCTGTCTAGAGGCCCAGAGCATTCCCCAAGACATTCTTTATGGCAAGGAGGCTTTTCAATTTGCTGACAGTGTTTGGCCGTCCAGCAATGACCGCCAGGACACTGCGAGCATCCTACAAAAATAAGAGCAAAATTAAAGACAAAAGCACATCCTCATCCGAGACAACGATCGAACTTAAAACTCATAAAAGCACAACTGCTTCCTTATATAAAATGAAAACTGTGTATAACTGCAATAGTACCTAGTAATCATACATCGGCGCATGCGTCCCTTATATAATCAGAGACCTGTTCAACCATCACTAAATCATGATAAGAATTTTTAAAGAAAAGGCATTGCATTTAATTACAGATATCAATACAAGTATTAACGAGGCGCTACCACGAAACAACTAAAGGCTTGCCGATTGAGTATCCAGAATGAAAAGAAAAAAAAAATAAGTGAAATAATTTTGTCAATGAGGAACGTGTTTGCGAATGATAAAATTTCAGTATTCGCTTCCAGCGACCAGCGGTATATAATGATATATTCTAAAGTACGATAGCGCCAACTGGAATTGCAGCCATTAAACTTTCAAATATAGCAGACATATTAGCTAATACCTTGACCTACGAGCGTCGTATGACGTTGAAAAATTTCTTCAAATCATCACGTCATTCACAACTGTCGTGAGAACTCAGTAAGCCTGTAGCTATTCTAACATTTTCAATGAATATGACTAAGAAGCTAATTTAAGTTATTACGATTAACGGAGCTTGGGTTATATCCGTTCTACTTTCCACAAATATTTTCCGGCAATATTAAATTTGGAGCTTCAAAATATCTTCTTCAGGACTATTCACTCTCAGCCAAGTCATTTATTGATGGATGTAAATTTGTTTTAAAAAATACCACGGGTCTTGTATACATTATTAATGAAATGCATGAACCATTGTGTATTTGCTTAATGGTAAGCATCTGTATTACCCACCTGGACAATTTTTTTCCTGATTTTCCTTGATGAAGTTCTCACCGGCTACCACGATTTTATTCCAATTCACAGTTTTCGTGTAACAGAGATGCGGGTTTTTCTCAATCCTAACACTACCTCTGGATATCTTGGTGAGCTTCTTCAGGCCTATCTGATAATTTCAAGAGAGTTCAGAGATCAGACAGTTCGTTAATACGGTTAACTTGTTAACGTTTGTTAACCTACGGGTCAAGTAGACCGACGTACAAATTGAAATAAAGCTTCGAAGATGCTCCTGATCGTTTTGATTTTGCGTGGGAAAAACAATTGGTGACTGAGCTGTTCACAGATACAGACACGACTACGCGACTTGTGTCACAGTAAATCTAATTTGATACCGATATCTAGATTCTTTAGAAACTTCTGAGGAATAGAGAAATATAGAAGAACATAAAGAGACCCGTAGAAAATGATGTACATGACAAAATTCATATTGCCCAATATTTCAATTTTGTATCTTAATAAAAATAATATAGACATTCGACTGCTGATTAACTATGGATCATAAAGTCAATGCATGAATTTATGGGAATTATGCGTTAGTAGTTTTCCACTTGAGTTTATTAATAGGTATTAGCAATAAGCTATTTGCTATTAATAAACCTGTTAATAGCAAATATCAAAAGGATAACGACTAGTCTTTGGCATATGTAATACCATAAAAGAAAATCAATTAACATATTCCTCCAGCAACTCACCTCTTGAAGACTTGGCATCTCGTATACCATGAAGGCATAATCCGTGAAAAGAATGTTACCCCGGATGACCTCAAGATTTGGGAATAAAGAGCCTAAGCTTTTCATTCCATACACACGATACAAGAGGAGATAACCAGTGATTTCCCTTAGAGCAGGAAAACTGAAGTTTTGGTAATCCAACTCAGTATTGTTGTGAATCAATACAATCTGAAGAAAGCCCTCGATCACCACACAATTCCGAAGAGACTCAAAATTCGTCAAGTTGTTTCTAATGTCCATAGTCTGACAAATCCCTTCACCGAGCATCGTATTTTTATTGCGTCTTCCCTTTTCGCGCACCTCCTCACTGGACTTCAAACTGGTCTTAGGTAAATTTGACGGACTCGTAGACTGTACATTTTTACCAGATGATCCGCTAGTGGAGCTGCAATGCAAAATAGACATTCGTTAAGAAAATTAGGTCTGGAGAATGGTAAGAAAGTATGTTTGATAAGTATTTGTGCATACGAGGGACATCCAACCTATTGTTTATCCAACTGAAACTTTTCAAGAGATAAACTGAGCCAGTTTTATCTGCGATGACGAAATATCGAAATAGACCCGCAGTTTACACTTTCTGACATCGTCAATTCTTTAATAATTTTACTCAAAGATAAAAAAGGGTATCGCACTTTATAAGACTTTCATGAAGTGTGGGATAAAAGCCTAAATAACTTTCATTACCTTGGATTATTGTTCCTGTAGGTTGAATATCCCTCAGGATTGAAGTCCTTGGAGTGCTCTATTTGAGAATTACGTGCTTGATCTAGTTGAGTTATAAAATCTTCCTTGATTCTATCATCCTCCCCAGGAGCATATTTTCCTTTTGATGTTTTATCCTGGTGCTTGGTGAGAAGCTTGAGTCTTTTGCGATCCGCAATCATGTCCTCGCACAGAACAGTCACCAGGAGGGTGAAGAGAACGACAAGTAACAGCTTCCTCTTCATTTTCGCAGCTTATGGAACCGACTCGACGGCTCTTCTGTATGCTGTACAATATCTTCTAGAGTCTAAGTACGTCTGAGTACATTCTAGCACTACTTCCAAGTTGCTTTAGTATATCCTAGAAGATGAGTACTGATTAAGGATGGACCGCCACTTCATCCCTTAGAGGATGTCAGGTTCCTTGTCTCTTCTTCTCTGGATGAGATTTTTATTCTTTACCAATTAGTAGTTATTACCATCTCTACTGTCATCACCACTGTCGCTGCCTTGAGTAACAACACTATTACCTCTCGCGATAACACTGCTTGAAAACACCGGCAACCAGAGAGTGAGAACTCCTGTGGATGTTGTTCTTGATATGAGCTCTCAAGACTTGATTGACAATTCTGGGCCACCCACGTGTTTCTCTTTCTCCCTCTCTTCCTCGCTCTGTCTTTAGCTCTTCTTCTTGCTTCTTTTTCTTTCAGTTACTCGTATTACACTTCGTCCAAGACATCGATTGCCTTAGACTCTCTTGGAGAAAGAACCTATCGAGCTGCCGTTATAACACGTAGACCTTGATGTCTCTTTATATACATGCATTGGTAACTAACACTTCCTCACGATGCACAGTTGGTTAAAGGAGCTTCTTATTGAATATGAAAAACTTTTTGGTCTTCATCTTTATGAGGATGGTGAGGCACGCGTTTTCACCTAGAACAAATAAAACATTTGCTATTGTGAGATGACAATTTATTTAACTGCCCAAAACATTCCTTAAACAATTTCATAACACTGAGACAATTCTGCGGGCGTGAACTGTAGCAATAGTACCACAGTAGATATATTCTAACCTCGGTGTTGAGTAAGAAAAAATCATAGAGGTGAGTCAGCCGAAATTATTCATACTGCTTAATAATAACAATCCACAGAAAAAGAGGATGAAGAGGATGTAGATGTTTAAGGAATAAGACTCTACGACTTGAATTACATAGATCTGTAGACGTAAACGTCGTATAAGACAAAAGTACGTAATTAACGTCCTAGTAGTTTCAAATGGTTTGTCTAGGACCAGTATGTTACCCCAGACGTGGGATTAACAATACAGAGGCCAGGAGGCACGTCGCTTTCTCATGCCGAAAAATTTCGAAATCGTATGTTGAACACGTTGAATACCAGACCTATCGAACACGTTGAATACCAGACCTAACTCAGCTCGTCTGATCCGTTTATTCCTAAGTTGAAGTCTTCGCTATTAGACACCTCGACAAAATTATCATTTCTGCGCAAAACATTTCCATCGCTGTCTGTCACCCGTGTGATCCTAGAACGTAGGAGAAATTATCAGTCGAATTTTATACATTTTCATTGAATTTGGTAACGCCGGTAACCGACACGGCATTCAAAATAAACATACTTATGTAAACTCGTGCATCACATGAGAGGGTACCACGTTTCCTTGCTTTATGAAATACATGATTATCCATCTCCGAGGATAATTAGTGTTTAATGAACATCCCGTTACGATCGGATTCATTGCCTTTAGGGCTTGACTGATCATAAATCCAGCTTCGAATTTCCATTTTGAGAGAAGCCAAATTCGTAACGACTACCGGTAACGAGTGCGTTGCGAAGCCAATCCTTTCCCCCTGTTGTATATGATATTAATGTGTTACAGATATGTCCCATTTCTTGCCTTGTTGTTACTTTTTTTTTTTAGTATTATCCTTATAAACCTTTTACATTCATCTCCAGATGCTCTACCCTCAATTTTATGTACCGCTACGTGAATGTGTTGTACTTTGTGTGGATTTGGAAATCGGAACAATAACGTGAATAGGGTAGCTGAGAGTATGGCAAAGACGATTTTGGGCTAAATCTGCACTGCAAGTAAAAAAAAACGAGAGGAACGCGAAAACAACGAGTGAATGAATAAGTATGAGAGAGCGAGAAAAAAACTGAAGAATGTAAAAGCTTGTGAAAATAAGAGGGAAAGCGTTTCCGTTAGTCTCAATCCACCTACACGATACGATTAGGTTCAGATAGGACGAGGGCCGAGTATTTTTACTATCAGCAAAATAGCTGGCATCCTCCTCCCTCGCGCGAGTGGGAGCGTTACCCAGTTAATGGAAAAACAATATTTTCTGGTAAACAAGGAGGCAACCGCTGACTACGACGACGTCGGCGATCGGAGCCATGAGAATTGGGGCAACGTTCGTAGGACGCGACAGTGAAAAATTCGTCGAGTCACGAAGGAATTATAATGGAATCTGATATCCCCAAAGGCTCTTGGCGTTCGCACGGCTCACCGGGCATGCGACTTTGAATTTTCTAAGCTTGCATAAGGCTTTTGCTTTGTTAAGCGCAATTACCTTATCTCCATTATACAACGTGCGATAGACGAATTCAATCGAGAGAGCGATAACGCAGCCTTCCTTCGTTTGTTTTCATTTCTTTTTTTCAACAGCAATTCTCATTGTCTAGCTACATGCAGCTGATTCTCTCTTTCCCTCGTGATACATCTTGCCCAACATCACTCATTCACGCCTACTAATATTTTTCTCTTCTACGCAGTATAACCCCGTGGCTGCTAACCCGCACAGATTATTCCGCGCACGCGACTACGTATGCACATACACATGTAACCTCTGGCCAGCTTCTGCAAAGCGACATGGGGGCTGCCATGGATTTTCCAGCATAAACAACAGACCAAGCAAATCTTTTAGCCTCTATTCTCTCATGTTTTAACACATTGGTGAACGGATAAAATTTTTCATTAAAATTGAATGAGAAAAATAAGTTTTAGAAATTACCATGAGAAAACTATTACCGCGAGACACGTGGACATCGTCGTAATAATTGTGAAGGTCGAAATGCCGTTTCAGCTACTGCAAGTAAATTTTGATGTACGATACGTAAATTTTACATAGCAAGTAGTGTAACAGTGAGTGCATGGTGAATATAAATATTAATAATTTTTACGTAGCGCAACGTAAAAGAAAAAAAGAAACGAGAATAAAAAAGCAGGTGAGTAGAGGTCACGCGTTGCAGTCCAACTTTACTGCACCGTAAAAATGGCTTAACTCAAGCAGTGAATTTTAAAATGCAAACATTTCTTTCAACGAAGCTAAGTAATAGATGCGAAACAGAGTATTTGTTTGATGTGAAACTTCACTTTCCACAAATGTGTAAATAGCACAATAAAATTAAATTGACATCCTCAAACTGTATTTTTCAATTTTTTTGGCGAACAGAAAAATTCACCTTATCGCCCTATATAATCTGTATGATGTTCAAAATACTTCTCTTTACCATACATAACTTAGATATTTCTACGTAATATTTTCCAAGATGTCATGTCTGCCTACTGTTACCGTGATTTTCACGCTAATTTTTAAATGAAAATTTTGTCCTCGCAAAAGACAGAATTCCCCCCCAAGCATTCACAGATAAGCCAGGTATCGGTATCGTTCGTAACGTAAGCAATGATGTGCTCGTAAAGGTTATTTTGATTTATAGAAATATCAGGAAGCTCGAAGACACCAGAAAATAGGTAGTGAGAAAATGAGAGATTGAAATGAAGAGTACTAAGAGAGCCAGAGAGAAAACATGTTATAAGGAGTTAGTGAAAAAAAAAGGGAGCAGGGCCGCGCAATAACATCGTGCGTACGACATCATGACGCGTACTCATGCTTTTTTGCGTCTCGTTTCCTCTAACCTCGAACTGAATTGCGCAGCGTGCGCGAGTTGCTTGGTTGGGTTGTCTGAGTCGGTTGATGAAAATGAAAATTGTACCGATGGAATATGAGTTGTGCATACTGTAAATATGACCAATAGAATTATCGTAGATAGAGGTGAGTACCAGCAACGTTATATATATTGTAAAATAATTGTAGTAGATGGCAGTGGACAGGCAATTTGTAGGAGAAAGACCGTTAGAAATTTAAATATTCCAGAGAGTCGACCGTCTCGAAGCCGGCGAGAATTCGAATCGTCTGAACAAGAAGCAAACATTCGTGCCATTAAGGAATTGTAATGATAACCTGCATAGTCAATTCCTCGATGGGTGTGACTGTTTTTTAGTTCTAGAATCTCTCACGGGAGAGCGAAAAAACGTAGTCTAATCGAACGACGTCGATGACGCTAATAATCGGACGCGACCATGGTCCCCCCTTTACTCGTTCTCTTCTACGTCAGTTTCTCACTATCTTCTTCTGATTGAGGGCCTACGATATTATGAAATATAATAGGCTATCCACGATCCAGAAAATTCTAATAGAATAGAATAATACGATATTCAAGGCATCGAGGTTTGACAGTAAATTTGTAATGAATTTTGAATAGGAATGATAACCCGATAAATTACAAGTCAATATCGCCATTACATTGTAAACACATGAAGTTTTGAAACGGCAATTTTTATTTATTTTAATCAATAGTCTAATCTGTTAGGTTTTGCTATTGATTTTAGAAATAGGAAACACATATCTGTTTCTTGCATGCGTGTATGTCATTTACAGACTACTTTAAACAGCGCATTACAGACCAAGCATGAAATTCCCCTAATTTTTTAAAATCCTCGGCCTCCGGATGGACAAATGTATATGTCTCTATTTATGTGATAGACAATTCTATCTTATATAGAATCACAAAATAGCACAAGGTTGCGTGTCTTATGAGTGCTCACCTGACAGCCTATGTTTGCTATAAAAAAACGGTGAAGTAAAAGTACAAACACAATTAGTAATGTTGGTTACATGTGATGCTTCATTCATCATGCTTAACAAAAGAGATAATTTTATCTCATTCATACTCTACCAAAATATATGGTAGATATGGTTTATCTCAGAGCACGATGAAAAAGTATTTTTATTTAACCGTCATATTTTCTCCATATTTACATCAATGCCGTGATCGTTTAGTAAAGCGAGCGTATGACTATATCCTATGTAGAAAATTAGGTATGGATCTGACTAGATCACCCCTCCTATTTTGCTAGGCTTTTATTCAGGCGTCTAGCATGGAAGGCAAGTCGGGACCGGTCTGTAGATACAGTTTTTACGTTAGACCATCGACGTATAATATGAACTACGCATAGACATTGGAAAAATGGTCGGCTGAAAAAAAAGATAGCGACTGGTGGCAGCCAAGCTCTGTCTCTTTTTAATCAACAGCCAAAGTACGAAAGTATAGAGAACGTAGCCAATAGGAGCATTAGAAAAGGAGAGCGATTGACCGCCATCTCGTTACCTCCTTGTTTATTTGAGCGAATACTTTTTCAAAGAATTTGAAGCAGGGATCGCGTACTCCATACTATACGTTAGGCTAACACACTTTTATCAGTGCTTTATGTGTAAAAGTATTACTTTGTCATATGGTCTTGAGAGATACATTTTAGTAGCGAGTTTATAGTTTCACATCCTGCCATCTAGTGGGGACATACATATTCCGAGTTATATCTAACAAGAAGAAAGTCAATTTGTACAAATTCAATAGTACTGACAGTACTACCAGTACTGTAACCAACGCTATGTCCTTATTCATCCATACGCATCTAAGAGAGATGTAATTACTTTGACAGTACTGTCAGTAAATTTCGGAGCACACCCTATATAAATTCAATAGATAAATATAAGAACCTAAGATCAATTTTGAGTAAATATTTGATTAAACTAATACAAAAAAAATAGTAACGTGAATTTAATGAATTATTGAATATATGCATTTGTATAAGGTAATGAAATAGGACAATTGTGATCTTTTAAGGAATCTCTTAAACACTTGTGTCAACTTAATACTACACATCGTAATCATCATGCGAGTCTATCTGTAACCCGAATTTGTTGACTTTGTCAGTTTTCTGTTGGATTAGTTTAGCTTACGTCTCTAAAGCTAGTACCTTAAAGGTTGTTAAAAAAAACATTGTTATTTAAATGCAGCATCATGTGCTCGCGCTCCAAATAATGGAATTAACATTGTATTTATACGTATGTGTACAGTTGGATCGTAACATTAATTTTTAAGGGACCACCTTTCTACATATTAGAATGAACCTAGTTGACTTACGATTACACGAGAGATACATTGTCAAAACCTTGATACCCCGAATATTGTAATCTTGCAGCCGCGTCTGCTATTCTACAACCGACTCTGGCTATACAGACACTCCGTATAATCGCGTTTACCCCTGAGATCTCTTTCTAAGTTATTCTGGCAACGGGAAGGCTTTTCGCACTCTACTCTGCCACTACGTTACCCGCGCTCTGTTAACGCACTCGACCTATGACAATAGAGTGGGGGCTCTTCGTAATCTCGCTCTCTCGCTAGTGCTAGCTCCGAATGCATGATTATGTGTATAGAGAATCAATTGTTTTAATCACGATCTGTTATGCTCCTGCCATTATGACGCACCATAAGGACTTCGAATCCTTGATGAAAGACAGGTCTGCCTCTCTCTTTCTCTCTCGTTCGCTTTTACATCCTCCATCATTCTAGAGATGCACTTGCATGAACAGACAGCGCCAGAGCTTAATGCTGCGTAGCTCAAAAGTTTTCTAACCATCAAAGATCGATAGATGCGACCGTACCGAGTTGGAGAATAATGGTGTCTCAAAGAGAAGGCCGTATCGGCCACACTACAATACCAAGCGACCGTAGACGGAGAAAAGAGGGGCAGACTGGGAGAGTGAGGGAGTGAGACAGGGAGAGTGTAAAGAAAAAGATGGATAAAACCACGGAGAGAAGAGAGAGCAAGAAAGGTTCGCGTGGCCGAAAACGTGAACGCGTTCCGGTCTGAAATTCCAGTCGGCCGTACAGTCGAGAGTTTTCGAGGAATGGAGTGAGACAGAATTAAATAATAAAATAAATAGTTATTACCAGACTTTTGGAATTTCGAGTCTTTTGGCTTACAATTAGCGGAATTTATTTTCGTATTTTAACGTACTTCCTGTATATCCAGCTGCGATTAGATGCTTAACGGCAACATTGACGACAATGTACGATCGCATGGACCTACCGTCGTTTACGTTCCGCAATTGAAGAATCTATTTGACGTGCGGCCTTTTCAGGCCGCAAAACGGCGTAGCAGGCCCGCGTCTCGTATTGCGTAGTAGGCGCTTGAATGGATTACGTCACGCGCCAGAGGCAGGCAGAGCAAGCAATCACCAACACACATACACACACGGCACTTGTTTACAACTTTGCTAGGATTTTGTTTTTCTCTAGGTACTTCCACACCGTCACGGATGTCAGTAAGTGTTCGCATTTCAATCGACGCGGTTTACGTAGTTTCATCATCGTCGGCGTCGTCTTCGATATATGTCGCACGCTGTATCCTACCGCAGTACCATGACGCTCGTAATCCCTACGACCATTGCAACACGATACTTCTCGACGACGCACTTTTCCACCCTCCGTCAGACGCCCCCTGGCCGCCCCGAGGTGAGGGAACAATCGATCGCGGATGCAGGACTGTGGGTGGATGCCATTCTTCCTAGGAATATCACCCATAAAACGATCCCCACGTGTTACTTTACTAAAGAGGAATTTTTATATTGCAACCTAGCCTGGTAGACGCCCACCTTGGCGTCTATTGGCACTCTCTGACTCTCACCAGCTCGTTTATCTTCGTATTTCCCACAGAGAACACCATTATCGTCGTAACGTTTGCTCTCGTCGTCCTCAACGTCGTCATCGTCGTCTCCTTCGGCACTGGCACCATATCACTACTACTACTACTAGTATACTACCGCTACGACACTAGCCTGCCAACGGCAGCAGCACCAGCACCAGCACTAGCGCGACCTCGCAGCGACGCCGTGGGCTACCTCTTATTTTTTAAATATTTTTACTCCTCTTTCACGTCCTTTAGAACCACTGGCCACGTGGCCATGAATATCACACGGTTCTCCACACACTGACTACGATTCCTATGCACCTGAGATGTCATGTGCTCTCGTTGTTATCGTCGTTGTCGTTGTCGCAACTCGTACAGAAGACAGGACGTGTCGAAGTTCACTGCACGCCATACAAGCGAACACTACATCACGACGAACGAGTCAGCTGGTCTGATGTTGACTCAAGCATAGGCGTAGGAGAACGTGGGCACAGTATCCTAACCTAGCCTGGAATTCGAGCTGTTGTATCCCTACCACCAAGAGTCCATCAGATGCGCCTGCTTTATTCCTTTCCTGTCGTGGTCCCCTATCCCACGTAGGGTCTCCCGCACTCATTCTCCCTCTTACTCTTTCTCATTGTGCCTATATATTTTTTATCCTAGTTTCTTCTCTTCTCTACCCGCCTGACCCCTATCCCTGCCGCCATAACCGTCTTTCCCTAGACGCCTGAGACGTAGAACCTTGCTGCATGGAACTTCTTTCACTTTTTATGCTTATTCTATACTTCCAATGATACCATGCTCTGCATAAGAAACAATGTAAATTATACCCCTATCGTCATCATTAAATATATTCAAAATATCAAGATACCAGATTTTGCAGACTTCGATAGTAATCCACCCCGTCCATTTTAGTAACTGTCATTATTTTCAGGTAACGCCGTTTACTCATTTTTTTTATTTATTGATTATACTCTAAAATTTTGTGTAGGAATTTATATCGACGTATGCATCCCATGAAGCGAAGCGCGTGAATTCCTTCAAGTGCATATCTTGTAGCGTCGCTTTCATGAAATCCAACACCTGACTTACCGACGGTTTCGCATTCTCACGAGAATTTGTCGCTCCTGTTTTATCCTCACGTCACCAACAATAAGAATCGATCCGGTGCCGCTTGCGTCGCACGACGAGCCTACCGCTTGGAATTCCAGCAGGGGAAATCCTCGGTATTCGTTCTACCGTTACTCGCTCTTTCTCTCTTCCTCCCAACCGCCACTCTTGTCACTCTTATTCTCATCTCTCTCTATCTTTCCTTCGTCTATTGAAACAGTAAACGAGAGTGAGACAGAGAAAGGTTCCCTGTCTTTTTTTTCCTTTCTTATTTCTCTCGGTTATGTAATTAGGTGTTTGCTTACCGTTTAACTACGAAGAAGGTGCTAATGGTGCAATATACGAGACCATCCTAAATTACCAGAAGTTATACAAGATGCAGCTCATGAAATTTCTACTGCACAGAATTATTAATAAAGTCATATAATAAAACAATTTTGTACAATTGTCAAGTATTGTGTGTATATATACATATATGTATGTACATACATATACAATAAGTGGATATCGAGGGAAGGATCATTCGAGAACTACAAGGTTCCTTTAGCTGAATGGATTCAATTATTCAATTGACTTTTGGAACCAGCCGTGAAAGAATTCCATGTGTACGGATCGGTCTAGATTTTGAAGTTGTAGCAATTTATATTCATAACCATGAAGTACGTGATGATACCGACATGGACGTGTTGGATTGCATCATGAAATTAAAGGCTGATAGAACAAATCATGAAATCATTTATGTATCTAAACTCTAGATCATTCCTTAATACTATAACTCAAACGCTACTACAGATGAAACCGTCCTATGACATCATTTAGTGAAACTTAGAAACTCTGTCTACACACATTTACCACACACATATATATATATATATATATATTCCTTCTCATTATATATATACATAATATATATTATGTCTTATGTTTTCTCTTTTCTTTCTCCAGCTTACCATCCTCTTCTCTTTCACTAAGCCGGAATATGTTTCTATGTACATCACACATAGACTATCCAAGAGAGTACGTTCAGTACCGATATCAATTTTCTTCTTGGTTATTTTTCTCTCCGGACAAACGAGACTCCCTACGCAAATACCAAAGATGGTCGACCAACCGGATACCACCTTGTACTTGTAACGTATGTAACCAGACATGAACTAAACAATATTTGCTGTTGTATAAATGCGCCTATTGCGCGAATTTCGAAAGTTCTTAAGAACAACAATACAACCGTCTTTTTTTATTTTTTAGATTTACAGGAAATTTTTTAAACATTATGAAAGGCTTATATGGCATTCGTCTAAATACTAACAAAAATCAGGCATCATGTCCATTAATTTTTGTTATCATAACATTTCAAAAAGAAATACTTTAATATGACCATCGCCAATACGCATGCGCACAACGCAGTCGCGATTAAGCCTGAAGTCGTATACCAACATTTCGAAAAAGGTCGTTAGCCTTTGCTTGCCCGTCGATCGTAAGCAAAGCGTGACTCATATGTCGCATTACGAGACTCAAGAGACGGAATACTGTTGAGACGGCAAATCCAAAAAATTTGCGATAAAAATTTCTGAGACCCACTAGAGTAATACTGTAGTATCGTAAAAGATGAACCGACCTCCTGCGACGCCGGAAATAAAGGAATGACGCACAGTCAGAAGACGAAGAAGAAACGGTAAAGAGGTTATGAAGAAAATTATAAAATATCGTGACGATCCACGTGTCCTAGGTCAGCATCACCACACGAACGTTAGACTCCTCCATTTCGTCGGACCTTTAACCAAATTTGTATAGTAACCACTGCGAATCGACGTCCCTAACTCAAATGAGCGCTACTCCATTCTTACGAATTGCGTGGGTGGGACTTAGCAAACACACGCGTCAAGGTTACCTGCGCACCATTTAAACGACCTGAAAGTTTCTACCCGTTTGTCCTCCTTGCCTTCAGATGCGAACAGTCGTAACGTGTTTAGAAATACCGATTCGTGGTCAGAATCAGGGACATTTTGGCTCTTGGATACCATCATTCTCTGCTTGAGTATAAAAACAAATATGAAATATGAAAGTTTGTATCTTAGAATAGCCGTAAGAGACGCGATGATTCAGCCGTGTCAATCATTATGTTTTTTTGAAAAACACGTTAATACTCAGTAGAAACAGATATATGTTAAAAAAGGGATATTTATCCTAGAGACTTTTATTTTAAGTATATACTAAAAATATTCTAGAAATCGATACAAGTCGCACCATTGGAAATGTACGATTATGCAATTCCGACAGATGGTCCTATTATTGCTTGTTATTCGACACAGCGAATTTCTCTATCAACACCTTCTTATACGTATGTCGTGCTTATTAGATTCTATCTACTCGTCATTTTATGGTTGCCCTATATACAATGTGTGTTTACATACGTACATGTACTTACAAAACCTCACAATCATTTAGACTGAGAAAATAAGCCAGCGTTAAAAGTAACAACTGTGAATCAATCATATTTCATGAGTTAACTAACAATTTGTATATCTAATGGCTGAAGTTTGTCCATAATCTAAAAATTGTCAAGATTATCATGCTCTTCGGAAAAGTGTGTTTCTAAAATCAACGTCAACCATTATTAATATAATGGAGAAAAATTTTATAAAAACAACAAGCCCGTTTGTACCTCATGAACTTTTTACTGTAGTGAATGCATTCTTGGACAATTGTCATTCCCACTTTTGATACTCCTTTATATCTTAAACGGAGCAGCAGACGGTAAAGTGATACGAAAATAAGATAAAATTAGATAAAATATTTCACCAGATTTATAATTCTAAGGTGAATAATGTCACATTTGTAACATCTTCCTAACACCGTCAAGCGCACTTCACCTACTGATTTAGATCATTATTAGCTACAGACTATTTTATACATTTTATATTACTTACCTTTATTATTCTTCATGAACCTGTCAACATCATGTTTGAATATTAAAGAGGCGGGCAAGGTGCACTGGGCGTTGTAAGATTTTCTGAAGCCGAAATAATTTGAATTGAAGTGCCTGTATTCCTACTTCCTTTTATACACCGGCGCCTCCTGGTTGGCCGTTACAGAACTTACTATACAGGAGTTATGCATACGTTTGGTACGATTCAAATTTTCGTTAGGACTATGAAGTCTTTGACAAATGTTTGTTAACTCAGCCGCTATCAGTATCATTTATTAATAAAATTTGTTGGAACTAAAATAGTACCATTAAATAAGCATTGATATTGGAGTCCTTGAAGAATTATGAGAACATGTACTAGGACATATATGTATCTCTAGTTATCTCTATAGAAACTTGACGTAATCTTGGTAATCGAATATTAGCTAAGAATGCGGTTCAACGGGAAATTTTAATTAAAGTATCAGCAATTTAATACTTTGCATACTGGCTGTCGGTAAAGTACATATTGCAATAACTTGAATGCCCATGTAAAAATTTTAGAATTAGTAGCGAGGATGCTGTTATCCCCACTGTTGTCCTCGGCATTCTGATGTCTGGAACAGGCTACAAATATATTCTGATATTGAAAAAATCAAAAAGTTACTGAAAAAGACAACGAAAATTTTCGAACATACCATTGGCCCAATGCTCATCTGTTGATTTGTTGCTGAATCAAAACTGTTACAGCTGAACTCTCGCTAGCTTGAATATTTCGACACTGGTTAGCTAAAATAAATTCTATATTGAATATAATTATCCCTGAATATCTTAATTGTGAGATTGCCTACGTTTCTTAATTTAGTCGCTTCACTTTCCTGTAGCAAATCTTCTGATTTGCCCTAAGGGAGCATGACACGTAAAATGTTGTGTCGTGCCTTGCGATCCAAACTTTCACGAAAGGAATAGCATAGCATTCGTTGAGCGTCGGTGCTGCAATTACAATGCAATTATGCCGCAACGATGATTGCGATATGAGGCCTCCAATTCAGGAAAGCTGCAGCGTGACGAAAATTTTACGATGATGCATATATGTATATATATCGGTGGTGTTTATCGATAAGATGCAAAACTAAGAATATGAATTTCTTGAATCTCCGGATCAGTATTGAAAGTGCAAGGTAGTCGTTGCATCCAGTTGAAGGAGTGCAATGCCCTGATACGAATATCCAAAGTATTCTGACTCGTTCCGACCGTATTAATCGGTTTGAGTGGCCGTGGCGAAGTCTTACTTTCACCAGGGTGAAATTGAATTTTATAAAGTGGTTGCAAAAGATGTTAATAAATGCCATAAATAGACTGAATGCTTAAGACTTAATTTTTTGTGACTGTGAACACCTAGTTTTATTCTCTTAAGATACTTAGGTACAAGCGCTTGGCGCATTAGGTGGTATTGCCGGACATGAAGAGTGTATAGATAAAAAGTGAAAATAAAAATAAATAAAAAAAATAATTGCATCAGTTCATTTTCCTTTTGGTAACCGCGTGCCTGACTGTAATGGGTCTTCGCGTTAGTTTTCTAGATGTATAGATTAAACCAAGTAAAGTGATCAGATAAAATGCAGCTACATCAAGGGAGTAATACTGGATGGTTCCCATATGCCTGTAATTAAGAATATAATAATTAGGTAAAGAAATAAATAATTTCTATTGATATATTATTAAAGAAAAGAAATTACCTGGATGTACTCTTAAGATGATCTGCACCACCGTATTTAGCAACATGTTCCACCCACCAGGTAGCTAATTCTCTGGGTTCCAGAGGAAGATCCTTGAGTAATGAACTCTTTCTCTTAGCTGCTTCTCTATAACTATTATTATTTCCAGCTGCCACCTTCATTATACCAGCTCGAAGTTCAGTTACCGAGATACTAGCCAAATCCATAACTAAGGCATAACCTTGTTTTTCTATGAAACAATAAATATCAGAGTAACTACTATTCTTGTTTGCACCAAAACATGTCAAGCGACACTTACCAGCCTGTGCTGCATTTCCGTCATGATCACAGAACACGGGTAACACCAGAGCTGGTGCACCATGGTACGCAGCTTCGTGTAAGGATAATAAACCTCCATGGGATACAAACGCTCGGAGTTGAGGATGGCCAAGTAATTCCTGCTGCGGCCACCAGGCGGCTGTCCTCACATTACCAGGAAGATTATCTATCTTTCCGCCTTCCCACTTCCAAACAACGTTATACGGTAAGGTTGCGAATGCCGCTAAGAAGATCTCTCTAAGGGCGTCTGGCATTCCCGATGCGCGTACCGAGGAGCCCATCGAGACAAAAATGAATCCTGTGAAATGGAAAGTGCCATAACGAATTTACTGGAGCAGAGAGACTTAAAGGAATGTTAGTACACTGGTAAAAGACTATTCACCTCGCCTCAGAAAAGTCTCTAAATCGAGACTAAGTTGCATCGCCGGTCTACAATGAAGACATGCTACGTTCACTACGTTGGACAAATACGGAACAGAATCGGCCACTGCGTAATGGCTATTTTGCAGAGTCAATGGTACTTCAGATATTAAATCCCTCACATCCGGAACTTGGTCACCTGGATTCAGATAATACATTAATTTTCCATAGACTTAATGACGACATGTGCATCTTCGACTGTACCAAAAGAAATTTACCCAAGTATTTATGTAGGGTTGGCTGTATATATCCGGTGGTCATGATCCAGTGCATCATTTCCAGTGTTGCCAAACAGGCAGCGTTAAGAATTCTTTGAAAGAAGTTCATATCCTGCGTTAAACCTTTACCAAAATAAGGGGTTATGGACCAGAGCGATGGATTACCCTGACGCGATATGGAACCACTGTACAAAGCGACCTGTATTACAAAATTCTTTCTCAATTATTTCTTTAAACTCTTTATTATAATTACTTACGGTGTTTAACATAATAGTAGGGACGCTCTCTCCGTGTAAAATTCCTAGAAGACATTCCGGATACGCTCCGTCAAGAACTGCCACGTCCCAATGAGCTTCGGAATCACCTTGAGGGGTTTTTAGATTACTTATAGACATATTGTCCTGGAGAAGAGCTTCGCAAGCTTCCCAACCGTACCTCATCGCATTCCATGGCGATAATGGTAGCTCATTCCTAAATCTAGATCCAACCAGATCCCATTCTGACGTGTAATTGCCCACATAAGCCTATATATGTAAATAATATTAGGTGAATCTAAAACACATTTATTTTTAATTCTTGAATATCATACCTCTAGAATGGGTGGAACGAATTCTAAAAGATCGTTATTAGCTGCAGGTCCCGGAAATGCGCTTAGCAGGGTAACATTATGTCCCCTATCTCTTAAGGCTGTTCCCAAAGCTACGAATGGTACCGTGTGCGATTTTGTACCACCCATAGTAGCAAGTAATACATTGTATCCCCATGTGTATTGCATCCCGTGCAATATTACAAATAATATACTAAGTATCACTGTCATTTTAATCATGTATATAATTAAAACAAAATTAATTATAATATTATGATAAAAAAATCGTCTTCCTTTTTAAATGTCTGCCGTGTCTAAATCATGCCATCTTCTTCGAGGAACCTTCACGAACCGAATTATGACGTTGCACTCTTGATTTCTTACTTCGACCAGGCAAGAAAAACAGTTATTATTTAAGAACACAATAGAATTCCTCCTTGTTGTTATTCAAATAACGCGCATGCGCATTTATGGTAAATTTGAATGTCCAAAAGTAACGTTCAATATTATTGTTCTTTGAAATATGTATTTTTAATTTAGAATTGATTTGTTGATTTTAGTTTGAAGTGTCTTAATGTATCTTTAATATGTTCTTCTTCAAACTTTCTCTTGTTTTTTTCCTCCCACAACTTTATGTTACGCACAGTATCTCTTTATCATCGTTCACGCGCACCGATTTCTGTAGTATTATAAAATCTTACGATTTTCTGGCACCTTCTATTTTGGATAAGGCATGTGATTTTACCTTTATCATCAAAGTGAACTTTCACCGACAACATTGCAGCGCAATTCACTACGTACAACCAATCGCTCCAGTAAACAGCAATTCAGTTCCCTTCAAGAAAAATTACTTTTGACCGTGATTACATTTACTTTGGTATTAACATTTTTACCAACAATTTTTTACAGCATATTTACAATTTCGCAGACATGTTAATTATGTGTTTGCGAAATTATTAAAAAATCTGTTTTATGCAGTAATTAATTTTTTTTCACTTCAATTTTGCTTTCAATTTCCTCTTGATCTTTTATTTTTATCGGTCAATCAACTTTTATTGGCTATATTAACTTTTATGAGAGGTACGTAATTTATAAGTAGTCAACGACATATTCATTTCGCAATTGATTATTGGCTCATACTGCCGGCTAACATTTCTCGAATGTAGGAGAACCGCGTTGCAGCGCGACGTTGGCGAATGGGCGCACGAGCATACTTCGAATATCGCGGAGTGTGAAAGTTTGACTGACCAACGCGACAGACTAACGATCAGCTGAGTTCTTAAGAGAGAGTTACCTACTCCCACCTTTTTCATAGGCAGCTAAAAACCTTTTGTCTCAAGATGTATCCTAAACTTCTAGGAATCCCAATCGAATAGTAGGATATAAAATAATATATGTGAAAAAAAGTGAGATTTTATTGCGAAATAAACATTTTAAAACGAGTACGACTGTACTTCTTCTTTCGGCGAATAAACAGTTCAACGCCATTCTTAAAAATATTTCTTACATAATATGTCATTATCGACCCAAGCCAGAGAGCAGATCCGTACACAGTTTTTATTTTTCACTTTATGGTATTGTTTAGAGTTGCCTATATTTTCTGCACATTGCAAAAAGTGCAAATTTTTATTGAACGATATTTTTAAGTAACCAATAAGAATCAGCACTTTTTGAAAAGTGCAAAAAGTATAGGTAACGAGAACAGATCTATTGTGTGATACAAATTTCAGAAGCCAAAATATATGCCAAAATTAACATGTCAAGCATGTTTGTATTGTGCAATTTGTTATTTTCACTGCGTATAACTCAGAAGCGGGACGCGCAACTTCTTAGAAACATTTTACGCACAAACATCATGTATTTCTCAAGTACATACAAATTTTAGCTCGATTAATTGGATTTGTTATAATAGTTGCATTTCGTCAAGAGTAATTTATCGCATCGATATATAGATGAAGTGTGAATAGTAAATTTTTAATTAATCTTGCTTTTCGTATTAAAAAAATCATTTTTATGTTTGCTGTCCAAAACCTTTTTCAGAAAGCAGTCAAATTATGACCCGTTGGCTTTCACGAATCAGCAAGACGCTCTTCTGTTTGCTAAAGACGTTAGGACGCACGTCTCCGCCGCGATGCTGTGTCCTCCTTCACGTTTTTCCTCGCTTGATAATGCTAGGCTACCGGAGCGTATCGTTCGGTGGTTTAGGTTTCCAAAAATAAAATTCCCGTTAACCACATCTCACAGGAACTGCTTGGACTAGAGAAAATTAGTCATGATTGATTTTTGCCGACGGAGACAGAAAAAACAAGATGTTAGTAGAAAAAGTGTTCGATGAAGCCAAGAGTAGCTTAATGAAATACTGCCAGGAACAATTATATTTTTTTGTCACTTCATACAGGAGCAATGTGAAAGATTCCAATCATCCATGAATAAATTACAACGAACTTAGGATACATTAAAGGTATCTTCCCTCGTCCATGGAACTAGTCGTTCAAGATGGATAACTTGGAAAACCAGATCTCTCATAGGTCAAATTCGGTCATTATGTAAATTTTTACGACCGAACGGTAACACGATGACCGATTCTGGCTAATGAGGGTATTGATTTTCCGAATTACCCATCTTGGACGACTATTCAGTTTGATGTGGACTTCTAATCACACTTGGTAACTATCGTTGGAATTATCACATATAGCAAATTTGTATAGCCAAAAGGAACTACGTAACTCCCTGACTTTAAATAATTTACGACACAAAGATAATCTGTTATTATTTTTTATCAGATTGCTCCAATCAGTCAAATCAATAAAATATTCTTATGACAGGTAACACAACGACTGATAGATTTGAGCTAAATAGTCCTACGCATATAGAAAGTCTACCAATAGTTGGCAAAGCACAGACTGTATAACCTCTCAAATATCATCCGGATTGTGTGGTGACCTCATCGATAATAAGTCAAAATTCTTGATAGCTTCTAGCATGTCGATACCCATAAGAAGAAGTTATCCTTGCAAGATGAGTTCCAATAAATTTTCTTCGCGTGGTTTCACTTTCGCCTCTCGCGAAATCAAGCTCGACGGACTTGTCAGTACTAAGAACGCGTCTGTGCGGCGGCCTCTCATTGGCTACGCGTTTGGCGCGTGTTATGAATTCGTTATTCGAATAAACCAATGGGTTACGGCAATAACGATGCAATTAGCTATCATACGGAGATCCAGTAGCGATCGTAATCACTATGTGCAAACGTACAATCAGGGTTTACGCTTGGCCTATTAGGAATAATATTAATATAACACGTGAAAAGAGAATGGATCGTTAATCAATGGTTACGTGATTGCACGCGACAGTCTTGTTTTGTCAGTAGCCAAATACAAATCCTATGTGCAAGGTTTATTAAAGAGCTCGAGCTATGTAAAAATCGTTTTGCAAAGCCTTCGAGCATAATCTAACGTTTTTAAGGACTGTTGCTTTCCGACTGTGCAAATAAATAATAAATAACGCAATTAACATATATGCAGGGTCGAGGTTTGGAAGAGCCATGCTTATACTTATACATATTGATATACTCGTATAAATTATCCTGACAACATAAAATTAGAATTTATCCTAATAAATCCTAGCCTTAATTTATCTGGAAGTTTTACGAATAACCACGTGAGGAATTTGAAAACCCAACAAAATTCTTTCTTTTAAAATTCACTGTGATTTCCGGTACCCCACGTGGACCTGCTAGAATTAAACATGAACATTTATACTTTAAGGTTATCTTTGGATAGTTGGTATTTTCTACTATGGACAACGATTAGAATGCTAGATATTAATGGTATGTTTGATCATTTTGTATTACAGGAATTATTTAACGTACAGGTGTCACTTCCTCAGAGCTTCTTCTCTATTCTTTTCATAACAGTGAGCGCTGTATGTTGACTTTCGCGAGTCGCGCCGCCTGCGTCGCGAATTCCAAATAGTTTCTTCAGTGATCTTAGAAACGAGGTGTTAAGTCCAGCGTAGATTATTGGATTGTAGCAGATTGAAGATTTCGCAAGAATAGCCGGAAGTAACGCAACTTCCGGTGACGGTTTTACCTGGTAAATAATAAAAGTATATCAATTGAATATCGATTAACATATCTATGATGATTATCAATTCTAAAGCTTACATGGAAGTACTGCACACTTAAAGCCAAGCCAGCGTATGGCGTCCAGGCCAATAAAAATGCGATAATCATCAATGCCACCATTTTTGTGACTTTTGCTTCTTGCCTGCCACGTCGTCCTGATGCGACGTTAAATGTTTGTCAATTTATATTTGACCGTTATTTAACAATTTATTTATCATTTTATCTGCCATTATCTTTCCAGAAAATACGAGACAATTTTTAATTTAAATGCTTTCTTCTTACCAGCTCTTCTTCCGACCTTTCGTAAAGTCCTGATAATACCAACGTAACATGTTCCAATAATGAGAACTGGCATTATCAAACCGAATACAAAAAGAAAGGCTATGTAGCTGTCGGTCTTGGTGGATACGTCATGAATTTCCCAGGAGACACTGCAGGATACATTGGCGGCTTCCAATCCATAGCTGCCCCAACCGAAGACTGGCGGTAAGGATAAGGAGACGGCATAGACCCAGACAAACCAGGCGATGATAACCGCATGTCTATGTAGAACAAGAATATTAGGTTTGGGGATAATTCACAAAATTGAGGATGAATAGAAATTAAAGGAATTAGAGGATATCTAAGTATTTCCGTGCTACAGAACTGTACTTGGAAACTCATAACGAAGTTCGTTTGGGAATTTCGCTCCGCGTCCTTTGAATTGGATAAGTATAGAAGGGAAGTCAGTAAGCTTTACATTACGCTTTACATTACGCAAAAAGAGATACCTAAACTCTTGAAACTTTTGATTTAAAGGTTGCCAACCATGAACCAGATAAGCAATTGTCGAGTCATTAATCATTATACAGAAGGAAAAGAAAGAGTTCTTCGAAGACCACTTGATGTCAAAGGGCATGAAAAGGGTTCTTATAAAAGGAGGAAACGATAAACGTTGCTCAGAGTCAAATGTACAAGTGTAATTATGTAATCCTGGATTTGGATTTTACTTGAAGACCCTTCAGGTAATTGAGGTCTATCAAGTATTGTACCCATTGTCAAGGAATTTGGGACAAGACCATTAGAAGAGAGGTTGATTGTAGAAAAGATGCAAAGAGAATCCAGAGCTTCACAGTCTTCTTATAAGATTCCTGAATCGTTTCAAAAGCTCAGTGCAAGTACACACTTTGGTAATCCATAATTAATTAAAAAATATGTTAGTTACTTCAAGCTCTTAATTTCACACTGCAAGTGAATGCTAAACATGAAAAAGACTTTACTATAATGTCTTTGAGCTACGTTCTTTCATCGCCTTATTATTAAAGTTATTAAAGCTTCTGATGTAAAGGGATTTCATATTTTACCTTGTCAACAGTGCTTTTATGGGTTGAGTGACTAGTATCCATCTTTCTACTGCCATTGCTGTAAGATTACCAATGCTGGCTAAACCAAGTGTTGACATGAGGAAGGCATACCTACAAGACAAAATAGAATGAGACTTATCATTATGATACAACATACTGCTTGATTGAATATGAATTGGAAAGAAATAGAATTGAATTAAATGGTATTGTTAGATCAGTTGCAAAACTCTTAGCATCTCTTTGGAAATGAAAAATCTTCTGATATAGAAGATTGAAGTATACATGGCAATGATGATCTTATAGAAGATTAATGTTAGGGGGATGAAATCTTAATTAGGAGAATAAATGTATGTTTTCGTTGATGATAAGAGACATCAAGATTGGTTTATTTGGACACTTTTAAATAGTGAAGGATTATTAAAGTAACAGCAAAGACAATAGGAATCACAATTATTTTCACTTTTATATAACTGTCAGGATTCTTAATTCCTCTGCGTCTTTTTACGTTAAAAAGCTTGTGGCTTGTCGTAGGTAATGGTACAAGAGTAAACATTGAGTAACATTTCATTGTCATGTGGAAGAATGGCAAATTTGCTTCCAGATTTACAATTGCGGTTAACAAGGTCGTTATAGTATAAATAGAAAGAGCCTCAAGTATGCATAATTACAGTCTATTTAACATGTATGGAATTTTATATTACAGTACATATACAGTATATGTAATTTTTAGTTTATCCTCAAGTAAAACGATAGCGTGTAATAATCCATTGATAATTGTAATAATCAATTAATTAATTGTATTGTCTAGATTATCAATAAGATTATTAATCACCAGATGCACATCTCATGACTCCAATACCAACCACCATTGATGGCAGACATCATAGTCAATGGATTTCCAAAAACAGCCACTTGGAAATCACCTACCTGCATTAAAAGAAATATTATTATTTAATAATCGAATCGATTGCAATATTTTTAATTTTATTCAATTTTTTTTATAACACTATATATCTAAATATGTGTATTTTTATTTGAACTTTCTCTCATTTATTTATGGGTAAACCTACCACGAGATTGAATAGTATGGTGTTCATGGGTGTCCAGCGATTTTCGGAATCTTTTATTATTACTATTATTACTATCAGATTCAAACTAAAACCAAAAAAACCTATTAGGCTTAGTGCTACGGCAGCGGCCACGTAAGTCATTTCACTCATTTTTCCTTCGTGCAAAAAATCGGGTATGTCGGTTGTGCTATTTTCAAACATTTTTTAAGCGAATCAAATATATTTCTATACACACTTTTTATTTTCTATTAAGTAAATTTTTTATGTTTTATAAGATTTTTTAACTGATACGATTTATTTTTCATTTTTAGTATCATTATACATATTGACAATACTTCCCTTGGGATGTTTTTTAAAAATATTTTTATATAAATTTTTTATTTAAGAAGCTTGTAAATCCACACTGTATTAAGTAGTAATGCCGATATTTCAAACTGACTTGCCTTATATAGAGGATTGCAGGGGGTGAGTACCCCACCAAGGAGCTTATCAACCCCCTCAAAAACCATAGCGTAGAACAGCATGCGCGAAATTCGCTACTGTTTATCGAATTTCTATATAAAGTTTCATAGAAAGAATATTTGTGTTGCTTTTTCAATTATTTATCATTTAATGAGTAACATTTTTTTTCAATATCTTCAAGAACATTTGATATAGTATATTATCTCATTTCTGTACATACCTGATTCCTGGAATCTTTATGATTACATTAGTTAAATTTCTCATGCAATTTGGAGATCAACAACTCAAAAAAGAACTTTTTTTTTACATTTCATAACAGTTCCAGAGACTTACGAAATTCACGCTCCACTTGTCAAAAATTCGGAACAGAGCCTGCGGCTTTTGATGAAAGTTAGATTACAAATTTAGTAAAGAACATATTCGAATTATAATTTTCGATCGTTCAATGTTATTTGTATACGGTGTGAATGAAATCGAATCTTAGGATTTGAATAAACACATCTTGTAGAATTTACCCTTCACTACATAAATTTTACGACGTTATAATTATGACAGTTATATTAAATTTCTACAAATGTATTAAACGTGTTTTCTGAGATGCTAGCATGAATGTCCATATAAGCCTGGGTCAGGGTACCTTGATCAGAATTTCTGCAAATAAAAAATATCTGCCTATATAGATATATAGATGACGATGATATAACGTGGCGCTGTCAACATTCCATGCTGACTGTGTAACAATATCGGCGATTAGAAACTGGAAAGTTCAGCGTAGCTTCGTGGCTCATGGAAGAAAGAGTGAGAGCGAACTGAGACAGTTATTGCAATCGCGAACTGTGAAGAGGAGAGATAGAGCGAGAGTTTCTTTCTCGTTTGTATGTCTTTTACACACCTTTCCACGTCTTCTTATTCTGAGGAATCTCTGCATCGTTCCGGTAAAAGTGAAACCGGGCGATGCCGTAGTAGTTTATTCATTTAACTTTGATATTTTTGACGCTGATACGCGAAAATTTTATGGTTATACGTGTAACATATTTAGTACACTGTGCGTGATAATTTATACATAATCAATGTAAAATTCTATTATTACATGTTGGGGTGCAACGGATGCTTGTAAATTGGTTGGATAAGCTCTGTAAACTGAAGCTTGTATAGAATCAATGTGTCTCGTTAGTCGAAAAAAATAATTAAAATTGTCAAATTGTGTAACGCGTGGAAATGAAAACAAAAATATTCCGGATAATCACCTTCAGAGGACAGCTGTAAGAATCCGGCAATATGTTATTAATCCCACTAATGACAAAAATGGATCATACTCATTAAACTTGGATTATCCACAAGTAGCTAGTTTTCATGTGTCCAAACAGTCAACCTTGTTAAGTGAAAATAATTAAAAGAGAGCCTGACACTCGACTACAGTCGAAATGACGTTTACAGGATGCGTATTTCAACAAATTTGACTATAATATTCCGATGGTAAACGTAGTAAAAAAAAACGATTTGTCAATGTACCTACGCATAGTATAAGGTCATACGACGGATTACTCAATGTCGTAAAAATATGCGCATAAATTGCACGCTGTGAATTTTAATCGCACGTACGACAAAATATTCTCATTGAGAATATACAGGAACGGAGTTTTGAAAGGAAGTATTATAGATGGTTCAATTTTCATTAGACAAAAAGTGTTCCTCCAGCTTTATTCTTTTCGTATTAACGTTTGAATGCGCTACATAAGAACGTACGTGGCGTAAATAACTTATAAGATAATTGGCGTGAATGTCACCAACATTCACATATCTTCAGTGTCGCTATCCGAATCTTCGTCGATTGCTTGACGAGCTTTAGCTTCTGCTTCCGTTTTAACATCTGATGGAACACGCTCGTGCTTACCATTAGTATGAGCACCGACCCAACTCATCTCTAGCTCAAATTGCTTGTCTTTTAATTCATCGTGCACCAGATAAATTATCCTGGCAGCTTCCTTGACTAAGTCCTTGCAGGTCATGTCCGAAAGTTTCAGCTTCTCGATTTCCGTCTTTGCTGACTGCTTAGCTTTACCTGATAAATGAGAATGTTAAACGTATTTAAGCAACATTGTGAGTTTTTAAAAAATTCTTTCATATGAGTGAGTTTTGTATTATTCATTACCTACAGCACATCCATAATAACCATAAGAGACTCCAGATGGATCTATCATATACATGGCAGGACCTTCTGCTTCGTAGGCACTCAGAATAACCGCACAACCATATGGTCGTAATGCTGAATATAGAGTGTATGCATGCATGTACATAGATACACGTTCATTTAGATATTTTAAAGGAATGCCTACGCCATATTGCCCACGATAACTCGCTGCTTCTGATCTTGCTGTTTCCGCTATTTGTCTAGCATCTGAGATCAAACCAGAGACTGCCATTCCAACGTGATGGTCAATGTTGAATATCCTTTTGTTTGCACCAGCTTCATACAATTTTGATGTAACCAATTTCTCCACAGCAATTACAATACCATCCTTTCCTCGTAACCCAATAACAGTTCTGAATTCCCAAGGCAATAAGAGAGAAAGACAAAAGATATAAAGTATTTGAGGAGTACAGCGTAGAACTCTAACATACAGTTCTCTGAAATATACAAGACTCATAAAATATTTTTATTTATATACGTACCCACTATTCTCTACAGCTTTCTGAGCATATTCAACTTGAAATACTCGACCGTCCGGCGAAAATTGAGACGCCGAGAGATCATACTGAAATTATTATAGGTTAGATATCGTTCATTATATATTATAACAGTACTCCGAAATGTTCGTATTACTAAAAAAATGTAAATTTTACCCCTGTGCCGATGGAACTCATGTTTTACAGGATAGGTGTGAAATTAAAGGATTCAACACTAAGAAACTATCTTTGTTTATGCGCTTATGCGGCGTGAATAGGCGAAAATCAAAACCTAATTGTCAGTGTAGCTGCCATGGTAAAGTCCCTCTAGTGAGAGTCCAGCCAACGTTGGGGCTTGTTAGTGATTGGCTCCACCACATTATGGGCTCTTTCTGGAATAGAATGGTGTGTGTGAATACGTATATGGGAGAGATTCGCATTGTGTAGTGTGGGTAGCGTTAAGCCCTGTACGGCGGGTTGCCTGTACTTGGCGCGAGACTCGACCGAGTCTCTTGATGGTAAAGATTGATAGTTTGAAAATCCGCGCGCAATGTCATGGTGGCGCCAAACAAGCCCTTAATATGGCGTCCCTTCCGGGTGTTGGCCGGACTCTTACTAGAGGGACTCTATGCCATGGCTGACAAAAGCGCCACTAGCGACTCATACCTCCAATATTTCAATCATAAAAACCAAATCAAAAAACATTCATACAAAGATTGAATTATATGAACAAAAATATTTATTTCTCGTAAATTTTAACAAATTTCGATCACATTGTATCGGATAATGTTATATTCTATAAAATTAAATCTTCATGGTAAAATGTTAAATGCGTTATACATATGATACAAAGCTCCAACGAGTTTATAATACATCAAATTTTTATAATACATGTATGCTATGTGATAAACAAATATATCAATAAATAATATTATCTATAACTAGTATTATCTTTGCTTAATAAAAAAATGTAATGTTCGAGTATGGCATGATTTTTCTGTATATTTAAAGCGTGCATTCGTAGCGCATATATTTAAGGCCTTACGCTGTATTTACCTTTTCATTATTCTGCGCTTCTACTGAAAAATGTATTTATGAATATTTCCCTGATTTCATTAGCGATAATCAAGCGCTCGTACTTCACATATGTGCTTTCATTTTTTTTCATTCATGCTGCTCGATTCAATATTATCGCATTTCAATTACGAAAGTAAATTATTACGAAAATATACACTAAGAATCTCTGAGATCTTTAGGTAACAGAAATACTGTTACGTAAGTTTTCACGATGTTGAATCGACTTGATATAGTATTATATGTAAATCTTGTACATCTACCTTATTGTTAGATATTATAGTCTTTTAAAAACTTGATACTGTGCAGACATACTGCAGTTCTTTTGTATGAACTTTTTTGTGCTTATTCAAAGATGTGTTGTGCTTAAAGGATTTTCCGCACTGTTCGCATTCAAAGCGTTTTTCACCAGTGTGTACGGACATATGTATGTCTAAATGTAGTTTACGCTTAAATGTTCCTCCACAAATATCGCAAGTGTAAGTCCTCGTACAGAATCGTACATGCCTTTTAATCATATGTCGCATCTCAAAGGACTGTCCGCATATATGACACTGAAGAGGCTTCTCACCAGTGTGAATTCTCATGTGTTCCATAAGATAATCTTTATTCGCAAAAGCCTTTTCACAGTATGCACATTTTTGTAATCTGTAAACACAATGTAAATAAATTCTTTCAAAATGATTGTACACACTTCATACAATATTATTATAACTATATATAATACCTGTTCTCTGTGTGCGTTGTGGTATGTTTATTCAGTCTTCCTTGCGTTACGAATGTTTTACCACAAATGCTACATTGATAGGGCTTTTCTCCTGTGTGACTACTAGTGTGCACTGCTAGGTGAGATCTTTTTGAGAAAGATTTTTCACAATAAACACATTTGTGTGGTCTTTCAGATGTGTGTGTATAAGAATGGTAGGTCAGTTCGGTTTTGCGTGAAAATTTCTTTCCACAGACATTACAGACAAATGGTTTCTCGGAATGTTCACAGCTCGTATGCTTGCAGAGGATTTCTTTTGTAGGGAATGTTATATCGCATATTTGACATTTGTACTGTTTTTCCTTCTTATGAACTTGCATATGGACGGTCAAATGACCCCTTTGAATAAATGTTTTCTTGCAGGTAGGACATTTAAATGGTTTTTCTCCACTGTGAAGACGCATATGTCTTCCCAGACCTGATTTTTGTGTGAAGAGCTTTTCACAAACTGGACACTGGATGCGTTCATTGTTATGAACAGTCTGAATATGTGTTTTCAGAGATGAATTCTTTGTAAAAAGCTTCTCACAGGTGTGACACTGTGCCACCTTCTTTGTAGATTTTAATGGTGTTATTTCTATACTATCTCTCTGAATATTTGTACTTTTTCTGCTTTTTAAGCTCAAGCTTGGAATTAAGTTATTCGGCATTTTGTCATCTTCATGTACATTTTGTTGAGATATACATTTATGCGTTGCTTTATTTGTTTCATGATTACTTTCAAAAGGTTCTTCCTTGACTTTAGATATCTAAAATAAACACACATTATATTGTACATAAATCATACACAAATATTATCGGATTTGGATTTAATACTGTACATAGAAGAATTTACAGTGGAAAGTTTAGTCTATTGGAGTGTTATACAATAATTTGGAGATCAGATATAGGACTGAGCTCTTATCAAATATGAATTTTTTCTAGGAACTAACGAATCATTTAGATGTGATAAAAATCCTCTGTCAACAGAGGCACTAAGGACCATTCCATAATCTCAATTAAAAGTTAATCTGCAGCAGAATAAAGTTATCACCATGCATATTGTCACCCATCTAGCAACTATTTATCACCATTACATCTCTGCCAATTTGAAAATATATAACAATATATTCAATAAAAGGTAGCTCACATTTATGTTAAAGGCATTAAGTTCACTCACATTATCCATAAGTGGAATGCAGATTATATTCTCTGGAACGATTTGTTTTTTATCCATTTTACTAATTTTCATTTAACTAAATTTTTACTTGCAAAAAGAGTATCTTGTCAAAGCCATAGTAAGGATACTCCATATTGTCAACAGAAAACATCCATCGAGTAAGTAAAGCTTAAATCTTTCTTATGTGCATAAATTGAGCTTTTAATAATCAACTAGAGCTGGTGAAAATGTACAAGTTATTGGTTGTTGATCGGGAGGATTGATTCTAGAACCAGTAGCATTCTCTTTTTAATATGAACAGTCAATTGATATAGTGGCACGAAAAAGAGTTTTTTTTCAAATTATGCAAGTAATAAAGAATAGATCAGTGCTGCTAAAAGTTGTCGAAAGTATCGATCAACGAAAAATTTGAAGCAGACAAATATTTTGTATAGGTATATTCTAATTTTCGAATAATGAAAAATAAAACGATTCTGTCTTAATATTTTTTGAAAGACCTGACGAAGAATCAAATTGGAATGAGGACACTATACTTCCTTAGATTACGCCAATGTAATCTCAGATATGGCATGACTCGTGTATGGCGGTTTCCGCTAATCTGACGTGTACAAAAGTCAAACCACACGACCAGTTATAGGTTAGGCGCGTGGAGATCGAATCCATATTTTCGTTGTAACAAGATTACAAAAGATGTTGGACCTTTTTACGATATTCAGTAAGGGTGGAATTGTACTCTGGTGCTTCCAAAGTACCTCGCAAATCTTTACGCCTAGTGTCAATGCCTTAATACGTAGTGTCATCCTACAGGTGAGCATTTAAATAAACACGTATCATCATCAAGGATGTTATCGAGTGTGAGAAATTAACATTTTTCAATTATGAGTTCTGATTGGTTTGCCTAACTTTAATTTACTCAAAACTTCTTAACGTGAATTTAGGTAATTCACTATAGGTTTTGAAATACAATGTCGCATGATAATCTAACATATGCTTCTGATATGACACTTTCTTTGATATTTTTTACAGGAACGAACTGGAACTCATTCCTTTGAACATGATGCTCTGCGTCTCCAGTATAAGCTAGACAATGAATTTGAATTGGTTTTTGTTGTGGCATATCAAAAAATATTACAACTGTCATATGTCGACAAGTTTTTGAATGATGTTCATCTGGAGTTTAGAGATCGTTATAAAAATCAATTGCAAAACTCACAGTGGTTTTTGGACTTTGACTTCAAAAAGAATTATGATCGTATACTTGATGCTGCTGAACAATGGGGAAGGACTCAGGCTAAATTACCCAAGCAAATGCGCACCTTTGATGAAAGTTTTAAGTCTAAAAAGACAGTTGCTAGTATGATTGAGAGAAAGGATGACAAGGATACTAAGAAACAAGGTAATTTAGATATCAGCTTATACTTGATCATTTCTATACTTTTAATTCATCTAAACGGTGAAATATCACTCACATAGTGAGGTGATGGTAGTAGATTATCTATAATTTTATTTGATAGTTCTTTTTTATGGTATAAGGGCAATTACAATAGAATCACTTTCTGTAGGCTTTTAATTGGAAATGGGCATATGCTTTTTATACCTTTTAGGCAAGAAGAAAAAAGGGACCAATGCCAATGAAGATAGTCAAAGTGAGTGTAACACTCTGCTTTTGTAGATCAATGCATCTTGAGTTAACATAGCAAAGTGATAGCTTACTAGTAAAGATTTAATATATACCTAATAACAGTTCATACGGAAATTCATAATTACACATTGAGTATTTTAATCACAGTGAAAATACAAGAACCTCTAAAGCCAGAGCCACCTAAACCAGCAAATAATCAAAATGGTGAACTTGATGAGGAAATTTTGATGGCCAATCGTTTAAAACTCGCGCAGAAGCTTACTGGACAAAAGAAAAAGGCTGAAAAGCAGTAAGCAATTGCTGATTTATTACCTTATGAATAATCAGAATATACTAATATTTTTTAATCTGCAGAAAAAGTCCAAAACCTGAAAAAGCAGGCAAGAAACCACGAGTTTGGGAATTGGGTGGTACCAATAAGGACCTGGCAAATCTAGAGCGTACTAGGGATAAGCCTGAAGAAAGTGGAGATTATGTGCCAGCTGATACAAACGTAGGAATTTTATCACAATAAATTATTTTACACGTACAACATGAAATTGTTATAAAATTAACAATATAAACATGATATTTAGATGATTGGTCAGATGAAGGGTGGAATCCGCGATTTGGAAGTAGAAAGTGAGTCCGAGGAGGATTCGGATGAGCCTGAAGTTGAAATTGAAAATGAGAAACCTCAGGTGCAAAAGAAATCCGGTGGAATGTTTGCTATGTTTAAAAGTCTCGTTGGAAATAAATCCTTGAGTTCTGAGGACATGCTCCCAGTTCTGGACAAACTAAAGGATCATTTAATCTCTAAGAACGTGGCAACCGATATATCCAGAAAACTTTGCGATTCCGTCCGTGTAAAACTCGAGGGTAAAGTACTGGGAACATTCGACAGCGTCGCCAGTACTGTGAAATCTACACTGACTGACGCCTTGGTGCAAATTCTATCACCAAAGCGTCGAGTGGACATTCTTCGCGACGCATTCGAAGCCAAAAAAAACAGCAGACCCTACGTGATGACTTTTTGTGGCGTAAATGGCGTCGGCAAGTCTACGAACCTGGCAAAAATCTGTTTCTGGTTGATTGAGAACAATTTCCGTGTCTTGATCGCTGCGTGCGATACATTTAGGTACGATTACTAAAACCCTAAGTACAATCTATATTACTTAGCAAAAAATATAATGATCTTATTCTCATATAGAGCTGGTGCAGTGGAGCAGCTAAGGACGCATATGCGTCACCTGAATGCTTTGCATCCTCCTGAGAAACATGGTAATAATACCATGGTCCAGCTCTACGAGAAAGGTTATGGAAAAGATGCGGCTGGTATTGCGATGGAGGCCATCCGCTTTGCGAAAGACTCCAAGATCGATGTGGTGCTCGTAGATACGGCTGGTAGAATGCAGGACAATGAGCCGCTCATGCGGGCTCTGGCTAAACTGATTAAAGTGAATGAGCCGGACTTGGTGCTCTTTGTCGGAGAAGCCCTCGTCGGTAATGAAGCCGTCGATCAGCTGGTTAAATTTAACCAGGCATTGGCTGACTATAGTAACTCCTCCAATCCTCATATGATTGATGGTATTGTACTGACCAAATTTGATACCATTGATGACAAGGTATTACAATGAGTTTCCGTAAGATTGTCTTCTTTCTATTTGTAGATTATACTCAAAATTTGTTTTCATATTTTTAAAGGTGGGTGCAGCTATTTCTATGACATATATCACTGGACAGCCAATAGTATTTGTTGGAACTGGTCAAACTTATACGGATTTAAAGTCTCTGAATGCTAAAGCCGTCGTTCATGCTTTGATGAAGTGAAAGCTGTTTTGCGTAATTAAGTCGTGGATGTAATGCGTCATTGGTTATTGATTGGAGAATTAATGGATACGCGATTCCAAAAATACTTAATGCGGATATCGGGTTTATTCGAAAGGGTACAAGAAACATAAAGCCGTCGCCTTATGAAAGCGACAGCAGATGTAAGACACTACTTTTTGCTAAACCTTAAAATCGTCTTAACGTCATCTATGGTACGCTTTATTTATTGTATAGATAGCTATATCGATGAATTTTATAGAAAAATTAAAGATTATGAAAAAAAATGGATATCATGCTTTCTCTCTTTTCCCTAGTCTTTCCACTGATATTACTATCTCTTTGCTTGTTTTAACTTCCACTTATCTCCCTGCAAAATTGTATACCTTATTAAATTTGATTACATTGTATCTTGTTACTTTCATAGGCAAGACTTCTTGGAGTAAGTTAAAAAATAACAAAATATTCAAGAATAATAATGAGAAACTCTTATACTACAGGAATCTCAATATCCTTTACATGTGACCCATTGGTAACTGATCATTAGCTCTAGTACTTCCTTCAACGTGCTTTGACGTGTCCTGCTCGTGAGCCTCTTCTTCAAGTTCCCAATGTACAGCATCGTCAAATTTCTGATCCTCCGTAATAGAGCCAAACATGGTCATCCTGAGTATCAGACCTGCCAGAAGACGATTGTCATTTTGCATTACGATAAGGAACAGAGTACAAAGCGAAGACAAGAGAATAGAACAGAACAACAGAGTCGAGTAGATTATAGATGGGAACGTGATGCCGGTTATTGGTGATACGAGTTTATATCGTATTATACCGTGGTAGGAGTAATAGGCGAGGGCATCCGAGCACTATCAATGATTGGTCAAGATTAATTACCTGTAATTAGTCCAGAGACAATGGCAATGCCCAAAGTGACCAGCAGTGCCAATAACTGATACGCAGCCTGCTCTCCCGCCGTTCTGTCAAATCCTGCCGATATCCGATTATAGTCGTCTCTTATTTCCGCCAGTTTTGCTTCAGAAGACGGTGCACGCGCTGGGAAGATCTAAACAAAGTGTGTAACTTTATTGCTAGCTTTATTCAACGTTCGCCATTATTCAGGACTTACTGCATAGAGAGAATAATAGTAAGATTCCTCACTGGCTATCCCCGCCATTAGTGCACCGAATAATCCCGCTAAAACGCCGGGCATTCCGTGTAAATTGTGGACGCCACAAGTGTCATGGATCCGCAAATGTTTTTGTATCAATGGCTGCAAGAAGAGGATGGGAACAGATGGATATGTCGGTGTACTAGTATGAATACAAGTAAGTGTATCTACATTTTTTTGTAATTATCTTACCGTTAGAAATTTGTAACCTACTACACTTAGTACTCCAGCCAGAGATCCAATAGCTAGTGCACCGATTGGTCGGCACATCATTCCTAAATATTTAAAAGAAGACTTATTACTTTTTTCATATTGGTGAGTAGACGTTACTTTTAAATATTTTTTTGGGGGAATTTACCGGCTGCAGTTCCTATGGCAACGCCACCTGCGAGTGTTGAATTTTGAATGTGAACCATGTTAAATTTATTATCCTTCGAAACAATTGCTGACGTTGCAAATGCCATTACGCAGCTGGCTGAGATTGATAATAGAGTATTGATAATGGCACGTTGTTGATTGTCTCCTTCGAGGGATGCACTGTTGAAAGAGGGCCAGAATAGCCAGAGAAAGACAGTTCCTTAAAGAGAATGAGATCACATTCAAAAGATAGTAAGTCACTCTTCAATGTTAGAAATCATAACTCAATCGCTAACCGATCATTGCAAAAATGTCTGACTGATACGACGGTCCCTCCAGATGATGTTCTTTGGGTTTTTCTCTGACACCAAAGACAAAACTTACAGCCAATCCAAAATAAGCTCCAAATGCATGAACAAACATGCTATCACCAGCATCTACAACCTGAAACACCGTATTTCCATAATCAACAAAACACATTCGGTATCATCTTCGAGGAATTTAAAAGTGAAAATTATAAAACTGTTTAAAAGTATTAAGAAACACTAAATTTCTACGACGTTTCTAGGACGTTTGTAGGACGTTCTTTGAATAGGTCTTTGTACAAGTAACTACAAGTATCACCATATGTAGAATTAACCGTATCATTCGAATCCCCAGGGGTCTTGTTCAAATAATTGCTCACCATTAGAAGGTGTTCGCCGATGTACTTGTTCGCAGTGTAAACGATCAATTCGATGATCCCCATGAAAACCAGTTGCATATACGTGGTTTTACCCAAAAGAGCCCCCATGGAAATCAATGGCGCGGCTACAGCTATATCAGCACTCAATAACCTTTGTTATAAAAATCGAACGAAGAAATTATAAACGGAAATATGATATTTCTCATTCTATATTTTAGTGTTCAAGAGGACCTACTTACCCTTGAAGAGACAGGAGTGCCTCGCCGTTTTCCTTAATATGAACAACCCCGTCGCAGAGCAAGGCCACTTGAACGAGGATGGCGCCGACGAGAAAGGTCAATCCTATTGCACTTTGACCATAACGTCGTAGAAATGTCATCAGGAAGCCAAAGCCGATCCATATCATCACGTGGACATCTTGATACACTGTACGTTTTAGGGGAGGAACCAAATAAGATGGATGAATGGCATGCGGTTAATTCAGCGTTACTAAGCTGTGGTTATTATTCTCAAAAAAGAAAAAATAATAGTAATTGGTAAAGTATAGATATAAATAGTTAGTGGAAATATAAGTGGTGCTTTAGAAAATATCGTGGTTATCATATAAACGTTTCTTTAATCTTCTTTTTCTTTAAGGCGCCTATACGTATGTACATTCACGCTTCTGCATGGACAAGATATAAGGAAAGAACTTACGCGTATACGTGACTGGCAAGATACTCGGTTTCCCGTTTAAATGTTCTGAGATACTGTTTTCCTTGTTTTCGGCATTGGCCTCAGGGGCGTAATCGAAGGTCGCCAGGAAGCCGCAAAGGAGAAAACCCTCGATAAAGAGGAGCGTTATGCCGTAAGCAATATGGTTTGTCATTTTCATCGAGGTTTCAAATCTTTGTTCTCTTTTCATCCTACTATACGAATGGCGTTACTCTAAAGAACGAACTTGTTATTCATAACTTTGAAATTTTATACTTTACAGATACCATTGAACCTGGTGCAGTGCTGTTGAAATATTACACTAGGATCTAAGGATTATCCTGATGGCACTTTATTAATTCTGAACTGGCTACTGTGAACTTACAATAAAGACTCTTGGATTTCTTTCAACGAACATGGAATAGGCTGTGGCGACACATCGAAAACTTTTTAGAATATCGAACGGAGATCTATGCTGGTTTAAAGATGACGAGGTTGGCGTCGAGGTCGAATTCAGTTACAGTACGTCTCAAAACTTTTTACACCTGTGACGTATCGTTTTCCAATCTCGTATATGCTTCACAGTGGTGGTGACAAGTGTATGACGTGGATGGATAACGCGGGTTTTCCAAGTCTCACGTGGGCTATGCTCATTCTTGTGTAAATGCAGCAGCCAGTTACTTTTAGACGAAACTGTATATAGAATTTTTGTTTTATGCATTAGCGAAGAGTACGAAGTATTGGTTATGTGTGTATGCAGACAGATTCAATATTTTAAGCATGAATTGCTGGGCACGTGCATTCTAACAGCGTCACCAATTTTTCTTGGACTGTGTTTTTTCTGGATTTTTTGTCATTATTCGAATTCACATCGGCGCCAGAAACTCCCATGAGTCGTTTTTCATGATGTTTATTTTTATTAATTATATTGGTAAAGTAGGAGCAACTATGCTCCTATCTGGGGCACGAATATATAAATATATTCTCATTATCTTAAATACCCTAAAAAATTTACTCTTTCTTTCTCTTGTATCAATAATAAAAAAATCAACGTTTTACATGCACGCTCTGCCTTTTTATTTAATTTCATACGATTCATTTACATTTGTTTTTGTAATTAAAAGTTGCATTTAAACTTTATGGCTTTGCTTTGAGACTCGAACCGTTAGTTAATAGCTTGCTTATATTGTAGCTTGATTGAAAGTTATTATATACTGGTCTTTATTAATAATAAAATATTAGTTCATAGTTGCTCACGTGCTCAGTTGCAGTTAACTGTGTTACACGGATGAAACTAGCGGAGGATTTTTATTTTGATGTCATTTAGATTAATGTCAATATACGTATATTCCTAACCCTTTAAATACCACGGCACTTTTCTAGTGAGAAACTCTGTCCTCTTAAAGATAGTTTTATTTTTGTATAAATTTCATTAATCTATCAGTACTTAATTTTTATTTTAGTTATTTTATTATACATAATATGATTACATAGTAAAAAATGTTCCTGGATGACATACACGCTTCATACCACTGTTATGTAGTAAATTAATATAAATATTTATATTGTACTATTTATAATAGTAGTGGTTTGAAGTGAATATATCCTGCAGGAGTATATGGTAGTTAAAGGGTTAATTTAAAAAAATTTCTATCTTTAAAACTTACTTGGATAAATTCTCAAAGGATCCTTTTTGCTTCTGATATCGTTTGATTCTTGAAAGAAAAACAAATCTTTATATTTACTTATCTTGATTTCTATAAAAATATTCATGGAGTATATTTAATTCATACCTGTATGACTTTTATGCGGAATTATACTGGCCTCTGGACCATATGTTGTAAGTGTAGCCATTAATATCATTATGACAATTTGTAGTACAAATAGCAGAAACGCCTGCTGCTTTCCAAAACACAGAGGCAGCATTGCCTGCGAATGAAGATTAAGAATTCTCAATAATATTAAAAATTATAGTAAACTAATTATTAACCCTTCTTTAAGTGCGTAAATTTTAATGACATTAAAAAAACGGACTTTTTGTTAACTACACATTCGTTAGACGATGGTTAATCAAATGAAGAAATATTTAGACCAATTTGTTATTTAATTGCTCTATATATTTAAACAAGTTATATGCGCATTTTTAACATAGTAATTATTTCATTATAAAAAAACGATTTGCAATGCCAAGCAACGTGATTAACGTAAGGTTAATATTTTTCGAAAATTTTTATTTAAAAAGAAAAGTAAATCACTACCATACCTCTCCCATTTTTGGTGTATTTTGTTTACTCCTCTTTATTTTGTATTCACTGTGGATTACTGCGCGCAATTTTACTAGAGAACAATATCTATGAAATTTGTCAAAAATATTTTTTGGTCCACAGTGGCTCTTTCATTAAATAAAAACGTTTTACTTTAGTTCCCTCTTCGTTTCAATTACATACGCTGACCGTCTGATGCGCAACTGACCTCGCTATCTAAATCGCCCTAACGGATATACGCCATTCGCTTAATGTTGTCTTTCATGTCGAATCATACTAAATTGTCATGATGCTAGAAGTTCCTATAGTGCGTTCCATTATAATAGTACATATATGTATAGATAATAATGAGTGAGTTATAAAATATGCATATAGTAAATGCACCTGGAATGAGATGTGAAAAAAAATCCTTAAATATGTGGAGAACCGAATTTAATCCTATTATTAATTATTATTGTTATTGTTTTACATATTTAGACATTATATTGTTTAAACTGTGATCTGCGTACTACACTATATGTTACTTTGACTATTTTGAAAAATCCTATAGATATATTTTCCCACCCTTTGGCAATGATCGTATTTTGATGGGAATAGAATTTATTCTGATATGAGATTCGATATAAGCTATTGACTGCATAGTTAGATGGGATCGATATCTGTTATTCAGAAGACTGATTTAGCTTTCTTAGGCCTCCAGGCTGATTTAACTGATTAATTTATTGTCGGGGACATATCGATCGGCTATGTCTTTTGAGAATTGAAAACTGAGACAAACGCGACATACGATCCGTAAACGATTTCGAATCGTGCATAAACAATTTTTTGTTGCTTTATCGTATCGTCATAGAAAATACTTTTTGTTATTTAATAAATGCAAAATACTCGAAATTTATTATGGTTATCAATATTCCAAATTTCGAATGATTTGCAGCATCGTTATCCCATCTAATAAAAGATTCTACGCCGTTCCAACAATTTTACGAAATTTCACGTTACCTATATATAAAATTTAGATCATATGACGCAATAATAATTAATATATCCAAAATATAAAAATTTACGTATAATAAAAAAAAAATTATCAACCAAACCGGATGTTGTCACAATTAACTCTGGAAATCTTGATTTATATAATTTTCGTCACAGTTTGGCTGTCAACAATCTACGATATACTTGAATGTCACAAGCGATAATGACTGTCACCAAAAAAAAATTTAAAAAGTTATTTTCCACGCGTTTCCCATAACACGAAAAATTTAAGCAGTGTTAACGGAAACAGGGGAAAATATCACAGGAAGATAGGAAGCGCGAGTTCACCAAGTTTTCTTATTCCACAGCTACGATATGCAAAGCCACCCTGTTACGATTCTACATACGAGAACGTACTGTTTCTACGGTTCGCGAGCACAATGAGTATCTGAGGAATCTCTTGCTATCTTATATAAACTCCTAGCGAAATTGGTAACAATTGTAGGTTTACATAATTCTCGAGATATTTTCCAAAAATAGAGCGTCGTGTCCTAACAGTATAGGAGACATTGCTGAACGATTTTTTTCCCCGTCTCTCATAATTTCCACAACTTTATCCTCGTCATTGTCTTCTGCCGTCTCCCTTTCTGACCCATAAGTAACGAAACGCGAAACCATGATCCTGCCAATTAATAAGGCTAATTGAAACTAGGACGTGAAAGAATGAGAATTTATGGTGAGCACCGAGCAAGCACATTCGTCCCCTTCTTAACGAGAACAGCTACGACAATGACAGTCAGGATTAAAAGTTCGTAAGGTCAGACAGAAAGCTTAAAAAAATTAACTGCATTCTCCACAACATATAACATACATTAATTCCCTTTCAGGATTATCTTTATCAATTAAGAACATCGGTATTAGTCAGTATCTTCTGATACGTACTTACGGTTCTTAAGATCATCCGCTTCCTTGAAAAATAAATTTTCTCAAAAGTACCTCAAACGTACGAAATCTTTTAAGTCAGACAGTCACTGACATTCTAAGCTGGTCGCGAGCTACTAGTCGGATTTATACTGTAGTACAAATCGATAATCAACTGTGGTTTACTGAGAAATTAGTACAGTAACCGTAGTAACATCTGTGCAAATAAAAGATTTTTTGCTGAATAAAATCATTGACGCATAACAGCTAAAGGGACTTAAATATCGTGATGTGTGTGCCGTATATCGGCGTAGCCCACAAATGATACATGGCTGCTCTAAATCTGCTGAAATCCAGAAAATAAGAAATTCAGAATATTACGCGGTAGGTGCGGCTTCGCCACGCCACTGGTCCTCGCCACGGCCAATTTTTAAATTTCCCGGCTTATCTGCCTCAGCGCACTTAAAATGGCCGAGGGGAACATGGAGGCGTCGAGGGATAATTTGGGAGTCGTTAGAAAGACGCGCAAAATAACTACACAAGGAGCAGAGTACCAATTCGTTTATTACAACTAAATAAACGGAAGATTTTACAATACAAATCCCATTGCTACAGTGCACTGCCCAACGGCGGCTCACGAATATTCCGAATCGTGGTGGCTAGCCTGACCAAGACCTGTCTTTATTTCGAAGTGCCAACCAAATCAGCGAATCCCCTCGCGGCGCGACTAGCGATCCTAACGGGTCTCATTGGAGACGAGCTTCTCCCTCATAGGGACTTATGCACTCTAACCCCGGTAGCCAGCCTAGGCATATTTGTATCAGCATTACTCCCGCTTGGGTATCTTCGTTCGCGAAATATTCTCCAAAGACCATCTTCGCGGTACTTACGGAAAACTGGCTATCCCTTTAAAAAAATCCAAAGTGCGGCAGTCGTATCCCTTCTGCCTCCTCCAATGGTACAACGTCCTGACTCCGCAAGGACGTCCACTCGGCACTCGCTGTTCGACATACTCGCACAGTACTGATAATCCAAAAATCGGGAGCCACGGTTTTCGGCGAGAGAACCCGATGATCGCGATTCGTGATCATCCGATAGCTCAGCTATCGCTCGAACACGGAAGAAGAACTTTTAGGTCAAAAATCAAAACAATCCCCCTTTCCGGCTCTACCCTGTACAGACGCAGACCAGGGTCGGTTGAAGTTTCCGGGGTACCGATAGTGCGTCTCGGCGGTTGGGAACCCCTTGCGTGCGGGTTCTCAACCTAAAAAGGCACCGTGCCTCAACCGCCGGCTTCTCCTGTTTCCTCCTTCCTGAGCGTGGACCTATGAAATCCTTGGAGATGGAGGCTGGAGGCACCACCGTGTCGTCGGCGGTGGGTGGAGCTGTGGGGCTTTCGTAACGGGTCGTCCTGATGCCACGTTACAATATAAAATAACTCTGTTAATATTATAATAATGGTTACTATGTAAAAAGATGAACATTAGGTAAACAAACAATTTACGCCTTTTACGTGTCTTCAGTTTATTCTTCATATTGCTAAATCTTATAAAAGAACATATATAATACATATTACAGCTGACGGTTCTTTGTAAGTAGTTCATCTTTCTTTTTTCCTTGCTTAACTTAGAATTACGTTTAACTCAAGCGCAAATGACTGAACGTACGCAAAGGGTAGGAAAGAATGATAAGTGCAGATAGACAGGGTATCACGAAATGAAGATATACAAGATAATTATATTACGAGTATCATTAAAGCATAAATTATTAATCAGGATAAGAATCGCCCGAATCCAAAGACGCGACTCGTGTAATATGAATAATGAAATATAAATTTTAGTTAAAAAAAGAAGGAAGGTTCTTAATAATGCAGAAAAAGAGGTTCAACTCGTTTTTCTTTTTCATTTCCCGATAAGCTTACCTTGTTCCTTATGATTAAACGTTTCAAGGTCTTCATAACAAAAAAAAAACACGCGATCCTTCAAACCAGCTGATAATACGAGACCGAAGCAGCGTAAAGAAAAGGCTCTAATAAGAAAGTAGCAGTCTCACACACGAAGCGCTCTTTTACGTTAATGGTTGTCATTTTCATATTCGTCGCGCTCTCTTTTTCTTTCCCCCCTCATTTTTTCCCTTCGCCGCTCTTTTTCGTTACAATAGAAAATGCTAATAGTAGTCGATAAGAGGTACACGATTTTTCAAGTAAAAATTGTATTGCCGATACAATAAGAACAAAGGAATTTACAATGTGACGATGAGACAGGAGTACAGATAATAGCATATAAAAATTTATCGACTTCCGGAAAACATTGGTTCTCTTAGATTCGTATCCGGTGAAATCTTTGGCTCCTTTGAAAACACCCAAGAACGACGTCTTGCTTGGCTTTCCGGAATAGAATGGACATCGACCGCGATAAATAATAATAATAATGAGGTTAATAATAGTAATAATAAGTAATACAAGCTAACGCTAAGATGGCACTAAATAAACATATAATGGCGGTGCGCGTGATATTTGGTCTTATAATACAATGAGACATGTGTATATTTGTTTTTATCTCTTAAAACCGGAACCAAATGTCACGTTTCACATTAGTTTCCCAGTTTGAAATTCATCCGATATGCGCGCGCATCCCTTTATGTTCCAGAAATACACGTACTAGCTAGCTTCATCTCCCACGTGTATAACGTATGTATAGTCATTAACTGTATTTCATCCGTTTGCATAAATTCCAAGAAGATATTTTCTCGCTCTCTCTCTCTCCTTTCTCTCTTCCTCTCATTTAATCAGGATTGTCTCTCAACGTGATTAACGATTCTCGCGAGCGTATCCCGTCAATATCATGATAATTCTGTGATAAGTATTACGCTCGCACGATTTCATTGAAAATCGCTGTCTACGATCCTCATCCTATAATAGAGACCTCACGTGGCGCGTGGTCGAGTATTAGAAACAGGACTTGAGTTTAATAATTAAATAATAATAATTTGGCAAATCTGCCATATAGCGCGAGAGCACAGTATTTTAAACCCGAGCCGTAAAGTTTCACGAGTAATCTCTATTATCGTTCGTTTTCCTTATAGATTCTTTCTAGTGCTAATATTATAATTATTAATATTATTATTATTATTATTATTATACGTCGCCTGTTCAGGAATGTACATTCCCACGTGACTTCACGGCTCGGCTAATTGACTAAACATAAATCGTCCAACTCTGCGATGTCCGGTTTCATTCAATTCCATTCAATTCCATTCGTTACCGTACGAGGAGCAGTGATAACCTGCATGAGGACGCGAAGTCACCGCCTACCTCCGTAGAGCAAAAGGTTGACAAAAGTGTCGGTTGAGGATCGAAATACAAAAAGATGAGAAAGAAAAATTACAGAACCAAGGAAAGGTCCTTCTACGTGAAGAGAACGATCGGCAGGATGGCGGTGAGGATCAGGATGGAGAGATTACGATCGGTCCTATCGGCATGCGATAACGAGAATATAGAGAAAGAACCAGCTTTCGAATTTTCACGATGACTCGAGGGCTGCTCCGACGCCATTAAATCCTCCCTCGATGGTTCCGGACATGGAAGTTCTTCTGGCTTCAGGTCGAACAGGTGTTTCATGTATCCTGCTTTGCCCTCGACTATCTCCACCTGGACGAGGACGAAGAATGAATGGTTAAAATTTTACGAGTTCAAATTGGAGAAAGAATATCACTAGATGGAGATCTAGGGAAATTTGTTACCTTGGTTTGATTTCCTTCGGGACGACTTGGATAACCGTAACCTTCCTCGTATTCTTCATAGTAGTTGCCGTCGTCGCCCATATAGGCGTCGTCCTCTGTGTCACGGTCCTTGAGATTGTCAGCGGCGTACTCGGCTTTTTTTGAGTAACGATAAACGAAAAATATTTTGATATTACAGGTAGCGTCATCTACTTTGTGAGGTTTCAGGTAAACAGAATATTTTTATATTTTTATCTCACTACCTTCGTTCTGAGGAATATTAAGTCCTTTGACGGCATCCTGATCAACAGTCGTCGCGTTGTTACTCTCCAGGAAGCAGGTGAGCTCGTCCAGGACGTCTTTCAGCTTCAAGTTCTTAGTCTCGTTTTTGAGACCCCAGATCCAGGCGAGCCTGCAGTCGCAGATGAGATTATTGCCTGAAAGAGAAGGATTGCGATTGTAAGAATTCTTAATGGATGCTGGATATAAAGGAGATGGGGATGAAGCCAGTGGGTCGGGTTGGGTTAAAATCAGAAGTAGAGTAGAAAATAATAAAAAGGACTAAAAAAAATATACCGGCTAGTTACAGACGTATTAAAGGAGGCTATACATGTATATGTAAAGTACTGAGAAACTTCCCATTTAAATGCGTCCAAGCTGACTCAACTTTCTTATTAAAATAAATTTATAAAGCAATTTCGCGAATGTTTTAATAAACCACGTTCACGAGGGAGGATCTCGCTTTTTGAATTATTCCAGCTGAACTATATCGTGGGCCTGAAAAACTACGTGGAAACGGGCCTTAAGGTCCTTCCGTTTCCATTTCTCATTAACGTTCCGTCCGTTTATTTCTCTTTGCTTATCTTTCTCTTCTACCACAACCTCCTCCCTTTTGCCGTATTCGTCGCCGCCCCAGACTTTAGCCTACTGGGACTCGAGCACCTAAATCGAGTTTAACTCGAGTCGTCCGTTGTGGATTTCTCGAATTTTTTTTGGATTTGGCAAAATGCCCACCTGGCCGTTCTCATAGCAGCGACGAGTTCAGACGCGAAACACTTTCCATGAAAGTATAAGACGAAACTCTTGCGAACTTTCCGTGGTACCAACTTTTGAATAATTCAATAGGGGGGGAGGGGGGGACCGACAAACCTGGGACGGACTCGCAGAGACCCCTTTAATTAATTGTTTAATAATAAATAGGATATGGCACCCCCGTTGCCCCTGGATCCCTTGGGAATCTAGGCTATTCATGCGAACCTGGACGAAACAACGTAGTCCGGGTACCCGCAGATAATAGCCCAGGGTCAGAGACCATACAGGGCACTACCTACATTGCATCCCCCTTTTCAAACCCTCTATAGGTATCATAACCCACCGCCCGATACTCTGTACACTCAGGGAGTATCAACTTTCTCCTTTTTTTACAACCTGCTGAAAGGGTATAAAGATCCCAAGGGACTGATGGGCGAGTGAAATATTTTGCTTGGGTATTCTTGACTCACCCCAAAAAAACTTTTTTTTTTTAAGTACCCACAAATATTTTCAAATTTTACAGGGTGCGACAAGTCACCGAGAAAATTAGAGTCTCAAACTTATTTCCGTGGACCAAGAGAATGCGCAGTTGTTAGGATTTAAGATGAGGTCAGATGGGTGGGTTGGGTGGTATAAGACTCGGTAGTAGAAAAGGATGGTGGCCTCGGGTTGCAATATGAAATATGTAGAACGTATCCCCCCAACTCTCGACAGAGAACCCCGGGGGTGGTACATCTAAAAACGCACTTCGAAATAATAACAAACCCGGTAGACGCGAAGGGTGCGTTACGTATAATATCATACGGGGGAAATAAAAACGGTATCGTAATTTATTGAGAGGCAACTTCGAGGGACGTACGCTGAGAGCTTATGCCTGTCTCATCCGCAAAGGCGACGAAACTTTTGATCCGACTCTCTTATCTGGCAATGCATCTAAAGTAATTCACGGATAGAATAATATGAGTCCGTAGGAACATGGTTTTGGTTATTCATACCTTTTTATCCTATAGGGATTTTCGCAGTGTAAAGTGAAAAAAAAATCAATAAACATTGTATACCCAGTGGCATTAAATCCCAGTAGAAATCTGTGAGCGAGCAGGGAAAATCGCTGTGGTACATGCCGAAGTTGACCGAATCCTACCGGAATTTCACGAACGACGAGTAGCCGCTGTGTTCGCTGGAAGATTTGAAAAAAAAAGGGCCAAATCGAAAATCCGAACGATGTACAGGAGATAAACGTGTCGGTGTAAAATTTGTAAAATGTCAATAGTTTGTCGATGGCAAAGAGAGAATACGAATTCCGAGCGTAATCGTAGCGTCGGGACGCCGTGTAGCGCTATCGACATACGAAAATCGTTATCGTAAATCAACCTACGTATCCGCTTAAAGCGTGTTAATTAAATTTGTCCAGTAAATTTTTCGTGCGGAGGATTTGGAAAAATAAATATTGTCGTTTGCTTCGGTTCGTAATCAACCGACGGATATATAGCTGTACAGGGCTTTTAAGGTAGAATAAATAATTTGGCTTGACGCATTGAGAGAGTCGGTGACGTTTGACTAAGGATAAAAATGAAAGGTGAGGCAGAAGCCAAGCAACAAGGTCGAATCCGCACGTTAACGACAGATGGCGTCCCTTACGTTCCGTTTAATCGCGCCAACTGGCTGAGACGCTGGAAATTCGTTAACGCGACGTCGAATCAAGACGGATTTACAGTAGTACAGTCGTAGCAGGGGCAATATGCATATACTATATCTATATACACGTCCGGTGTAGGAAAAGGTAGGAAAGCAGAAGGGCGTGTAACCGGTAGAGGAGCAGACTACTACCACGCCCCCGTCCCGAAAATTTCATCCCCTGAATGATTAAAACCTAATATAGGGACACGCCTATCAAAAGGGGGTCGCTGCACCCCCGCGCTAGACGCTCCGCTAAAAGCCCGACGTCCCGACGTCCCGACGACTAACCCTCACGAAATTCACCTCGAGTTTTCACAGTCACTGGCTCCAATTTCGTTTCATGGCTTTTTCGACCCTTCGTGCCCTCCCTTGCGAACCGCCACCGCCGACGCCCCCTTTACCCAAAAACAGAGAGCGCAGGTCCCCTCCAGCCACGTGGGGAGACAGTTTGTGATTTTTTAATTCCTCTTTCGTTTACACACCTTTCCCATAGGGAGTTTCATTTTTTCTCCATCAATTAATTGACATCGTTAGACTAATGCCGTATATACGCTGACCAGATCTATATATTATGCAAGATTGCCGATAACAGGCATATGCCAGCAACGTGATTCTTATCAAAATTGAATGATGTTACGTCGTATACTACCCTCCAATCAGCAGTGCCCTTTGTGACACGTGAAATTAACTCGTTCAGATATTTGACGCACGTCCGATACTCTTTGAATACGAAATTTCGATATCACCTGACATGACGTAATTGCGGCTAGATTAGCGATCCGTATTAATTACTATGGAACGCAATTAACGCGCGGGGCGATACCGGCTAAATCGAGCTTTCCAGTTAACCAATAGCGCACAGAATGGAATAGGGGTCATTGAGCAAGTATGTGGGAGAGGGAGAGAGACAGAGATAGACAGAGCATACAGGAGTGCAAGAGAGAGAATGAGAGTGAGCGGGAAGGCCCCATAAGAGTGACACGGGAAAATTATTAGCAATCGAGGAAATTTAACGATATATACGGGAGCCGCGAATGAAATTTATTCCAAGTGGCAATTCGCGCGGACGTCGCCAGATAAATGTTTGTCGATGCGGGATTAAGTTTCGCACCCTACATAACGTACTCCTATACCTATACGGATGAACTTACTCGCCGACTATCATGCCCCCCCAAATTACTCGAGTGGCATTCCATTTTCCGTTGGCAGATACCAAGGTGAGAATAAAAAATAGGGGGGAGAAAAAATTGTCCAACGGCATCATCAACGCTATTTCTCTATACACCCCCTGATTGTTCCGGCGCATCCCTCTCAGTGGGTCGTACTATCTCAACCCCTGTATCTACGTGTGTATATATAGCCACCAATGTCGCCCTTCTAATACGTTATTCAACCCCCCCCCCCCCCCCCCCCCCC